TCTGCTCGGTTCCGCAGCACAGACATCACTCATTTCAACCTACACTTCAAAGGCCTCAGAGCATCATTTGTTCTGACTAATGATGGTGCTGGTAGACGCTGGGTGGAGAACAAGAATGGATGGCAGCCAACCGGCCATGTTCATTGATATGGCTGCTACACAACAATATTCTGATATAGCATAACTTCAGAAGCAACTGCATTGTCATTGATTCTTTACATTACTCGTGCCAATATAACTATATCAGTCTGTTGGCACCAGGTGCAGAGTGTAGGTATGCGGTGATCAGGAGCAAGGTTGGTAGGTGCCACAAGCCTAGGCGGCTGAAGCGCGACTCGCGGATTTCAACCGCGACCAATCGGCCTACCGTAAATATGGAATCTGACCAATCAACCGAGATCACGGAGAATCTGTTTCGTCGAAGCTGATGAGAAAATAAGCCTCACGATGCCTCGGTTTGAATGGCATTCCTCTCCTTGTACCTTACGGTAGCATGCGAGATCGTCTAAGATTTGCTTGACCATGAGGACACGTATCGATGATCCTGTTGTATGGATACTTGACTGGAATTGCTGACTACTTGGAGCATCCTATGATATTGCTGACGGCCTCCCTGTGACGAAGTACTCATGACATATTTCAAGGATGTCATGCTCTTACTACAGGAGCATCAGTGGGTGTTACTTCGTGTCGTTGGTATTGTGGAGTGCCATTGCATCTGAGTTCCGCATCGTACTCATCATATGTGTAGAAGCTAAACAGGCAAATATAAATTAAATCACAGCAGATGCGTACAATGATGAACGATGACGGAGTACAGCTTGTTGGTATAAGATGCGATTGTTCTTGTGGGCTATCAGCCGAGACAATGTGACGGAGGCAGTGGGAATGAAGCAGGCGAGGGCACATAATCCGAGGATTCAGTCCAATGCACGAGTATGATGGTCTAATGTACATCTCAATGAGAATGGGCCACACATGATAACGACGAGGCCTACCTCAATGATCAATTCTGAGATCGCTTGCGGTGGCGGTGGCGAACAAGCCGGTCGATATACACATCGTCGTAGCTCCGGAATACGCAAGTTCCTAGCTCCTGGTCGTGTTCCACGAGCGTCGCCCAAACGGAGTGCCAGCGTGGCACGCCGTCCCTATTCTCTTCCTCGAACTTGAACGCGATGCCGAGGTGGTTCTATCGAAAAGATTGAGCACGACCAAGTGGTAGTAGTAAACAAAGCTAACCTGATCCCATCTGTCCTCGAACTCTTCTCGACGCGCGCCGTCACGTTGCTTCCCCTTGTCCAGACGGAAGGCTTTGTCCGTCATGGTGATCATGGCGCAGTTGGTGATTGTAAGTCGGCCGATGTCGCCAGGCGTCAGAATATCGTGGAGGCTGGGAGACACCTCGAGCTCTTTCGGAACTCCGCGGTGCACAGGGTCGTAGCCGTCTACTCGGATCTGGTAGCTGGTCTTATCGGCGAAGTCCAAAGTGAGGTTGGGGTGGTTCGGCGATCGTCGCACGCGAGTGAGGACCTTCCCGACGAGCTCTGAAGGGTCGATTCCGAGAGGTTGGAGGCGAAGGGTGTCCGGTTGATACCGGTTGCGTTTGGTAGGGCTATGTGACGGTCGAGGGGGCGATGATGAGGAACCCGAGGTTTGATTGTAGAAGAAAGATTTGGTGGGACTTCGTGGCATACGGAGTGTAGACGTGGCCATGATGGCAGGGGTGTATCGCTGAGAGGGAGATACCTATGGTACAATGAACAGAGGACAATCTGGTTAGCTGGTCGACAAGGTCATGAGAAGTAATTAGCCACCTTCCGGACAATGACACCTCTCTCCTAATGCCGACCTACCTGAACCCACAACGCGTACACAATGCACAAATAAAAATTGCTCACGTGACTGTGGCACCGAACGCGCATTATGCTGCCCAGCTAACCATATGGATATTTGCACGAATCCACGTTGTCATGTACAGCACACAATAGCCTCTGGACAACCACTATGAGCGCCGGATTCTATTATGAGTGCGTTCTTTAGCGAATGAGCAAGGCGACTTCGACGGAGAAGAAGATTCATGTGCTATAGTTATTGGCTCAGTGAAGTTGCTATGTTTGAGACGGCTGGCATGTCGCGAATACGACTTCGGTGAGCTTGTCCTGATGACAGTCCATAGTAAGCATACGCTTCACTTATTGTGAGGCGTCTAGTTTCTGGCATACAGCTTGCAGTTTGCAGCTCGCATCGATCACTCATGCTGTCTAGATCGTGTTCGGTCCAAGACTAGACGAATGTCACGCGAAAATGACACCCAGTCGGACTGAGGAGCTTATGCGACAGACAAGGATAAGCATTCTTACCAAGAATCGATACTCGGCGCTAGCCGCGTTTCTGGACACTCACAAAAGTATCGACTTCACACAGGAATGGCCTTGATTAGGATATACTACTCGATCTGCTGTGGCATGCAGTACACAGGATGTCGATCCCCCGGAGTGATCGAGGGCGGTAGCATATTGCCGTGCGGCCTAGCGCTGATCATGTGCAACAGCTAAATAAACGAAGTAAGCGGTTTGCTGCCGACGGATGAAAGGGGTATTTCCAACGGTCGCGTTTGCTGATTGTCGGATAGATTCTAGGACAGGTCGCTAGTCATGTCATTCGGTCGCAGTCGGTCCTTCATTCCGAAGAGAAGGTAGAAATCTGCCAGGGGAGTGATCAACATGTGGTGCTCCAAGGACACGGCGGTAATTATGACGGCAGACCTGCTGGCCCACCGTCAACGAGTCGGCCGGGGCATTTACGACGGACCCCGTCGACCCTGGTCAGATTTGCGGAGTCCTGACCTTTGGGGTCTACAGGGGACCATCGACGACAAACAGATCGCGTCAGTGGCGTCACGAATGGCCTTCCGACCTCGTCAGTCGACCGGACGCCGACTTTAGTCGCGTTCAGTTCGCAAGCCGTTGTTCGCCCGCGCATTAGGTACTGTCGGGCGTTCGTTGGATCCGTCAGCGCAAACCTACGGCAACTTCGAGCCGCCTTTCGCTGCACTACCGCGGGGGCGCTTTCCAACGGGCTTCAACTGCTGTGTCTGTGAAGTCATTCCCAGGCAAGATGTGGCGGCTGATGCGCGGATGTATTCGTGGTGCAAGAACTTCGGATTTAACGATACGAGATAAACCCAAAAGGGTGTCGGGCATCACTTACCCCGATCCGGCGCTCGAGCTGCGAACTCTTTCGGAGAATTTCCACTTGGAGGAATAGGAGCCGTGAATCTCTGCTAGGAGACTCAGAGAGGTCACCGCCCGAATCATGGATGCCACGCCACGCACCTTTCTCTCGATATGTACGTATTCTCCACGTTGAACGCGCATGTCTTCGGCGGGAGGTAGACTCGGCGGCCGCAAGAGCGCCACGATGCTGCGCGACGCTACGGTCTGGTTGACTTACCAGAAGGCATCTGTGTTTCCAGTTCAACCTAAACAAACGCTGGTGGAAGCAACGTCGAGCTGTGTTACGACAGGCGTTCTCGACGGCCCGGGACTGAATCGTGGCATGACCGAGAACACGGATGCCTTGGACCTTCGCCGTGGGGGCGGTTCCCCGCAGCCCGCATGCTCCCGATCAATAGAAGCAAGGACGACCTTGGGATCAGCAATACAACTGATGATCAGCATCTAATTTGCCCTGCACACGTATGTAGGTGAAGTAGGAAATTTTTGAGCAGCCTTTGTGGCGCCATGGAAGCAAGGTTCGCAACGACTTGCAACACTGCAAACGTCTTGACGACGTCGTATTGCCTCGGGCATCATGTGTAGGAAGCGCACTAGATATCACAGTTCGACCGCGCTTCACACATGAGGTTGGTGAGCATTTTTCCACCTCGGTTGGTCATATCGACAGCCGTGGAGAGCATGGTTAGCTTGTTCTCAGGGGGTGCCGTCACCGTGAAACGAGGTCCTTGATCACTGTACATACTACAGGATGCGCCGTTTACGCGGTCAATTTCCGGATGGACGCGAGGGTGGACTGGAGTACATTCGAGCTCGTGTGCAGCATAATAGTCTTTGCCACGAGGCTAGCTCGTCCCGCTAAGCTGGAATCGAATCGACACCGGTAATCGCCAATCTCGCCAATCTGGAGGTCTAAACTCATGATTCTGCCGAGTTCACTTTTGAAGCCGTTTGTGGCGTTTGTTCACCGAATGCGGCATTGATCTGATCGCCCTTCTGTGCCTTTTATGGTCTCAGACGGCCTTGTCATGATCAGCGGACGGTGTCTTGTCTTGGTCGAGCGAGACCTGAAAAAGCTTCGGTATCGTGATGGTCCCTTGAAGCCATGAGCTGCCTAACATCAGTTGTGAAAAACTTCGGGACAGGAAGGGTGTATTCTTCACTAAGGCCGACGCCTGTGGGACCCCCGATTTCGGCATTCACGGCACTTCGGCGATTCTGGCATAGTACCGTACGTTTGCTTCTTCACCGTTCTCCGTCAATGCAACATCCCTGCTCACGGTGCCACCTGCTGCAACGCCCGACATCACTTCCGGAAAAACTCAGTGACGGGCCCGACTTGTTACGTACCCCTAAGATTTCTCCTGTTATGCTCCACCGTCATATTAGCACGTCAGTGCTGCGCCTGCCGTAGGGACAGAGTTCCTATCATCGATTTGCTATGGTTCTATCTTCTCCGCAAGAAACAAATTTGCTAGCCTCCGTGGTCAACGGACGTAAAAAGCGTCCGTGAGAGCCGAAGAAAATATGTCAGTACTGGTTCCGCTAGGTTACGCTGTGTGGCCAAGCTGTGCCTCCTGATTCACACCAATACCGTTGAAACCTCTCTAACTTTGATCCGAGAAGCCTGGATAGTCTGTTTGCATCTTTCGTCGGTTCCGCTTCTTCGTAGGTATCCTCCTCTTCTTCCGTGTCTCGAAGGGACCGTACGTGGTACTCAGTACGAGGAGCGGGAGACGCATTCATACGCAGCGTTACCGGTGATGTGCCGTGCACTACTGAATAACTCATGCGGAACTGTCCCGATATCAACCGGAACGCTATTAGGCTCCGCGGCAGGTCATATATGAGAAGCACGGCGAGTTTCATCTTTATCAATATGAATAAAAAGCACGGAACCTGATCGCTTCCATTTTCTTCGTCCCCCTTGCACTACTGACATAGTTATGGCACTTTATGTGGCAGGAGCTCGTACCTCGGCACGATAGTTCAACATGTGATCGGGGCTCGGAGGAGACATGGGGGCTGTAGTCCGCGGAGACGGTCAACTGGACGACGAGACGACCTTGGGTGCTCGTAAAATCAGAAACCAAACGCGGCGTTTGGGAAGACGACACCTCAGCGGATCAACTCATCACCAGGTTCCTCTTTTACGTAGGTTGCGGAGAACACTGCTGCGATTTCGTGCGATGCCTCGGGCAGATCAAGGCCTTGCACGTCAGACCGTCAATTCCGGGCGTGGAGTGACTGAGATTGTATTGTAGCGGCATGTGGGCAGCTATAGGTACATAACATGTTCGCACGAGGCCTGTTGTGATTGCTGTGCTTGTCTTAGAAACCTGCCCTGAACCATCACCATCGGCCGATGGCCTTGTCTAGAAAGATTGCTGTTGTATCCTACGGCGTCCAAGTGGTGGTAGTCAAGTCCTCCAGGGCTGATGGAAAGGCCGTGTTTCGACATGCACCTTGGAAATGATAACAGCGTCACGACGGTGAATGGTGCCTACGCAGCGCGAAGCATGGGTCACAGGCTTCTGGAATGCCGAGCCGTACTTAGGTCCTCGAGATGCCGACCACCCCATGTCGCAGTGACGCCCCCGCATTCAATAATCGGTCAGCCCTACCTCATCGGGTGGGGGCTATCTCTGAAGAGGACAATGGAAGTACCCTATATGATCGTGCGGCACGATCCGCTGTGGGACACAGTACACCGGACAAAGGAGGCCTTTGTTCGACTGGCGCAAACTCGACCATGTTGAGAGGGTGCCAGTGCACGGCTTCCAAGGGCGTCAATGGGGAAACGTGGCCTAGAATGGGGCACGAAATAATTGCGTAAAAAAGGGCGGCCGTACCGCGTCTGCTTCCAGTTACGGTCAGCACTGCAAATTGATCAGCCGGGGTCGAAGTTTGTTGTGAAGGGAGAAAAGGTGGACCCCTTGGGAGAGTCGTTCCCAGTGATCCACGCCTGATATGGCTGATCCGCATCACGGAACCCTGGCCGAGGAGGACGCGCTATATATCCCATACAGCGCCCGCCGACATTCCTCCTCTTCGACGCGATCGCCATGGCCGACATACCGTAGTGCGTCATCATCGCTTCTCGCCTAACGCGAGCCGTGATTGACGCGTCGCTCTCCAGTCACCACGCCCAATTCTATCCAGCGCCGCAAATAGGGCATCCCTACCATCCCAGCCTCCAAGGTCCCGTCCATGTGCCACCCTCCGGCCGCATTGAGACCGTTATACCTCAACGGAAGCGACCGAAATATACGCGGAGCAAGACAGGATGTATGACATGTCGAATCAAAAAAGTCAAGGTGTGTATGGGCGGCTGCCGTGTGGATTGCGCTAAAGCTGTGGCGCACAGTGTGACGAGACCAAACCGAGTTGTCTCCGGTGTCAGAATGGTCAAAGAGACGTGAGTCCTTCAGGTCTGTCAAGACCTGTCCGTCGTGACATTTCTCCAGTGCACATGGCCAGAGACGGTAAACTTACGCAAGAAGACTGGCGTCAAGCAGGAACCGTTGGACCCCAGGACTTCGCCAACCGACTCGCTCGACAGGCTCTCGGACATGTCCGCTCCGTCGACGCGGGAGCCTTCGCCGTACCAAAGAGAAGATCAACTTGCTTTGCCTCCCTTGGGCGGTCGACGGCACAGGTGAGCTGGTATCCTGAATTGCCGATGATATCAAGTTTACTGAACCTCCTGTTTGTCCAGCGACTCGATGCAATACCTCCCGCCGCCCGCTCCTCCGGACAATGGCCTTGGTCGCCGCTCAACGTGCGTCTCCACTCATTGAGTAGTCACATCGCTCACCGTGTCATTAGTATCCCGCATCTGGCACATGGTCCTCCCACTTACGCCCCTGCGCATCCGGCTGCCACTTCAAGCGGTTTGCCAATGATACCACCGGAGATGCAGCACCAATACCATTCACAAATGCGGTATGAACCTGAATACCAGAACATGACACACATGGTACCGTCGCCCATGGCTCCCCGCGCTCCCTCAAACACGCTGCCGCCATTAGATCACCATCCTCACCATCCTCACCTTCACCACTCCAGTCCACACCACAACAATCCTCACCACCCCGGCCCTCATCAACCCCAGCCTCACCACCCGCTCCCGGCAGTTTCCATTAGTCAATGGACTTCAGGCGTTTCACCGCTGGCGCCTCCTGACTCCTACGTGAGCTCTCAAAACAAGATTCATGCACTCTTTGGCTTACGTGCTACTACAGTATGAGCCTGCACACAACAGACAAATGCCCGAGCAGCCTACAGCCACGGTCTATGCTCGCCCTAGATACCAGTAATGGCTTACTCACGGCGTAATGCCCCTATAGTTCGTTCTTAATACTCGCAGTACTTCAGGCCCTGTATAATATTGCACATTGACACGGTAACGACTCAAGGATACCCTTCGCTTCTAGTTCGATTCATCCGTCTTCAAGAGCATCAAGTACCCGCTGCCTTACTCAGGCGTGAGCAAGTACTGACTGCTGATCCAGCGCCATGCATTTCACCATGCCCTGTATTTGTTCGACTCGCCAAGAGGCGGACAACACGGTGCGTATTCAATGCGCTCGCTGACAGGGTGTATTCGTTAGGGTCCAACGGGGAAGGACATAGCACAGTTTCCGCTCCGGGGTGAATGCATCACATGGGCTGTACGTTATCCTTGCTTCTAGCTTCCTCCTTAACCTCGCCGCCTCCTCGAGCTTGATTGGAATCTGGGGCGTCCATCTCTTGCCATACTCAGGCCACATCTGGGCTCAAGATGACCGCTCGACCTGCTACCCTCTTTGTCACCGCACACTGAGGTCTCGACAGCTTGCGCGCTTTTTCTGATGGGTTTTCGCGACCAGATGTTGCCAAGGCAAGCTGCCGGGTCATCGGGCAACGTTTCTCTGCGACGATAGCGGAGGAAACACCGCCGCATCCCGGAGCGTAGCATCAAACGGAGTCGACTGCGGTCAGCGTTAACGGCCTGCGGGTGGCGTACGGCGCCCCGAACGACGGTGGGCAGCTCTGGCTTTCAGAGAGCTTCAGGGACGACGCCTGATACGTAGCTCCCCGCCATATGAGCGCCGTATCGTGCCAACGGCCAAGGATGCTTCGGATCTCCCTGCCGTCGGACTGATCCACATGATGGACCTTCGAGTCCTAACGGTTCCTAGAAACCTCGAGCAAGACAGACAAGCCGCGGGTTCTCCGAAGAAGGTCCGAAGGGTGGTCGCCGTCGTCGCTCTCGGCGAAATTCTGTGCTGTGTAATGGGGGTTTGCTGGCTCGGACGAGCCGCAAACTATGATCGGGATACGTCAAGGATTACTTCGAGTATCACGTTTACGGGGTGAACGGACGCGATCAAAATATCCACGACCACGACGAGGTATCTTGATCTCGATCAAATATCCCGATCGGACGACTCAAACGAGAGCCACGTTGGGACAAGGCCCTTGAACTGATCTTGCGGAGGCTGTGCGTGACCAGACGGCTTGGTACTGTTCTTGCAGGGCCGCTAGGAGCTCCGACTGCCCTCCGCCCGTATCGTGACTCGCAATCCTGCTTTAGTTGCAGGTCCCGAACGGGAAGGCTATTTGTCTGAGCGATGAATATTGCGGGGTAATCATATTTAGATTCCTTTGCGATACCTCCGTGCCCTTTAGCGAGATGTCCAGGCTCCCGGCCTCTTATTACTGGTCACTGTTGCCACAGGCAATTCCAAAATCGCGCCACATGTTGTACAACATTGCCCAATTGATTTCAGTACACGTTCTGGGGTTGAGATACCCTCCACCATCATACACCGGGCGGTTTATCCCGCTCCAGTCCCGTCCCTTCCCCAACACGGCGACGATGCGTTCATTCGTTGAAAAAATCCAGCGGTGTATCTGCGGTCTGGACCGCCTGCCACGACGTGGGTGGCTCTTCCTCGTTCGGACGCGCCTCGTTCGTGAAGAGCGAATGGAACTTGACGTCGTCCGTGCCCTGCAGATATGGCCCAATGAGCACGAGCCGCATTGGATGACAGGTATTCCTATCTCACCCTGTTCGGAGGGTCGTGAATCCTACGTTGTCGAACACCGCGGTATGGAGATGGTAAGAAGGCCGTCTTGATGACGTTCAGAGAGAGCTGACGCTACCGACCTGACGTGGATGAAGCCCTCGCCTAGCTCGTCCTTGATCGCCGGGATCCTGATCTTACCAAGAATAATCGTGCCGTAGGACGTCGGCGCGCTCCGGACGAGCACGAGGTCGTTCTCCAGCGTGAAGTTGGTGAGGTCATGGTCGGACAGACCTGCCGCACGCTTCCACATCTATAAAAGCGGCTTCGTATGAAACACTCCTCCGACAACACGTTGGATGACATCAAGATGAGGCACGTACGCGAGGCTCGTGCTTGTCCCAGTCCTCGCGGGACTTGACGATTTCCGCCTTGATGCGGTGCAGGACGTGATTGAACGCCTCGAGCGCGTTGGGATGCGGCGCGTGCGGTGCATTGAACGTGAGCTCTTCTGCGTCGGCTACATGGCGCGTTGCAACGTCAGGCAGTCATCGTTGCGTCCGTTCAGCAACCAGAGCCCGTGCAAGGAGGACGGAAACGTTGCGCACCCATTGATCGCAGATGGATGGCGTATCGTAGTCTATATCGTGGTACACGATTAAGGAAGGCCACTAAGAAGCTTGATCTGTCTTCCACCTGTCAAAATCGCCACGTGCGCCTTCTCCCCACCAAATCGGGCGAAACGCGAGGGACTGCTCTGCCACACCGCGTATGCCTTGGCATCGATTATCCTTCGACATCGCGAATCGACTCAGGCATGCTCAGCACTCAATGCTCATCGCTCACCACGAGGATAGGGGGCACATCGTCTAAGAGTGATGAGCAGTCATGACATCCGGGACGAAAGGACAAGAAGACACCGCATGTAACGGGAGAGCATACAGTCGCATAAGCGGCCAAGGCGAGAGTCAAAGATATATGTACAGGGGTGTTGAATGCCCCCCTCCGTACTCGGAAGTAGCCTTGAGCTGAATAGGGCGGAGTGGGGGACGGAAGGGTTTGGCGCAGCTTGCGCACAGAGTACACCGGCCGACAAAAAATAGAGGAAAAGAGTTCAAGAGGGAATAAGAGGAGAGAGAGAGAGAGAGAGAGAAAGAGAGAGAGTACAGAGGACCGTTGGCATAGATAACGACGAGAGAAGAGACGGAGAGACGAGCGGAAGAAATGCGAGCGTGGCGCTAGGAGGATCCCTGTCTGTCGACGGTCCCGTATATGCGACCACCCGACGCTTGCTGCTGGTAAAGATGATAGATCGCGACCTGATTCGTTTGGTTTTGCTGCTTTGCGACCCCAGTCGTGGTGGTGTGCCAATGCGGCACCGCCCCGAGCGGAAACCCGTAGTATGGTGATTCGCCCGCTGCCACCGACATCGGAGATGCATCTTGCTCGTAGGTCCTCGCGAGGGCGCCGCCGTGCTGGTACGGGTACGTTTTGGGGCCCGGATATGCATACGGCGCCATGGGCGACTCGACGTCGCTGAACGAAGACATCTGAATCGTCCGGGTCGGATCGTCGCCGGCAGAGCCAGAGCTTGAGATGGTGCTTGTCGGCGATAGCGTGAGCGGCGGGGTGAATGCGGTGGACGGACTGCTAGTGTCCATCGGGGTCGACGCGGCCGAACGGAAGCCGTTGGAGTACAGCGGCGGCGCGGCGGATGTAGCGGCTGGCCAAAAGGCCTGTGCATACATCGACGTCGACGAGTAACTCGACTGATCGAGCCTCGCAACGCAGCCTTCAGGCACAGAGGGCAGCGACAGAGAGGGCAAGGTGGCCGCACGTCCGAGAGATCGTCCGATGTTCGGCAAGGAGCAGACGTTGGGATTCGGGGGCGCAAGCGCGCCAGAGTCGATGGCCTCCGTGACGGAGGGCACCGCGTTATCCCTACCCGCCCTGGCGAACAAGTCGCTCTCGCTGCGGCATCTACCAACCGCGCGTTTGCCCAACACGGACGCGTTGACGCCGCCCGGAAGTTTGCCGACCCATAAGCGCCACTCGAGAGCGCTGCCAAGGGCGCGCTCGCATCTGCCAATCTCGCGGGGGGGAAGGCCGGCGAGGCGGGCCCATGCCTTGTTCGAGTAGGTCCTGTCCAGGGCGAATTTGGAGGCGAGGATGAGCGCAGCTAGGAAGGTGCGGCGCGGGCAGAGGAGGGTGCTCGGGAGCGGGGGGAGAGGCGGCAGCGTCGTTTGGGACGCAAAGGTCGGGGAGGTCGAGAACGCGTCGACGTTGCTTGGTTTGGCGAGGGTGAACGGTTCGGCTCCGAAGCTGGCGGCGCGTGCCGGACCCGCGGGGCGTTCGTCGTCCGCGATGCGGACGGTATCGCACCCTTCGGATCGCGGTGTGCACATCTGTAGCTGGGGAACGTAACATTCGGTCTTGCCGTCGTCGCTGATTGCGGTCTTCTGCGCCTTGTTGACATCGTCCGCGTTGATCTGCTCGTTGTCGGTCGGTATCTCGACAGTGATGCGCTCCTCCATCGGCATCGCGTCGGCGTCGCCTAGGCCGGCCTTCTCGCGTGCGACGAGTTCCGGGATCTTGGGTCGCACGGCGGCGATGTAGCACAATGCAGTCTGGAGGACAGTCGCGGAGGTCTTTGAGCGGCGGAGCACCTCGAGGACAAACTGTCGGAGAGGGACGAGGGGCGCGGTGGAGCTGCCGGTCCCGACGGGTGTCGGTGTTGCGGAGGCGGAGGGGGGATTCGGTGGTGCAACGTGCGGCTGGTAGGCCGGCGACCGCGTATGGGGCGAAATCGGGGACGGCAGCTGCATGTTCAGATTCCGAGGTCGAAGGGAGGGATCAGCAGCAGCTGGTGTCGAGGGCGCGTCAGCCGCGCGAGCGTGTCCAGACGTCTTGAATACCGCGGGTATATCGTCTTCGGGCCATATGTCCGAGAGGGACTTGACAGCTTGGTCTAAAAGAAGCAGAGACAAAGGCTAATTAGCAAGCTCGAACGTGCGAAAGGAATGGAGATATGAACGATGATGTAGGCAGGGATGGGGGGGTCGAGCGAAGAAGCACCCTGGCGAGCAGTGCCACCCACGCCGTTCGAAAAAGGGCAAAAAGGTTCAACGACTCACCAACTAGTCCGTTGACGAGGCGCGCGCGGTGGATTTCGCGGAGTTGGGCATGGACATCGCGCGGTTGAGGTTGTTGAGGGGGATTTCGCGGGTCACAAAGGGAGGAAATTGGTTTCGTTGTAATCGGGGATGAGGGAGATACTGTTACACATGACGCAGGAGTGTTTAGGAATTGTTGAGGCTGAGTGTGAGGGGTGGATCGAGCGGAAGACGATAACTGAGCGGCGTAGGGCTGCCAACGCGCCCGGGAGCGAGTGGCTCCCGGGCCGCGGTGGGCGAGTGACTGTGAGATGGCATGCATATCGTTTGAGGGGTGGTGCATAGAGAGACTAGGCGAGAACTAGTAGAGACGAGAGTATACGCGAGCGGAGTAGTCGGATTATTCAGATGGTAGCATTGGCGACGACGGTGGGGGTGGACTTGATAAGGGTGACACAACCGGACTCTATGAGGACTGCGCGGGGCTTGAGGGCGGCGGTGAGGGCGATCGAACTGGGCATGCGGGTGATGTGTTGTGAGCACATCTTGAGTCGGTGGAAGGTGGGCGGATCTGCTCCGGGTCGGGGACCTGGAGAGAACCGCTAAAGGGGTCCTTTTTGCAACCGCAAAGGAGGACTGGGAACGCTGTCGACTAGATCAATAAGCTGGTGGAGGCTGCGAGGACGGCGCAAGTGGTGAGGTAGCGGATTCGTGTGGCGTAGGGGTTTCGGCGCCGCCCATGCCCCAGCCTTAAGACCAACCTCAGCTTGACTCATCGGACCCCGATCACTTGCCCCCGCCACCTCCTTCTCCCGCATCTGCCGCGCCCTCGCAACCCCTCCCTGCGCGCACAAAAGCACATTCACAGCATGCTGTCGATATCTCGTACCCATCTATGAGCTTGGTGTCCGCATTCCTCAAGCTTCGTGCTCGTCTCGTCGACACGAGGCGCGACTCAACGCCGAGGACCCCGGGAGGAGGTGGTGTCCGGCGCTTGACTCGAGCGCTTCGACCGACGGCTTTACCGTATTCGGCGGTGCCCCAGCTTCCCATCGTGACTCTGGCGCCCAAATTTTCCAGTTCCGGGACAGCGATGGGCCCCCGGAGGACGCACTCCCGCTCGGCCGACCACATGGGATGACTGGGCGCACACACCCGTTGACCGACGCGGGTCCGCGCAGCCCACGAGAGAACACGAGGCGATGCGAGTGACCAAGGCAGTGCCTCCCACCTAACCCCTTCCGCCTTCGTCACCGCTCCCTTGGGCTATTGTCCGTGCTGCGGATCCGGGAGATGGCGTCTTCGCCGCGCCCCTGCGAGTCAACTGGCGTCTCGGAGAGGGCGATCGAGCGCCGGATCCCCCTGTGCGTGGGCAGGAGGATATGTACAGCTCGAGGGACGCACTGCATCCCGTCGCCGCAGAGTGCGTGCTGCCCGGATCATATGCACGTCCGCGACCCGCGAAAATATGGCACCTGCCCGAGGGACGCACCAGCGTGCACGCGCCCATCTCCTCTCAACTCATTCAATTCGGTGAAGGAGCCTCGGCCATGTCACGTTGCCGTTCTCTGCCTGCAAGCGCCAGCAATCCGTTTTCGGAGGTTTGCCACCACCACCAGCAGCCTCCTGTCTTGATTGGATATCGCCGGACATCTTTCATCATTTTTTTGCGCCGGAACAATTGCGACATCGTGAGTCTACGAGGGAAACCCGCTGACGTCTTTGCCTCCTGGTGCAAGAAGCATAAACTCGCGATATGCACCCCTGTATGCAAACCGTGATATGTGGCCATATATTGATTCGCCGAGGGAATGAACGGAAGCACTACCAGACCAACACCCATGATATCGCGATCTCCATATAACTCAATATCAGGCGTTGACATATATATGCACATCCGTATCGCGCGCTCTCCCGGAAGCAGCGTCCTGAACCGACGCATCAGCACAGATCTTGGCACACCCGAGTATATCTCGCTCTCGCGCTGCGAACAAGATCGCGTCCCGGCGGCGCTAGCTTCCGCAGGCTTCCTCCAGCAGTCATCGATGCATCGATGAACGTTTGTTCTCCCTTCACCTGGTGCCCACGTACGATAAGAACTTAAGCAAGAAAGGCTGATAGCTCTTCGACGGCCTTCCTGAGGGCGCAAGCGTGCCTATCCCACCCTTCTCGCCCAGATCGGACTCACATGAAACGGGTTCTTTCTCATTCGATTCGCCACTGCTGAACAAGTGCATCGCGTTCCGGTTCTCTACTGTGGAGACTTGACAGCCTCATGAAAGGAGCTCGTCGGACCTGACGCACGCGCCATCGCAGCCATCTGTACGAGATTGAATGCAACCGCACCAGTCCTTCACCGCCCTTGGAATTCTCCCGTCTTGACGTGCTCATATCACTTCCCTTAGCTTCTCCCGGCAGTTGGTCAGATGCATCTCTATCTGCCCAACGTGCCTCAACTCTCGACGTGGCCGACTGTCTGACTCGCGCTTCCGTGTTATCCACGTTTCTTCCATGCACGGGTCTCAGCGCTCATCTAGCAAGCGTCATGACACCATCCTGCTTCCCTTCCATGTTATCTACCTTTCGTATCCGCCGCAGCTCGTCTTTATATAGCCACGTAATACGTCAAGCACCCCTCCGTGTCTTGGAGATGAACATCGGACGTTGAACGGACTTTGACTGCTGCGAAAGCTGCGATCTGTGTATCCCGCCTCTGTACCCTCGCAGGCTGATAAGCATCGCGACACTGCAGACTCGCCATCAACTCTGCCTTACACGGCTCCTGCTATATGGCAATCACCCAACTCAGGGTATTGGCTGCGGCTTCCAGCGAGCAAGCTTCCAGTTACAGCAAATCAGGGTCGATCGCAGGTGGCAGGCGGCGCGGCAGTTCCCGGACTTCCCTCTGCTCGCCGAGCTTATTCCATCGGCACAAGTCCATTGAATTAACGGTCATTTGGCCTCATCGCCTGCATCCTGCTTTCTGTAACACGGGCTCTGCGTAGCATTTGAATGGTTTCGTCGATCTTTGCTGTTTGTCAGGTCTCGAACCTCAGGCCTCATTCCGCAGGGTCTGGCTTCCGATGCGTTCATCGCTTTCCTTCACGGGATCCATGGCATGGCTTTCACATCTCGTCCGTCTACGATGACCTACGATGTGCGCTCCTACCGCATGGCGAAACGCGATCATACCCATGGGTTCCCCCCTGGTGCCAAAGGGCATAACTGACGTAACCTCCGAATCATGCAGAACTGCCTGCGGCGCCCCATCGCCAAGAACACGTTCGGGATGCGCTCAGATAAGCGGTACGGCACCCTCGAACGCGCACGTTCTCTGAAGAAACCTGCCCGGTTCACGCAGGGTGAGCGAACGATACCGTCCGCCCCTATAACGTCCACCCTCGGAACAGTGCCGGGAACTGGTTCAGGTTTCTGCGGCAAACCCCTTGCACTCTGATGCACTCTTTCGTATTCTTCCTCGCGAAAATGTCGATATAATCCGTCTCGACGCCGGGACTGTCTCTTCTATCACCTGGCATCACCTTGGCCGGTAGTACAAGCTTCCTTGAGAACATTCAATGCGTACGATGCTACATTGGGAGACTTCCAGGAACATAGTATCATGCGCAACGACTTCATGTTAGTTTCATATGAATAAGTGGATGCCCTTTTTGTAAGTACGTTACGTACGCTATTAGTAGGCTGCATCAAGCGCCGAATATCGGCCATATTCGCTGCGTCCATGGCGACGTTCAGAACAACACGCCCTTGACCTGCTCCAGCTCGGACACCTTAATGTTCTTGATGAGGAACACCCAAACCAACGCGAGCGCCATGAATGCGGTGCCAGCGATCAACATGCGGCTCTGAGCTTCAGCATAAGCGTGCTGGATGGCCGTTCGCGTCGGGTCTCCAACAGGATAGCTGAGCTGCTTGGCGAGGTCGTTGTAGATGTCCTCCCATTCGGGGAGGGTGTCCGCGGGGAGGTATTTCTGCAACGCCCCGGGCAAGGTGTTTGTCCAGATCGCGCCAGAAACGGCACTGCCGACCGCACCGCCTATGTAACCGAACACGCCGAGGAGGGCGAGAACGGCGGCGTTGTTGTTCTGCGTCGAAGCCGCGAGCACCGCGACTTGCTCGCCGATGATGATCGCCCCACCTCCGATGGCCATGAATACTTGGCACATGACGATGTAACCGATGCTGTGTCCGGGCTCCCGGAAGTAGATGAGGAGACCCTCGAAGAGGATGAAAAGTGGCACTGAAAGGGCGAGTAGCCACCTGAAGCGTCCCGTACGGCAAATCAGAAAACCGACACCGAAAAGCCACACCCCGTTGACGACATCGAAGATGGAGCTGATGTAACCCGCGGTAGAGATGGATGTGTCGTAGACCACCTGGAGGTACGAGGTGAAGTAATCATCTGTGTATTCTGTTAGGACCGCAACGAGTGAGTACGAGGGGGTGATGTCGTACCCCAGCAATAATATGAGATCTGGTACGTGAAGTCCAGAAGACAGGCGCCGAGAACAGTTCGCGAGCTGAGAAGCTCATACGGGATGAATGGCTTCGGCGCCACGTAACGTTCGACCAAGGCAAAAGCGACGAGCATGAAGAAGCCCACGATCACCATCGCAATGAATCCAGCCGAACGCCACGAATTCCCGTATTCTTCAATGATGGAGAAAGGGAGAAGGAAGATTACGAGACCCCCGGCCAGAAGGAAGATTCCCAGGACTAAAGAACGATGAGATTCGACTGTCTGCCGACTGGCTTCTCACTCACCGTCAAATTCAATAGTGTAGTAGACGATTGACTTAATCACGGAGCGGCCGCTGCTCTCTCGCTCCGCGAGCAAGCCCTTCTTGATCGCCTTACGTTTGTTGTATTGAAGAGTAGCCAGGAGCGGCGCGGCGACGAAGGGCAGAATAATGGCAAAACATCCATAACCCCACCGCCAGTTGTTGTCGTAAAAGCGTTCTGACGCCTTTGAGCCGGCGTATGCGGTAATAATGTACGGCGACGAGGTGAAGGCGTAAGCTAAGCCTCGAGACTTGAGCGTCGAGGTGTCCGCAGTGATTACGTCGACGCTGAAAATCATCCCAGCGAAGCCAATGCCATAGAAGACCTATCCGATGTATCGATGCATTAGCTAATTGAAGGAGGCCATACACGCATGCTAACATACCTGAGCGGCACAATAGGTCCCAATATCATTGCACGTTGCCGACAGTATCAGGCCCAGCGTCGCAAAAGCTGTCATGACTGCGAGACCGACGGAGCGGTCCCAAAGGTTGAGCACCTTGGCGACTGGCATATACGAAGCCGCGCTCATGACGTTTGACACGATGGCAATGACGGGAATGAGCGAGTGGGACTCGAAGCCACTCGTAATGTAGGCGGACAAGTTGCCCGTGATGGACGATTGGAAGGCGTTGACCATATAAAGCCCGAACATGCTACAAGGATCATATCAGCTTCGGAACATGGAGCGCGTCGAAACTACTTGCAATATATAACAGATTATCAGAGATTTCTTGGTCCATGTCTGAGTCACAGCCGCTGCCTGCTTGACACCGGCCTGGGCATTCTGGTCCGAAAGGCCATCGAGATGTTGCTCTCCGGCGTTTAGCGACTGGGCGGGGTAGACGGGGTCATTGGGATCATGTCCGGCAGAGAGTTCGATGTCTTTTTCCTTATACTCCTCATCTCCAACCAAGCTCCCAGTGGCGGGAGGGGCATCGATGATGTCTTGTTGAATAGGGTCGACGATACCGTCGGCGCCGTGTCGTTTAGTGAAAGAAAGTCTTTGACGTCTACCGGGGTTTAACTCCTCAGGAACCCATCGCGCGGCCACCCGTGAACGGCGAGACCGGTCAACGGGTAGGCCATACTCACAAGTAAGCGCCACTCAAAAAAAAAAAAAAAAAAAAAAAAAAACTTCATGCGCGGGTGTGCCCGGAACGGACGAGGGCCGGGGCCGGCGCGAGTATCCACCTGCTCCGACTGGTATTTTGTTCCTGTACAAAGTGCGTATTTCATTTATGACATCCTGGAAGGAATCTACCTACCTACCATGCTGATCACGGTGCCTGGGCATAGAGCAGCTCCATTTACGCGTCCCTTAGGGTTCTCATCCTTGCTAAGCCACCTTGCAGGATTGAAAGTAAAGGAAATCAGAGCACGTATGGGGCCTCCCGTGATATCAGGCACCACAAGGCCGCCGAGAACGCTCGGCCGAATGTTTCACCAGATGCTCCCGTGTTATCTGATAACCCGAGCGGTCATCCCTGTTTTATCTGATAATCCTCTCTATTACACCGCTCCACGGTCTAGTTCGACGTAGCCATTTTTTCCTGCTGGTCCACCCCCATAAATTGAAGCGTGCTCGAGTTCATAGAAGGCTTTCACTCGAGGTACGTATTGTGATATACGTTTGACCCACAGAATGGGCTGACAAGAATATTGTTAGCAGCCACCAGCACGACGACCCATAATGTGGCTTGTAGTTTCTCATTGCACTTTTGGAAAGATTGACTGAGGGATCTGGTGCACGCGCAAAGTGTCAGTAGTGGGTGCTGTAGTTCTCGGAGACGTGCATATGTAGCTACCTACAGAGGCCCGCACTAGTTCGCACCCGTGAGCCTTTCCGTGGATTGAGCTTGAGGTCGATCCTCCCGGCATTGTCGACAGCGTGCCGACTTAAACCTGAGCTTCTTTGAATGTAGTCTTGTACTCTTTATGCAATCCGTTCGTTATTGGGCAGGTGGCCGAGTGGTCTAAGGCGTCACGTTTAGGAAACTACTCCGTGATGGGTTCGCCCTCGCGCGTTCGAATCGCGTCCTGCTCATTTTGCTTTCTCGCACCCAACCTGCCGGGATTTGTGCTTCTCGACGTTACACGGGAAGGAGGCATCCGGATTATAGGACTGATGCATCGCCATCTGATCGTAACGAAAACATGCGCGCATTCGCCACCTGCGACATCCGACCTCCTGTCCTCGATATGTCCACAACGAACTCTGATCCACGGGCACTGTCTGGTTGCGTACCGCGCGACGCTCAACTTTCCTGTAGATATACTGCGTCCAGCAGGGGGATATTCATAGTCAGGGCTCATGGAACAAAGGTCTGCCTACAAGTGATCGGCAGGGGGACCTGACGGGCGTTCCGCCTTAAGAGTTTACGGCGGCGAATTGGCAGTGCGCACCCTATTGGGAGACGCGGTCGAAGGGCGCTGTAGCAGAGAGCTGGTCCAGGTCGTAGCGTGATTCAAGCCAATGTTGTTGCCAAGCCAGCGATCGCGAGACGGCTGAAACCAGTGGACAACGTCCTCAACCGGAGCTTTAGCCATCTCGTATCCTGAGGACTCAGCGTCGTTGCATGGTCTTCGTCGATGATCTGAGAGGCGTGTCAGAAGGATCTGGTCAATCAGAGTCCAGCGCCGTGTGGGCAGTAATGATGGGATGGCGGGCGTAGGTGGACAACTGCGGACCGATAGCCTTTCTCAGTCGCACCGATCCCCTCTTTGCTGGATATAACAGACCTCTCGCTGCAAACGCTCTGCTATCTCACTCGTTCACCCTACTGCGTTATCATCCAAAGGAACATTCTATCGAAGCCGCTGAGGCCGCTGCGCCTATAAGTGCCGCCGACGACCGTTGCGCGTCTCCCATTGTCCTCTCCACTGATACTAGTGTAACACAGTGAGTACCTCGATATTGCGCATTTCTAAAGAGCCGTCGTGGGCGTTACTCTCTCTGTCTTTCGCTCGGCGTTTGAACGAGACAAGTCAGCCTGATCTGACGCGATCTCCGTCAACAGGAACTGCTACAGGTCTAGCAGAGACCGCTGCTGATGGCGATGGCTGCGCCAAACCCCTCAAGGCCTCATGGGCCCCGTGATATCCAACGCTCCTCCTCCCCAGCTCCGTATGCCCTTCCGGAGATCACCCCTCTCAACATCCGCAAGGTCTCTGGAGCTCGGGAACCCTCGAGCGCGTCGGGCTCGCTCGCGCCACCCTCACTCATTACACCACGTTCGCGCTCACCGACGCCCTCCCTTTCACTACAAATACCTGGGGCATCCTCAACTCCCTCACTCTCGCTTCAAGTCTCGGGAACAGCGCCCAAACCTGACAAACCGAAGGGTCTGTTGAAGCTTAACATTCCCATCGCCGAGGGGAAGAGCGCGTTCACCGGCGGCTACTTTGATGGGCCGACGCCACAAGAGCAGTCTGGCGAGGGTATCAACGAACCAACCCTTCGCCCTCCGTCGACGCCCAAACCAGGTCCTTTAGACACTTTAGAGCCGATTCGCAAGACGCTGCAGGATATCGAGCGAAGAACTTCGTCGTCGAGGGTGTCGACTGTGCAAGACCAGACGCCGGAACCTGAGGTCTCGAACACCGTCGACGAGGAGGCGAGACGAGTGCCGCCTGCGGATGGGCAGGCGATCCAGTGGAGTGACGAGTATCTGGAAGAGTTGGATCGGTTAGGTGAAGGTGCTGGAGGTGCGGTACATCTCGTGAGGGATAAGCGTACCGGGGTCACCATGGCACGGAAGACCATCACCACACATGAGGCGCCCATGAAGCAACTGCTTCGAGAGCTGTCGATCGTGTCATCCGCCTCTCATCGAAACATCATTCACTTCTACGGGGCATACATCAGCCCGAGCAGCAGCGAAGTCAAGGTTCTGATGGACTTCTGCGAAGGAAAGAGTCTGGAAGCCATTGGGAAGAGGATCAAGGAGCGCAACGCTCGAGTCGGCGAGAAGGTTGCAGGGAGGCTGGCGGAGGGCGTGTTGCAAGGCCTCGCATATCTCCATTCGAAGAAGACGATACACAGGGACATCAAGCCATCAAACATTCTACTGTCTCGTGAAGGCGTAGTCAAGCTTTGTGACTTCGGTGTATCCGGTGAACTTGTCAATTCCCACGCTGGGACCTTCACGGGAACAAGTTTTTATATGGCCGTAAGCGTTGATTGCTCGTATAACTGGCTGCGGCGCAGAATACTGACATGGGTGCGACACAGCCTGAACGTATCTCTGGGCACGAATATACCATTAGATCCGACGTTTGGTCGACGGGAATATCGTTGCTTGAGTTGGTCATGAACCGATTCCCCTTCCCGAACGATCTTCCGCCCATCGATTTGATGATGTATATCACCCAGAGCGAGGTACTGTCGTACCACAAATATGGGATCTTGCTCTCACTGACACGTCGAACTTTAGCCACCTTGTCTTGAGGACGAAGATGGCATACATTGGTCGGAGACGTTCAAGGACTTCATCAAGACAACGTGAGTATCGCAGATCACGTGCGCCTCAGTGTCTGATCTTCTTTCGCAGGCTCATACATTCTGCGACCGTGCGTCCGACTCCGGAAGAAATGCTAGAACATCCCTGGATCGTGGAAAACATGCAGAAGGAAGTACCAATGGGCCGGTGGATTCGGGAGGTCTGGGGCTGGGCACCCCCTCCGAAAAAAGGGATAGGAAAGGACAGTAAATAATCGGACTAATGCGGCGTTGTAATTGTGGGTCTTGTTTCGTGTTCTGGAGTGTTCTAGCAGGGCGATATTGTACCCTGTGAGAGAGAGCAATAATGCCTTGGTTTCTCGGACCACGAAGACGTTAAGTTGAAAAGGGCATGTCGTTACGTTGCTAGTGATGTCTTGGCGGGTGGGATACACAGCGGTGTTTCGCTATAATGCTTGCGTCGACGAGAAATTCTAAAGATCATCGGCCGCTTACAAACAGGAAGGCTCTGTCCATGCATACGATCGAGCTCTGGCGCTTCACACTGTATAGAAACATGCATCAGAAATACGTCTCGCCGCTCAAGGTCGCCCAAACTCAGAGACTCAGAGACATGGCATGCTGAAAGGTTAAAACATTTGGTGAGTCATCGCGGACACAGAGTGAGAACCATCGAATATGCAATGACACCAGGACGGCATTAGTGCGGGATAGTTTGCATATGACTGTATATCAACCACTGAGGGTTGCGATCTCAAGATCGTACTGATTGTACACCGACGGCACTTCAATGTCTACACAAGGAGAAGACTTGCAGACTTTATGCTTTCTGGTGTTACTAGTAGAGTACAATCATGATCAGGCAGCAGGTAGATGCCGTCGGGATGTTCAGATACGGCTGAAAGCCACCTGCCCCAGTATACGACACCCATCCTCCGACAAAAGCGCCTACGACAGGCACAACAGTATACGCGATACACTGTACTCTACTCACCCGTAAATGTAATCTCCAAATTTTCGGGCGGTGTGCGAGGATCGGTACCGGTCGTCTTCTGCTATCAGTGTATACGTACTGAAAGTGAACCATCGAGCCAGGAGTAGTATCACCCGAAATCGAAGTAGATATCTCACATCACCGTCTTGCTTTACATTGAATCATTCCGATGCTTGGCGCTTTATCCTAAGCTGAAATCATCATGACCATTCGCTCCAGTGGGAAAAAGTGGAAATTTAGGGAAAGTATTGCCATTGGCGTTAGTCAATGACACTGATTGAAGGCCGCTCGGAACGGAGTCGGTTTTTTGCAAGCGCCGGTGGCAAGATATTTTCGTTCAGCGAGCCCACCTCTTCCGTGAGTCGCTATACCAACCAACTTAAATGCAGGGGAAGGTAACAGTTTGCAAAGAGCCGTGCGCAGCCTCGATAGAGATGCGTGAATGTCGCAACGGATCGCTCCTATCGAAGAACCAACATCCTGGAACCGAGGGATGGCGCTGTCGAAGATGACCACGGGCTTCCGAACGTCCTGGTCCTCATGTCTTGTTTACAGCACCAAAGCATGCGCGTCCGTCAAATCTTTGATGGAATCGTACATAGCATGCCGGTCACTGTGGAGCCCGGCGTGACCGAGTCGATATTGCGTAAAATAGTGCCTGCTGTCAAGGCAAAGCCGACAATGTATGCGCATTCAGTATCATTTCGTGTGTTGCACATTCCTATGGTGTCAGTGAGTCCATAAGGTCAATGATCTGTTGTGAGATTCCGAATATTTCGTTCTCGCCCGCGAATAGATCCCGGAATGGCTAGACCAAAGGGCGGTATCCCCTTGAACCATGTCCGGAATGAAACATGCGGGAAGGTATGCACGTATAAATAGAGACAGGACAGCACGAGGGCCCGTGCCGTGCCCGGTCTAAGCATGACCAATAGGATGTATGATGAGCAGGCGGATAGGCGCAAAAATAACAGCGCGGCTGAGTCGACAGTCGAGACCAACGGCGATGTGGGCGGCCAGTTGACGGAGTAGTGATCCTGCTATAGCATATTAAGCAGAGCGTCAAGATTCATTGATTATCTCGGTGCATGCGGGCTTTAACGATAGTACAGGTGGATTAGCGTTCAGGGGGCATGACAGTGGTCTGAGCATGTATTGAATTGGTGCACAGTGGACTCGCCTGAGTATATGGCTTGCGGGCGACAGTACAGGACAGCGACGACACTAGACTACTGATCTTCCATCGTATTCGCTGGCTGAAGTAAATCATGGTAAGGCCCTAGACAAGCTTCGATGACGGGGGACGCGGCGCGTGACGCGCTCGAGCTTTGTCGACAACCATGACCACTTCGACACGCGTATCCTTTGCGTCGCTCACTCCGAACAATCTTGGTTAGCATGCTCTTCCGACACGATGCCGACGCCAAACTAGTCCTGACGAGCGACAGGGACCGTCCGCAAACTTAACTCGGTGCTGTTCCCTATCAAGTACAGCGAAAAATTCTATCAGGACGTGCTTCTGCCGCAGGCGGAAGATTATTGCAAGCTGGGTATGGACAGCGGTATGAAATAACGTAATCTTGCGCTCAACTTCTGCTCAGTATACTACAATGATATCCCCGTGAGGATTCTCGGATTCTAGATGCATGCCCACATTGTTGATACACAGTCTGCAGGTTGGAACTATATGCTGCCGATTCGAGAAGAGAGATGACAAGACGGATCTGTACCTGATGACCATGGGCGTGCTTGCTGTGAGTACACTGAGTATTGATTTAGTACCGGGTACTGATGCGTATCAGCCGTATCGTTCGAAGGGTGTTGGATCCCGAACCTTGCAAAGCATCCTTGCCGCTGCAGAGAACTCGAAGCCGCGCATACGCCGCATATATCTTCACGTGCAGGTCTCCAACGTGGACGCCAAACGGTTCTACGAGCGACACGGTTTCAAAGAAGCAGGAGTGATACCTGACTATTACAAGAGGATCGAGCCCCACGCTGCATGGGTGCTCGAGAAGGACTTGGCGGGCGCGTCCGACTAGCGGACTACGTAGGCGGATGGTATCTCTAAGGATTATGTACGCCATCCCGACTACCCAATTAATGCACAGCTAATAACGTATACGTATGATCCAGGTTTCAGCAAAGATCGATGAAAAGTTCGGTGCCTGCGTTGTACATTGTATAATGACAAGAAAATAGCAATCTATAGTGATTTTGACGGTAAGACACGTGTCTCTGCCGAAGGATCGTTGACGTACAAGATGGAAGCAGATGCGCGCTTCAAGCCTCATCGGTTCCACATCGTTTGACGAGCTAGACTCGATTGTATCAGCGGGATTCTGCAATTTTCATGACCCTCGCTTACCTGATGGCGTTTCAAAGCGTCCTGAACGGGAGATCAGCTTTTTTGAGCGTACCAGTTGCAAGGCTGGCTGAGCCCCTCACCTTACGGGTGAACGTCTTCCCACATCCGCCGTTACAGAGGAACGGCTTTTCACCGGTATGAGTATCCCGGTGGCGCTTCAAATCGTGTTGACGATTGAAAGACAGCGCGCACATATCGCATGCGTAGGGGCGCTGGGGCGACGCTGGATATTGCGGATTGCTCATTGGATGGCCATATGGGGGTGGAGAGTACGCCATCGTTGGCGAGTTCGGACTCGCGGAGGTATAACCTCCGGATCGACTGGAATACGGCGATGAGACTTGTTGCGCACGGGAGTGCTCCGGCGATGGTGGAGGAACGTTGATCGCAAGCCCGTTCGGTGGGTACTGCTGGTGTGGCGCCGACATGCCTGGCCGTTGCGGAACGGGTGCGTAGACGCCGTGGCCAGGCTGGTAATATGCCGATGGTGTTCCATTGTGCTGAGCGGCGAGTTGGTAGTTGACAGGCGATTGTGGGGGTACGCCTCCTGCCGAGGACGAATAGCTGGCGGAAGCATACTGGGCAGACGACGCAGGGTATGTGCCGTATCCCGATGCTCCGTTCCACTGCGTCTGCTGATAGACGCCGTTGCCGCCGTTGGTGTAGTAGCGACGATCCGACATGGTGTCCGGGTGCGGCAGAGACGATGAAGTTGGTGCAGGGTTTTCGTCTTTGGGCGCGCGGTGTCGGATATATATACAAGGATCCAAATGGACTTGATTTTGATGGCACGAGATCGGGGCGGGCTCGATTCATGCATCATTGGCGTGAATGGTTGGCACAGCTTGGGATAACTAGCACTATTCCTAAAGTAGGGCCTGGCAAACGGAACAGGTAAGAAGGCCGAAGCCAACTAGGCCAAAGGCAGCCGATGGGCCAGAATCTGCGTAAGGCACCGAATCGATCACTTCGCCCCGAATTTTTGGACATATGTATCCAGGTCCACGAAGCCCATGACACACCCTTTTGTGGCGTTCCGCCGAGGGCACTGCCCAATGCTGAGATGCTGACCCCCACAGAAATGAGACAACGGAGAGCGCACGTCACTTACCCGCTATACGTATTTGCACTCCCGACGCGGCCCTCAGCCGAATGATTGATTGCACCTGCCGCTGCCATTGTCCAGCATTCGCCTTGCATGCGCTCATCGACTTATGCCGTCCATGGCTAGTCCTCTTGTCAAACTCTCTCTCGTAGATTCTTGCACACCTTGTCTGCCTTCCCATGGCCCTCGCAGTACCAGAAGTCTGACCGTCGAGTGCTTCCGACATCTGTCCTGCGCACCGTTCCCTGGACCTGCTCTCAGCGGGAGCTTACAGAAGTGTTCCCATAACTACGGGCCCCATGATTCAGGATGACGCTGAGCAGTACGCCCGTGGTCCTTGCCTTGAAAGGTCGGGTTCTCAAAAGACCGCCTATCTTTCTCATCGTGGGCCCACCCTGTGATCCGGTCGGTGCAGGGAAGCCCACGCGTGAGCAGTCCAGCCCGCAGCTGGCCAAGGACCGTCAAACTCTAGATCTGCGCGTTTTCCGGAGCGCCATAACGTAGTCTGCCTGCGGCGAGGCGCCCGGCGTACCCACAGCAACTACACACGCCCGTAAGCAATACTTAGCGATGGCGGAACCCTTCAACCCCGAGATTTTCATACACCTTCCGCCGAGAACCGCGCAACGTCCAATGAGCGATGGTTTATACTCCTCCTCCGAACAACGACATAGCCTTCCCGGAACCTATCTCACGGTGTCAAGAGGGATCATCCCCGCAGATTTGGACCACCGGAATCAGAGGGGGATTATCTCCACAGCGCGGGTCCATGATCCAACGCTGAGGTAAATGAACCACGGAACGATGGCGAGATCTCCCTTGCCACGAAGCTCGACTGGAGTCGTCGCGTCGGAGCCGTTCCCATCCCGGCGAACCGTTCCTCGTGCTGCGCGGGTCCATCTGCCATCTGCTGACGGGGTACCCTGCGTTTGGTGCCTGTCACTGAGACGTCCTGGAATATCGGAATCACAAAGTAGGTTTAGTTGTAGGGTTTCTAGCGCCTGTTTAACGGCATCTTCCTTCGGTTTCATGCTCGAGCACAGGGCAGACCGATAGCATCGTGAGCTCGTCGAAGTTTTACCGTTTAATCCGTATTCGGGAATGTTAAGCTCCTATGGCGACCATGCTGCTGCTCGTCAGCTTCATTTGTTGCTAGGATCGCAGCCGTATGCGGTCCACAGTGTGTATTTTCAGAAGAACTAGGAGTTCCGGGCCGGATACTGTTCTTGTGTGCAAGCGAGTACCAGCCGATTTATCAACGAGTTATATGCAATGCGATTCCGACACGTTTTGTGCATGATGCTGCCGTGCCTTACGCACCAAGGAACGTCTCTCTCTTGTTCCTGGTCCGATGACAGAATTGTATGGAGATGCGTACGGCTTCTCAGGTTCCGACGAGTAAGAACCACACCCAGAAGCGGGCACTGGTGCAGCAAGTTCAGCTAGGTGGGAAGTGCGGGTTTGCGGGATCTATGCGAATCTTATCGAATTGCCAAGAGGGGTGATGCGGTCTTCCGGAAGCGTTTCAGACTATCCCAATCCAAAGCGATATCTACGCTATCGAGGCCGCGATCAAATATTATCGCAAAGAGCGTGTCTTAGAATCGGTGCCTCCCAGATTATCACGGGAAGCGATAGCCGTGGTGGCGATACGCCACAAAGTCTCTTGAACATTGAATAGATTCTCCCACGCTTGCAGTACAGTTGCACAGCCCCCCGTTTAACCGCGTAGGTGTCCAGTTGATCGAGCCTTCATCCATCCACATGTCCAAACGAACGACGAGCGGACAATCTACGCCTCGCAAAAAGCCTAAGCTCACGTCAGGTCAAAATAGTCTAGATAGATTCTTTCACTCTTCCCCACGCAAGACGGCCACAGGCGGTCGGCAGGAAACCGAGAGCAATCCGAAGGGCAAGCAGTCCGCGGATGAGCGCGGTGTTGACCAGCCGTCGGCGTTGTCAAACGTTCGGCAAAGCAGTAGCAAGCTCAAGGCAGACTGCGCTGCTGAGATCATAGACGTTGACCTCTTGGACGACCCTCCCGCTCCGAGTTCGCACAGGACATCCACCGTTCAACCTGCAGTACCCCGGTCACCAACACCGAAGACAGCAGCCAAGTTCTCGGGGCTCACTCTCTCGTCTATCACGTTAGACTCAGGATCTGCCGTTCCTGGATATTCCATCCTTGACATCGACCCTCTATCCCTCGATTTGACTGCATGCCCATGGAGGTCCTCCAGCCCTGCCCCGTTCTCCTTTCTAACCCATCTCTTCGCCACATTATCTCAGACGCGCTCACGAATCCGCATATTGAATACCATCACGAATGGGTTGCGTATGCTGCTCCGATATGATGCGGCCTCTTTGCTGCCCGCCCTCTGGCTTCTTTCAAACACCCTATCACCGCCATATTCCGCCGTGGAACTCGGACTAGGACCAGCGGTGCTCCATCGCGCCATTCAGCATATCTCTGGTCTCACGTCCGCTGCGCTGAAGACCTTATACAATAAACATGGTGATCCAGGTTGGAGCATGTTCATTCAGGTTCTTCTCGGGCGCGTCGCTGATATTTCGAGGTAAGGGGACGTCGCATTTGAGGCCAAGAGCAACGTTAGAACTCTACTTCCCCATCCCCCGTTGACCATTACTGGCGTCCATGGAGGAATGCTGAAAATTGCCAGCGCGAAAGGAGAAGGCGCTGCGAAACAGAAGCAGGCCATCGTTGAGAAGCTGCTCATCGCCGCGAAGGGCGAGGAAACACGCTATCTCGTCCGGTCGCTCTGTCAAAATAACCGGGTGGGAGCAGCGCGCATCACTGTACTCACGGCGCTCGCACGCAGCATTGTGCTCACCTCCCCGCCAACACTCAATATATCTATAGCAGGCGAATCTCGATATCATGCATCCGCCGAGCTACTAGCTCAGGCTATATGTGACGACGAGAGCGCGGACGAGGCACGAAAGCGTATCGGCGCCCAGATGACTGAATCCGAAGCGCTCATCAAGAAGACGTTCGTGCAAAGACCCGACTACAATGCAATCGTGTCCGCGCTCCTGGAGGGGGGCCTAGACGGCATCATAGATCGGGTACCGCTGGCTGTTGGCGAGTCATTCTGCAGGCCGAGTCCAGAGTTCTACTGGCTTATTCCCATTGCAGGCATCCCGCTACATCCGACACTCGGCTCTCCCACGCGTTCGCTTGACGAAATCTACGAGCGATTTGAAGACTTGCCGTTTGTGGCGGAGTTCAAGTAATTTGCTCCATATAGCCTTTCCTATTCATTAGATACTCACCGGATTTTCAGGTACGATGGACAGCGTGCTCAGGTCTGTGTTTCCTCTGGGCTCGTCGGACTATCAGACTGATGGATCCTAGGTACATGTATGGGCCGAACCTGGCGTTACCCACGTCAAGATATTTTCTCGGCACCTCGAGGACATGACGGAAAAGGTTGGGCTCCTCTTGTTCTCAGTGCTTCTTTGTCAGCTATCCCATTTTCTGACACGCGGAGGTTTTGAACCTTCAGTACCCAGACGTCGTTGCCCTGATGAACCATATATACGAGACATCTCCGGATAAGGAGTCGTTCATTCTGGACGCTGAGGTTGTGGCTGTAGATGCCGAAGACGGATCTATCCGTTCATTTCAAGAGCTATCGAATAGGGCGCGTAAGGTGCAGTCAAGCGCTGAAGTCAAGATAGCCGTATGTGTCTTCGCGTTCGACCTCATGTATCTGAATTCCAAGGTGAGTATTGTCGACCATAAAGTTGTTGGCCCACCAATGAATGGCCCGGATCTGCTCAGGTCCTGCTCTGTGAACCCTTTCGTAAACGTCGAGAACTCCTTCACACGCATTTCACTCCTTTCGTGCCTTTGGGGCCAGGGATCGCGAGGTTCGATCACGTAGAAAGCTGCGGTAGCGAACAAGGAAGGGATTATGTCGAAGAGTTTTGGCAACAAGCCGTGGAAAGCCGCTGTGAGGGCCTGATGATCAAGGCATGTATGTTGTGCTCATCGCTGGTCCGATCGGCTGAAGAATCCGGACATAGCTTCTTGACAGCGGCGAAGTTCATGATGGAACCGGCCCTCATCAAAGCAAATCTCGACGCAAGCCCTTGCCTGCAACGTACGAGCCAGGTACGGTGCAGTCATCCGGACATGACGATTCGGCAACGTGAACTTCGTTTATAGACAAGAGGACGTCGGCATGGCTCAAGTTAAAGAAGGATTACGTTAGTGGTTTAGGTGATTCTCTGGACCTGGTGCCGGTAGGTGCATGGCATGGGAACGGTAGGAAAGCACAATGGTATGGCCAGTGAGCAAGATACATGCTGTGAACCGCTGAGCTTTTATGGTAGGTGGTCGCCTATCTTACTCGCCGTGCGGGACGCTTCCACCGGACAGCTTGTTGCCATGTGCAAATGCATGTCAGGTTGGTGCTCTACCTGCAACATACAATCCAGAAATAGAACTGACGTGAAGGATGCCAGGTTTCACGGATACATTCTATAAGGTTCAGCTCGAATCTCGGCTAGGCGGGATCTTATTATTTAAAGATTGAACCTAGGCCCTGCGGGAGAAGTATGCACCCGGATCAGATAATTGCGCGTCGAGAAACATCTGGCAAGTTGAAACCGGCGGTGGGATCTCATCAATTGTGTTTCCTGCCGCGGAACTGAAGGAGACGCTTTGATTAATGTAAACCAGGGCTCAAGCCTGAAGTCTACTTCAAACCAGTCGAAGTCTGGGAAATAAGGGGGGCAGAGTGAGTGTTGACCACATTGCAGTATCGGATGTTTTCTGACCATAATCATGCGTCGATAGTGTAACGCTGAGTCCAGTGTCAGTTGCCGGTATCGGAATGATTTCCTCCAGAGGATGCAGTCTGCGGTTTCCTCGATTTATCAAAATTCGTATCGATAAGACTACTGAGGAGGCGTCCACCGCGGAGTTCCTGGTGCAGATGTACAAGGATCAACAGGCAAGAGGCAAGGATCAGACAGGTGCAGATGAGGGTGATCTGGTAGACGTCGACTATGAATCGGTAGAAGAAGCAGATGATGACTCCGCCAATGGGGGTGAAGGATAGCTGTGGGGCTGGTGACGAGGTATGAATACCACCAAGTTCTCTCTGGCGCCTTCCCTTGACATCAGTCCGCTTCGATGCATGAATCCTCTTTTGGTTACATACATATCGTACACGCCTGTACAGGAACCTTTGGTGCCGTAACGTTGCCAAAAAAACGGACGCGCATGACGCATAGTAGTACAAACGGCGAAAGGTGCCAAGAATAAATAACGGAATAAATATATGAATAAACATGCGAATAAATACGACGAATGACTTGCGAAATACAACATCAGTGGAAGGACTGGAAGATGCAGGGTGTACAATGCGAATGATGCAAATGCGAGTGTTGGTGCGGTACTCAGCTGACTGCGATGCGGAATGGGTTAGTCTGGCTGAGGTGCGGATGCATGATGCAGGGGAGCTATGTAATGCAGTGAGAGCGTAATGTTCTCGTGAGAGTCTGTAGTAATGCAGTCTTCGGAAGACGATGGCTCTGAGGAGGTTTTTGTTACGACTGAGCTGCGGCGAGATGATGTTCGCGCGCGAAGCCAGCTGAGGTGGATCGTGATGGTGTGCCGAGATATCGGAGCCGGCATGGCGTAAGTGTAGGTTCGTAACATGTCGTTATCGTAGTTGCGGCGCGGACGCGATCGCCGGGAGGGATTGACATTCCAACGGTGCAGTGCTTGCCTTGGGGATGAGGGTGTCGTAAAGGGGCCGCAGTATGCCTTTGCGACGGCCAGGCCTTAGAAGGCCGACTATGCCTCCATCGGCTTCTCGTCCTCCTCATCCTCCGTGACCGGGTTCGAGGATCCCTCTGCGCTTGACTGGGAGCCCCGGCGAGGTCGCTTGGGCTGCGAGTGAACACGTGCATGCCGGCGCATGTTGCTGAGAACACTGAAGGCACGTCCGCAGCCTTCGACAGGGCATTGGAAGGCTAGAAACATGGCAGTCATGTCAGACATGCGTTGCGATAAGTAAGTTATGACGTACGCTTCTCCTTTGTATGCGAATTGATATGAATCTGATTGCAACAATGCATTCCGTGAGTCTTGTCGACAGCATCGTGTAGTAGGACGAGGACACACCTTCAAGCTGCTGGGGCGGTTGAACGTTTTCCCGCAGTAGCTGCAGTCATATCTCGCTCCTCGAGTGCTCGGACCGGGTACCGGAGCGGGAATTTCGCTGGTGGACGGTGCCCTATACATCCCGGTAGGCGCGCCGTATTCTGGTTCGGGGCCGACAAGGCCGCTGGGCATGCGATGAGCGTGTTCGCCATGTGGGCCCATTGGGGATCCAGCGTACACGCGCGGCGCGCCGTGCGAGGCGTACGGAGTGCGCATATAGTCATAAGGAGAGCATTGTCCGTAGCCGCTGGTGCTCGGGTGCAGCGTGTCTGAGTAGCTTCGCCCGCGTGCACCCTCTGGAAACTGGAGTGAGGATGACGACGCGATGTTCGGGAATGACGACCGACGGATGGTGGGATCCGCGATCTCGGGGTTTTGGAACGGATGAATGAATGTCGGAGGGGGCGTGGCCAACAAAAAGGAAGAAGTGGCAGTTGATGGTGTTCCCGTTGACGCGGACGAGGGATGGAACTAAAGGAGCTGCGATCAGATTTACACGGTGCGTTAAATGAATCGAGTCGCGTACCAAGGATCCGTGTCCGGCACCGGTGTAAGGTCTCGGGGTGAAAGAAGGACTCGACTGGTAATAAGTCGGGTCGTTCCGTCCATCATCAACGGAAGAAAGGCGAAGGCGGGAGAACGATCCAGAAGGGGATCGTGCAAGGTCAGGCGTCGCAGTGTTGGCTGGAGGCCGGCGAGGAAGTGCGAGTTCCTCGCGAAACAGATCTCTGATAGGTGGTAGTGTGAGTCGGCCCTGTCGACTGGGGTAGGGCGCTTCAGGCTCCGGGGATGAAGACGCTCGACCTTGCATTGGAGAAAGAAGTTGGTGATAGAGAGAAAGAAAAAAGAAGAAAGGTGAAAGAAGAAGAAAGCGAAAAGAAGCGAGAGGTGGATGCAGCGGCTGAACAGACAAGAGCCCTCGGTGAGACAAGGATCCATATATACCGAGCGGAGCACCGGGATGGCCAGCCCACCCGATGGTAGTAGCGATGATGATCAATGGCAATCAAAGCACGATTCACGGTGATCCTATATTCGAGAGCGCAGATCAGGTCGTAACCTCTGCAATGCATTGAAGAAGGATCAGGGTGTATCCATGTACGGCGCATCCGGGACTCGCCTGCAGGCGACTCATGGCCGGCACGGTGTTCAACCAATCCGCGCAATGCTATCGTCTGGCAACAGACAGCGCAGAGAGACAGCGGCTTGCGAAGGGTTACGTGGGGGTGACATTGCGCCCGTTCGCGAGACGGCGATGAGGGTCGCCAAGGGTCGCGTCATGGTAACGTGGCAGAGGTATCAAGTGCTTTCGGTGCTGATCGATGTTCACTACGACGACCGTCGACGAGACGGAAGCTCAGCAACCAGCGGATTGCAGTGCCAGCGTCTACGACCCATGCGATGAATCTTGAGCTGACGCTGGTCGGTGTACTGAGGAAATGCGATGAGTGGCGGCTGTGCTGCTCGATACACTAGTCTTCGGCTGTTCAAACATGTACATGCACCTATCTCGAGCACTTCACTGTGCTTAGACATTTCATTCCTGCGCTCTCAGAGGTTAAGTACGTGGAGGGCTGCGTGGTCTAATCATGTTGACGCGGTCTGTCGTATCCTTGGAGAACGGCAGCGTTTGCGCGGGTGATGCTCTTGGTCATGTTGGTGGACGAAGTCCGCCGGCAGTAGTGCCGGAGGTCTTGGCTTGACGACAGGGGAACCCAACAAATCAACTGGAAACATATGCGTAGTATACCAAGAGCCTCGGCTCAAAGGATTCAGGATTGACAGGACGCGGCGATCACGAAAAACTTGCCCTCACAGACCGTCAGAAGTGGGATAATCACATCGTACACGGGCAGACCGCACCAGTACGCAGACGCAGTTCGCTCATCGCTGGGACAACGTGCAGAGTGAGTCCGGTCGTTATGACATGGATGACGGCGGCGCCCAAAATGTATAAAGTGCATAGTCGAGCCGATGAACGGCTTACGAGATTACGCGAATAACTTGCAATGTTCGGCCCTGAGGAGCCTCCACGCGTCGGTACCCGCATGAAGTCAAAAGTGGCATTTTTAACTTTCTGTCAGCAGAAGCGAAAGAGATCATCGCGGGCCATGGCCACCAGATTCAGCCGTCGGGTGGTAGACAGCTGTCTCGCACACCATCACGGAGTTCGTCACCGAGCGTCGCGGACTCTATGCCTTGTTGGCTTCGTCCGCGGTCTTTGTCTGGAGCGAGAGCGCGTGAACGCCCCCATCCCGATTCAGCTCCTCGGCAAGTGCGGCATATACGAGTCGGTGCCTCTGCATCGTCGTCTGGATGGGAAGCAAAGTCGTAAGCCATCCTGCTATCGATGCTGTCTGAGGTCCCCGTGCTGCGCGTTTGATGATGGCGCGGCAGGAGTTGGGTAAAGCTGGAGTGTGTACGTGCCTTGCCCTTGAAAGCATCCGACACCATCTGGATGGAGAAATCTGCGCGCGCAAAGAAATTTAGAGCAGGGTTCAGCATTTCCATTTCATGCGGCCGAGGCGAGACGAGGCAATGTAACCCAAAATGATGAAACGCATCATGAAATATCCTCTGCGGGATGGAGAGTCTGGAAATCAAGGAGCAGAATAGCACTCACGCGTCTCACCACTGCCCCCGCCTTGTTCTTTCATAGCGCGGTGGTGCCGATGTTGCCAGGAGTCATTCGTGATCGTGAGCTCCGTGGGGTTCAGGAGTTCTGTAAGCTACGTTCATATGAAGGCGACCGCGTGTGCGTGGATACTTGTGTCCTCGGCGAATGCAAAGAGGTCTTACTTTCTGCCGAATGCTGGTTTCGATCGGACCTGGTGCTTGCGCTGTTCCGTCAGTAGACATGGCGAAGAATCGGGTGCTCGGGCTGGCGTTGAATCTCCTGAAGCCCGCGACTGGACGTAGGCGGAGGAGGCGCATTGTCAAGAACAATATCCGACCCCTGATGTTCACGTGGAATACTCCGACGACCCCCGTCGGCCCGTGCGCCACTGAATCCGTGGAGTACCTCTAACGCTCACCGTTGAGCAAGAGAGTATACAGTAGCAGGAGCGCTTTTGGTAGTCCACAACCATCAGGCCTCGGTACTTTAGGACAAGAAATCCCGCAATACGTACTCGCTCCTTCAAATTTACCCTCATGCTCCTTCATGCCGTTCTCATCACGTGAATTGAGTAAAGGTAGGGTTAGGGCCGTCTTTGTCCGACTCATTGTCCTCCTAAGTTGCTCCCAATCCCAACCATCCCGGTTATTCTCGCTTGCTAGACGTTGTCTCAAACAAATACACCAAAGATGCCCTCCACCCTCCCCGCCTCGAATCCTTACACTGTTCATATGGCCGATAGTGGCAACAGTGGCATCATCATCAACAGAACGGATGCTTCTGCCGATCGGTGGCCCAAGCAGGTTAAAGAACCTGCTCCCTCAGGTCTCCCAAGTACTGCATCTACCAATCACTTCGAAGTTGCGGTTGGGACCCCTCAAGAGAGCCATTGGAAGAGAGCGATCGGCAAGTTCTTGGCAAAGCAAGTGCTGATACCCGCTGGGTGTAAGTTTGCTCCATATCCATTGTTTCCGAGATGACGATCTGACACTTGCCTAGACGCGGTGAAGGCAGACAGATGTGTGCTGATCAGCTTCCCGGAGGGGTATAAGCTATTCACGCACAAGAAGGGGGATAATTATGACTGGCGCACGGACTGTTACCTATGTGGTGAGTCAAGTCCATTCGCTGGTTGCCCTTGGTCAAGAAACCTATGGACTCACTCCCTGGCCACTTTTTCCAGGCTCTCTCACTGTGAACCGATTTCGATCTCCGGCCGAGTTCTTCTTCCATGCAAAATGGCTTGCGGAAGGCAAGCCCACGACATCCAGTGGCCGAACTACCTGCCAGTGCACATATTGCGATAATACGCGCACGCAGGGCGAGATATCTGCTACATATTCCAATTATAAAAAGGCACAGAAGCGGGTATCGAGCACGGAGGGCACGGACGATGAACAGGAGAATCCAGCATCTAAGAGGAAGCGAGGCACTACAGCTGAGACGAAGAAGAAGCACAAGGCGGCGCCCGCGAAGCCAATAATGGCGAAGGACTATCGTGACATGAACCGACCTGACTCGCCGCCGCCTGCTGCACCTCCAGTGTAGTGAGAAGAGCCGAGTGCAATGACTCATTGGCCCGCTTGTCCTCTCCGCACTTCAGGAGGTCATACCATAATCATAACATCACATCACCTTCCATGTCCAAACTCCTAGGTTTTCAAGCACGGATAATACTTATCGTCATATACGCCCCATCACGCCGTCCTCCCTCTATCGCACACCTCCAACATGTTTTCGATTCTTCGGTACTATAGCTTCAGTTACTGTAGACCTTAAGTACTTGAATAATCTAATTGCTCATGGGATTGTCTCAGAACTTAGCAATTCGCGTCGACACGTGCTATCTTCTTACCATGACTGCCGTCGCGACCACTGAACGCGAATTGAGCAAGAACCTTCAAGCGCTTGTGGACACCTGTTTCGAAGAGGGTCAATACGAAGCCGGCATCGATCTCCTGCTTAATATATGCACGCCAAAAGCGCGTCCATTCGCGTGCGTAACTACTACCAACCTACTTCGACGCGTAAAGATCAGAACCAGACGCGTTAAACGCGTGGTATCTTTTGCAGGCCGCATGTGCGACAAGTCCTGTATATGGCACTCTACCCGCCTCCTCCTGAAAATGACCCAGCTGCAATCACAGCCGGGAACATCTCACCCTCCAAGATCAACCTGAAGCGGAAACGGTCGGCCTTGCTGCCTACCCCGGAAGCCACAGCTGCCGCGAACAGATGCATGTTTCATATGGCTCTAGCTTGCTCTCCTGCGTCTATCATGCGAGCAATCCCTTCGTACCCGCCTCCCGGAGTCGGGAACTTTGTTATGAAAGACGAGGACGAGGACGAGTCTTACATCGCGCGTGTAACACATCGGTGTTTCACCCACATTCGCACTTGTTGGGACGTTCTACGTGAAGGATTTGTGAGACGGAAGCGACTCGATGTGCCTGGCGACAACCGAAGAGGCAGACGCATCGCGGACGATGTAGACGCCGAGGAGGAAGAGCTTGAAGAGGGCGTCGAGGAAAGCGCCGTGGGCCGCCATGCGTGGCTCGTTCTTGAATGGCTCATCATGATATTCAAGAATGATCAAGATGCTCATGTCAGGAATGGGACTCGTTCGTTCTCCCAATCTCTTACATGAAGTGTTCTTCTTATGATATGTCAGAACGACATTCCCCTTTGCTGCTAGCGCAGATACCTCCGTCGAAGACGGGACAGGGTCCCAGATGGGACGCCAAGGAGCCACTGGACGTCGTCTTCTGCTGTATGGATCAAGCGGATATACACAAGCGATCCCTCGGCGGGGATCTGATGTCACTCGTATGCAACTTTTTAACTTGAAATGTTTTGGATCTTTCTGATTGAATCTTTCGCAGCTCGTGAATCTGACATCTTCGCCTGACTTTGACACGTCGATATTCGCGGATCAAGTTGTTAATCGGACTGCTGCCAGCGTTGACACCCTGTCAAACTTGTTCCTCGCATCCACACCCTCTCCCGCATTGAACACATTCAAGACTGTTGTCTACGTCAAATGTCTCGGAATACCTGCGCCATCCGCGACTGGTTCCTCCAGGCCCAAAGCACGGGGTCGTCTCCCCCCCCGGGCGCGACGGATAGGTGCGGCAGATCCAGAACTGTCCGGCCCGAATCCCATCGTGACTCCCAGGGACAAGCCTCCTAATCCCGACGAGGTCGTGAACGTGCTTGGCGCACCATCTGCTGCCCCGGATGCGGGACGACTCAAGTGTGAGCTGTTGCTATCATGCGTGCCACACCAAGGCCAGGAATGGCATGCATTCAAGACCGGCGGCCGTATTGCGGAAGTCATGCAGGAGGTCTTCGAACAAGAGGGCATCGATCAGCACGTCAAGGACGTGGTCAGCATTGCCTTTGGTGATGCAAATTTGAACCCTTCGTGCTTCGTTGGCCGCGATGGCGTTTCATCGTCAACGTTGAGCAGCTCAACCTCCGACTTGCTCGGGGTATCCTGAACATATGGGTGATTTAGATATGTTACAATCCGTCTAATGTACATTAAATGTTTTCCCTCCCATACGGTCGACGTCGTTGTCTATGACATCTGTCCGGTTTGGACGAGAAATCTTCCCGCTACGCCAACAGGACCCATTGTAGACGCCAACGCTTCTTGGTAAAGATTTAAGGGTATGTATCCGATGTAATGCTCGCTATTCAGAGGCAGCCGTCAGACTGTCATGCAGTATCCGACAAAACAAGTCACCCCACCTGCCAAAGCCACCGACATAGTATATTGCCTAAACGCCTCATCAGCAGCTTGTTCTGAAAAAGATCCGACTGAATACCCACCTGCGGATCAAATCGCGCCCAATAGGATAGATGAGGTGCTCGCGGCGAGTCGGGAAGCCAGCCCCGCGCATCCGGGTGACGTCGGAGATAACATGCTTGCAAGGCTTCGACGTCGTCGATTTGATCGTCGCTATCGAATACGGTGACATTGCCTATGAGGGAGACCCGTGCGCGGCTAGCTTTAGGTAAGGGTTCGGACCATATTGATATCGATGCGCTGTGTGAAGGAGAATGGATGATGTTCTGACTGTGCCGGGAGATGGGGAGGAAAAGGAGGGCAAGAGAGCCATTGGTGAAGCAACTGAAAGGGGTTAGAGGTTCGGCACTTTGATCGGTGATCAGTTGTAGACGGACCTAGCATAATACTCCTGAAGTGGAAACGCTTGACCTTCAACGCGCCGGTGAGTTGCACATGGACACAAGATCATGCAGAAGATCCCGCACCCGCAAGATCGTGACCATCTGGGAACAAGGTCGCCATAGTTCCGATAGATGTCGGAGAATAGTCAACCAATTTGCGTGCCAGTATTGCTACATCGAGTATGTAGATAGAGCAATCAGAACGTTTGACGTCGAGATGCTCGACGGTTGATTTGTGGGAGACCGACCTGCATCTTCCACCGTCTCTTCAGCGACGGCCAATAGCACAAGACTCTGCAGGACCAGCAATCCCATGGCGGCCCAGTACAGAAGAGCATCGCGAGATCCGTAGGAGTGTCCCATGCTTCTGTAGCGTCGACCAACGTAGCCGCAGATTCAGGCAATCAGGCAGGGCTGATGACAAGGTAGGCGCCTTACAGTCACTACACGGTCCGATGGCCTCCAGAGGAGAGCCATTGAAATGATCACATGCTGGTCACAGCTCCATCCTGGTCCTGCGCTTTGCAAAGAGACACTGACGTCGTCTTGCGGCTTCGTCTTCAAACCACTACCACTTGCCTCCGTTGCTATCTTCCGTATCCTTCGAAATATAACCTGACACTCTTTCAACCCGTAATCTCAGCATCCGCCCGACGCAGCGCCGCGCAGCATCTGCGGTGCACTCCGAAGCACCGCTTCGTTGTCGGAGCATCGATTATATATAACACATGTCGGCATCTTACCAACCGCTTCCAACAGACGACCGCACCAACCGTAGCAGAACCTCACTGTCACCGCGGAAACGTCCCAAGGCGTCGTTTCTAGTCTTCTTGGCCGTCTCCTTATTTCTGGTCGGGGTTCCTACGTACAACGCATTCCACCGCCTCGCCGCCGATCGTGATCAGGCTTTGATAGGCAAAATTCCAGAAATCCAGAACACCACCGTCGCAGTGAATCAGACAGAAATGTCGCAGCAAGGGAAATACAGCGTCGGATAGTACGTGACAATGTTATCTCGGGCCCGACTCGCAGCAGCTAACCGCCGTCCCGTTAGCTTTGTTAATTGGTTCGTGAAACGCTGCGATTCAGCGATCTTTCCTCACTCTTGCCCATAGGGGTATTTACGGTCGTAAATTTCCGCCCTCGTTGATCCCCGCGGAGGATCTCACGTACGTCTGATCACTATGTACACCCGCATTTTTGTCTCAATCATGCGAACCTCATAAATATATTTCCTGTCGACCATTTCAGTCACATCCTTTACGCGTTTGCCAACGTCAAGTCCGAGACCGGGGAGGTGTTCTTGTCTGATCTGTGGGCAGATCAGGACATACATTACCCGGGAGACTCGTGGGATGACACGAGCAACAACCTGTACGGCAACTTCAACGCTATCTACAAGCTCAAGCAGCAGCACAGGCATTTGAAAGTGATTCTATCAATCGGTGGATGGACGTATTCGCCATCATTCCACCCTGTCGTAGTGGACGCGTCGCGAAGGGCCCGATTCGTCGAAAGTGCCGTGCAGTTGCTAGAAGATTATGCGTTAGACGGTCTAGACGTCGTACGCAGGTGTCTATAAGATTCACGCAGATAAACATTGACATAGGCACACTTAGGACTACGAATATCCTCAAGTGAGGAAGGTTTCACAACAGCTCGTCCTAGCGCTCATTGCATGTAGAATGACGAACAAGCGAGAGGATACGTGGCCCTTCTACACGAGCTCCGACATGCACTTGACCAACATGCGCGAAACAAGGGCATCGATTACCGCTTCCTATTGACCGTGAGCACAAAGCTGGACCTGTTTAGAGCTGCCTACTCATCGCATGGACAGATCGCAGCGCCTTGCGGCCCAGATAATTACAAAAAGCTCCATGCGGCTGAAATGGATAGGGCACTTGACTTCTGGAACATGATGAGCTATGTACGTGTGCTTGACACGCCCGGGGTTGTAGTTGTTGATACTTTAATCAGGATTTCTGTTCGTGTTCGAGCACTTGTTGTGCATTGGAGCTAACGCCCTCGGATCTCAGCCGGTTCCTGGGACCAGATCGCGAATCATCAGGCCAACGTGTTTGGCGGGTTGATCAGTGCCGCTGAGGCGATCAACTGGTACATCGCACAAGGTGTGCCACGGCATAAGATCATCATGGGCATTCCGCTGTACGGTCGAAGGTGACGACCAGTCCAGCCCTGTGAGTGACGAATGAGCATTAAGTAATCGTTCTCCTAGCTTCATGAACACCCGCGGGCCTGGTCACCCTTTCTCAGGTGTCGGAGCGGGCAGCTGGGAACAGGGTGTCTATGATTACCGCGCTTTGCCTCTCCCCAATTCTCAAGTATTCCATGACGAGCGAGCCTTGGCAAGCTGGAGCTTCGATCCCGCGAAGGGTGAAATGGTGAGCTTTGATACTGCGCAGGTTGGTTGGTGGAAGGGTGAGTACATCGCGCGGGAAGGGCTGGGAGGCAGCATGTTTTGGGAGCTCTCGGGTGATAAGGGAAGCCCGCGGGAAGGGATGGAGAAAGGAGAAGGAAAAGACGAGGTGCCCGGCGACAGCCTGGTGAGAACGGTCAAACAAGCGATGGGTGGGCTGGACCATAGTCCCAACTGGTTACGGTATGGCCAACGGCTTGAACCCGCTGTTTCTTCATCACTAGCGGTGAGAGCTGAGACGTGACCCTTCGCTTAGGTATGAGCGCAGCAAATTCAAGAACATCGCAAACGGGGGTACAGGGGGAGGAGCCAATCCGACGCCTCCGATCACTACTGCAACGGACCGTGACGGTAGTCAGCCTCGACCGAGTATTGCACCCTGGAGTCCCAGCGTTCGTCTTCCTTCGAATTTCATCCTCTCGGAGCCTTTTGACTTACGACCGCGATGCGTGACACAGGCTGTTTACACCGGGGGAATGACCTGCACACATGGTAAGCAATTGTGAACGGTGCTCCGACGAGCGGCTCCATAACTTACTCGTCTGTCAGCCGGCTACGTCTGGACCGCTAAATGGTGGACACAAGGCGAAACCCCTGGCCCTAATGGTAGGGCGTCCCCTTGAGGGCTCTTCGGAAGGCGCTGATCGCTCCCTGCAGTGGATGTCTGGGCCCAGGGTGCCGCTGTGTAACTTGCAGCGTACGTATGAGTCTGGAAGCGCGAAGACTATATCTGGACCTCTGTACCCATACCCACGGGTGCCGATGATGGTCGGACATATGCGACGGATTCTTGGAAACGCCGTAGTCAACTAATTCGTTACCTCCGAGACGGGTTTATGCGCTTTCTTCATGCGCGCACTTGTAAAGTGATTGCTATTCGAGCAGGCCATTGGGTCATTCATCCAGAAAGTTCATTGACACGATCCTTCATTGGCCTCGGTCCGTTATGCAGAGGGATCGGGCCGTACCTGTAAATTTCCAAGAGAGATCCTTCGAGACGAAGTACTTCGAGTCGGTTTACCGCCTTTCACCGCTACAGGCACTGCTCGATGTCACGCCCCTTCTCTTTACACATGCACATGAGAAGGCGGGGTTAGGGCAACTCGGGCTCTTGTCGGGGTGGGGGCTCCGAAAGGAGCGACTGAACTTGCTTCGGCGCTCCGCTGGAATGAACGTTTAGGCGCACCAACGTGCAGTATCTTCCGTGTCATTCTTAGCCGTTTGCACGCAGGCCGTGCCTCGGGGCAGACTCGTGGCCTCGCATGGCAATAAGGCGTGGCATGCGCGTGCTGATGACGACCAAATCACCGGGTAATAAGATTTGGTCGGATATTCGTAGCACTCCGGGAGTTTGTGCGAGCCTCCGTTTGATCCTAGCGTTTTATGTCCACAATGGAGCGAATATTGTGCCTCTGTACAGAGACGCCTTGGCGCTTATTCTGGCTTTGTTCTGGTCATGTGGCTGTGACCTCATTGTTTCCAGGCGCCTATTCTGCCGCAAAACACGAGGGCGAAGAATGGATTCATATGGGGCTGCGCCACTGTGTGCTAAGGCCACGGTTTGCTCCTCGCCGGCATATACAGGGCAGGGTGTCTTGCGGCTCATAACGGGCGCTCTTTCCCTTGACCTTTCCCAGTGCACAAGAATCAGCCATGGTCGTCGTCAATTATGTCCTCGCTTCCGCGCTCGCTGTAACCACCTTTCACGGATTCATCCTGGGTGTCGCGGGACATGGGTACGTTCAGAACGTGAATACGAACGGACAGGACTATACGGGCTGGCTTCCCTTCTCGGATCCTGTGAGTGAAAAGTCACCCTTCTGGGCATCCTCGTGTATACTGAGGGTCTCGCTGCCTGTGATCCTTTCCGTGAAACGCAGTATGCGGATCCAGTTCCCGCTCGTGTTATTCGCAAGATTCCGAGCGATGGACCAAGTGAGTGCTTTGAAGCTCGTTGTCACGACCGATTTTCTTTGTCAGCTCACGTCCGTGGTCAGTCACCGATATTAGCAGTCAAGACCTCGCCTGCAATACAGGTGGCGAGACAGGTGCTTCGGTATCGGCCAGTGTCCCGGCAGGATCCAGCGTCACCTTTGACTGGACAAACGTACGTTCCCGGCGGATGGTCGCGTTTATCGAGCCCTGACGTCGGACGCTTGTTCTTGACAGTGGCCTGCTGGTAAGCTAATCATTTGCTCTACACCTATATCCTAACCGAACAAAATCAGATCATCTCGGCCCGGTTTCCAGGTTGGTTCATTGTATCTGTTGTACTTCGCGTGTTTGACGCCTGTGTCCAGCTACATGGCCTCCTGCAATGGTGACTGCGCAAACTTCAACGTGAAGGGAGCGCAATGGTTCAAGATCGACGCATCGGGATACGATCAGAGCACTAGCACATGGGCAAGCGCGGAGCTTATTGCCAGTGAGTCGTCCGTAACCATTCCTTTTTGGACCGGTGCCCATCGTGTTCCAGACAACAACAGCTGGACGTCAACGGTCCCGAAGCAGTTGGCAAGTGGTCACTACTTGATCCGGCACGAAATGTAAGAGTTGACATCTACACTCCGCCTTCGTGGCGTATGCTCCTTGTTCTCACCTTAATCTTATGCAGCGTGGCGCTCCACTCCACTGGACAACCGCAATACTACCCGAGCTGTCTGTAAGTACTGATCTACCTTCCACTCCGCGCAGCATTGTAATCAAGCTGTTTTCAGGCAGGTGAATGTCACCGGCGGGGGAAGCAGCACGCCGTCCGGGGATGATCTCGTATCGATCCCCGGACTGTACGACAATGTTGCCTGGCCCGACATTTGGACTGACTTCGGGAGCTTTACCATTCCCGGACCTGCAATTGTCTTCACAGACAGCACCGGGAGTACGCCCTCCGGCGTCGCCTCCGCATCTGCGTCCGGATCGCAGACCGCTGCTCCCTCCAAGACCGCAGCGGCTTCCACCACTCCGGAGAAATCCGCTACTCCAACTCGCGCCGCTACTTCCTCTCCACTTGTATCGACGGGTCGATGCAAGGCCAAGAAGTCACGTGCTTCCGCCTTCAAGCGCCATGCATCGATCCGGCGGTCTCATTGACAGGATGGGGCGACCAGAAGGACACCTTCATTTCCCAACTCTCGGATCTTGATTCACCCCTCTCTCTCCTTGATTATATGTTGAACGCTCGGGTGGTTGCGACGGCTAGGTTCCGGAATGCACGCGAGCACACACTCTCTATCTGCGATTAGCTGGCGGTAGTGTGCATGACAGTCCCTCTTTGTAGCTATTAGCACGTTTTTATGAGATGCCCTACGACGATTAGTACTCCCGCGTGCGCGGCGTTCTCGCAGCTCCGATTGCCTCGGGGGGTTCCATGGAAGCATTGGGCAGGAGCATTGCTATCGGCGGCAGACCGGATCACCTCGCGAGGAAGCCGCGAAAAGGAAGGTGTGGTGGTTCAAGGAACAGCCGGGCCGGTGGTGTCGATGGGAAGACTCCCGAAGACGGCGTGAATAATCATCGATTAGGGAATTGGCGCTACTCTAATGTATGTGAACTAGAGAATGTGCGAGATCCTATATGTACGTGATATGAAAACGTCTCTCTATACATATGCAGTGCGAATACAAGGCCGCCAGGGCCATAATGCGATTCGTGTGGAATAGTCCGTGGCCTCAGTTACATAAACATGGTGCATGCAAAAAAAAACCCAGTGGATGTGACGCGTGTGCGGCATATATAACCGTTCATGAACAATTTAATGGGCTTGTAAGGTATGCGGGGACGAGATGGAACGAGTGTGGGTTGCTGCGTACGAGGCCGAGGCGTTGCGATGATCGGGGTGATGCTGATTCAGCGGCGATGAGATGTTTGGGTGGGCGGCGAGCGCGAGATGCGGCTGGGGGTGCGCAGAGGCACCTCCGGCTGAGGGGACCGCAGGCGCGTGGTGTACGGAGGGCTCGGCACGGTCGGCGGCCTCACCATCGGCGGGGTCCCGTATGATCGCGGGATGGAGGAAAGTCCCGGAACGGAAGGGACGACTTCGGCCTGGAACGACGAAGGCCCATGGGACGGGTGATGCACGGAGAGGGTGGTTGCCGCAACGGAAGTAGAGCTGCGGCCGCCCTGGCGCATGGATTGCCTTTTGTTTTGGAACCTGTTCGATGACACGCGGTCGGTCAGCATCGAGGGCTGATCACGACAGGGCGAAGAGAGGCTGACCAGATCTGCACGCTACGAGCAGACATGTCCAGACGCCTCGCCAGGTCTTGGCGCTCCTCGGTGGACGGGAACGGCGTGCGTGCGTAGGTCTCGTTGAGAACCTTGAGCTGGTTGGCGTCTGCACGCTTGCGCTTCTTCTTAATCACCGGCTCTTCCTCTTGGGGCACCGTAGGCATATGGCTGGACCCGGCGTGCAGCGACGCACTTGTCGAGTGACGGGCGTATGGTGAGACGGCATGAGATCGTGAGGTCCGAGGAGGACGAATTGCCGAGGTGACTGACCTGGCCGGACCCTGGTGAGATGGGTTGATATACGCGGCTTGGGAGGTACTGCGAGGATCTGGCGCGGGTGCGTACGAGTAAGACGGCGACTGGTGGGCGGGGGGCGGGTAGTAGGTGTAAGCAGATCCAGAGTAAGAGCCCGGTGGATTGTATATGCCGTAATTGCCGCCAGTTCCCATGGGGTTGTCCGAATACGTTGGATACCGGTCGTCACGCGCCCCGGTGGGGATGGGCGGGGAGACGGGCGCGCCGGGGTAGGCCCTGAGGCTATGAGGATCCGGGGTCACGCCCGATCCCGGCCGCGCGGGATATGCCGGGTAGTACGACTGCCCAGGATATCGAGCGTGTTGGTCGTAGAAGGAGGAAGCCTGCGGCACATGTGCGCCCCCGGACGCTGGAAAAGAGCCGGAATTTCAGAACACGCCGATGAGCAGAACGAGAACATATTCACGAGCAGGAACCCAATCCGATGGAGCATAGCTGTGTGAACCATACTCGTATGAGCCCTGATGATGGGCACGCTCTGAGGTGTAAGGTACTATAGGAACTGAACGGTGACAGACGAAAATGAGTCTTCGGTGCCATACGTTCATATAGGACAAAAAAAATCACGAACCTGGAGACGGTGAGGTGGTGGAAGGTGAGGTCGGAAATGCCGAACGAATAGGAGGCAATACTGGTCGCCCACCCTGTCCCGAAGTGCTAAAGTAACTCGCGTTGGCGTCGGCGGCGCTGGGAGACGCTCTCCGCGACCTTGAAGAGGGGTTGTTGTAATAAGAAAATTCTCCGGGATTAGACATGGTAGAGTATGAAGCAATAGAAGTCGGCGAAGAAATTTGAGGGAGGCCCGGCTTGTCCCCGATTAAAAGCGAGGAAACACGCGACAACGTGAAGGTGCAAGAGACCGATCCTGCGTCCGATGCCATGTGTATGGAGGCAGCTGCGTATACGTCAAAGGGATAGTCAGGGGTGCGCGACGCGATCTCGTCAGAGCAGTTTGCAGGTGCGGAAGAGCACGGATGCCATGGAGATCAGAGTACGTCGCAATAAGACGGCATGCGCCAGGGCACGCGTCGGGTAGGGCTGAGGGGTGGGTCCAATTGCGTGTGCGGTAGGCTGTGCCGGGGGGCGCAGGGTAGGGCAGGCAGGGCGCGTGTTCTGGAGGGGAGCGGACGCGCAGAGGCCACGGCGCGGTGGGATACGAGGAGGGCGAGGGGCCAGTGATTATAAGAAACGAGCGGAGAAGCAGGCGAGAGTATCATGAATGGAAGCCTCCGCCGTCTGGTGCCAGGTCCAATCGATGCACGCGCCTCGAGGCGCCGTCGGAGTCTGAGCGGACCGAGCGTTGAAACACCGATCGTGCGCGCCATGGGAAACCGCGACGACGCTGCCTTCCCCGTCCGCTCGCGACTGCAGCGAAGGCAGAGACGCTGCACGACCGCACCCCCGGCCGAACACGATCGTCGGGCACGGCCCGGAAAGGAAGCGTGACGTGCCGCCGGTCATCGTCACGCCGCTTCTCCGCCCGTGGGAACCAGAACGTACTGTCATAACGCGCTCACACGTCCCAGCCCGACGCACTCGACCGCCTGCGTACGCGAGAGTTGCCGCGCAGACACGCTGTCGGGCAGCGCCACCCGACGGCCAGCACGCCGACGACCCTGGTGTGACTCCCTTCCGCCCTATGGCAACGTTGGCGGCAATGTGCGGGGCCAGAACCCGCGCCTGCGAGCCATCGCCCATCTCCCTGCAAATACGTGCCCGACGCTGGCATTACACACAGCTCAAGGGGGTATCATCATACTCGATGCGTCGATCGTACATACTCGTACTAGGTCCGTCCTCGCAAACCGGTGCGCGCGCGACGAGCGCGCAGCGCCGTTGCATCGTGAAAGTCGTACACAGCCGGCGTTCGCCCGCCTTCACATCGACATCGCCCTGCCCTTGCCCACCTCGTGCAGCTCCCGGACGGTCCCCCGCCCACGTTCCGGCTCTTCGTGTCCGTACGTGCCAGGATCGGGGTCGAACGCCCTGTCCGCCCGGACATAGGTGATCGCCCGCGGGCTCCTGTGCGTGAAACCCGCAAACGCGAGCGCCTTGCGCACTTCGAGGATCTGCTCCCCGTGCACTTTGTCGCGAAGCAACGGATCGCGGGTGGCGTCGGCAGGAGCTCCGTTCGCGGGTGCTAACGGCTGTAAATTGGGTCGTCACGAAACCTGGAACCCACGGGCGTTCGCTTAGGTGCGTTGCAGTTACGTACCTCTGCAGGGATGTCGTCGTCAAAGTGTCGCGTGTCGGCGGGATTTCGGAGCTCTGGCTGGTACGGCGCGGGATAGCGGTGGATGTTCAACCAGTCGATTCCACGGAACCACGGATGAGCCTGCCCCGCACACGGTTCAGCCTCGAGTCTCGGACGGTCGGCTAACCGTCGTCACCTTTATGAGCTCTGCCCCGTCGGCGCTGCCCGTCGTATTGTGTGGATGGATGAACGCGCTTCTCCGGGCTGCCACGACCAGCGAGTTTGGCCGGGTCGTCGACGCCGTCGTTTGCGAGCCTAGCCTGTCTTCGGGCTCGCATAGGAGCTGCTGCATCAGGTCCACGCCTGCATGCGAAACCTTGGGCCGGGATGGGAACTTCAGCGACTGCCGCCAGTTTAGAATCTTCTGCCTCGTGACATGACGCTGTGACCGGGAGAAACATGCGTTGCCAAGGTTATAAATGGGTTAGCCAGGGGCACACTTTGCAGCGAGTCGAGGCAAGAACTGACGGAGTTGCTGACGAACGGCGGATAGCTGAAGAGAAAGCAGTTACACGTCAGTCCCAGCCACACACATGGAAGGGAACGTGCGCACCCGTATAGGCATTCGAACATGATCACTCCCAGACTCCACCAGTCACAAGAGTATGTGTAGCCATGGCCACGGATGACCTCGGGGGACACTAGAACGGTTGAGAAAACGGCTGCATGCCGGCATGGACGATCGCCTACTGTAAGAATTCGTTCCGCAGCTATATCAACCACGGCGCGTCAGCCCTAGAAAAACGGGATTCGAAGTCGAAGCAGCTCACACAGAATAAGCCAGCTGTGGTGAACAGCATCCCTCGTCAGAAAGAATGAGAACGGGGCGACGGAGCTCCCACCTTTCGCCGGTGCTTCTCCCGCCAAGTAAACAGGCCCCCCTCGCCTTCCCCGCCTCCCATGATCAAATCGACATCCTTCCTTTTCATTCGCCTAGTCCCCGCCGGATCGCGCAGATCGTTCCCATCTTCGAGATCGATTCCATGCTTGTGGAGCAGGTGTTGGCGCTGTTGTTCGTAGTCTGCGACATCGGGACTTATCGTCAGCATCTCGCGATCGGACGTTCCCAGAATGTAGAGCACTGACACGACGTGTCATGGGCCCAATGCAGGTCGGTACTGCGCGGCGATGGTCTTTGGTCAGGCGAGCAATGAACGGGTCTTAGCTGAAGAGCGCGCACGCTAGACCAAAGTCGCTAAGTTTGATATGCCCATCCGGTCCAAACAAGAAGTTCTGTGGTCAGAAGGGAACAAGGGCGGCGTCATCAGGCCTCGGTCACACAAGCCGGGACACGGCGACATCCACGGGTGAAAGGCCGCCGATGTAGCGCCGGGGGGACTCACATCCGGTTTGATGTCTCGATGAATGAAGCCGTGACGATGGCAAGCCTCTATGGCGAGCAACATCTAGCCCGGGAATACCGAGGAATGGAAAGTGGTGAACGCATGCTTCGACCGAATAAGCTAACGGAGAGAGAGAGGTGTACCTCGGCAACGTAGAACCGGGTAAAGTCTTCCTCAAACACGTCCTTCTCAATCAGGAGATTCAGAAGGTCCCCACCACCCATGTATTCAAGAACCTGTGAATAAAGGTTTGAGCACAAGGCGAGATGAGTCATCAAGCTATAGATGAAAACCCGATACCCCTGCTTTCGCTATATCTGCGACGGCGACGCGCCATCTGCAGCGGTGCGAATGCTGTCAGAAATCGAACAATCTTGAGACCCACCAAATACAAATGGTCGCGATCTTGGAAACTGTAGAACAACTTGACGATCCACTCCGCCCCGCCGGGCGAGCTGACCAACGACGCCGACCTCAGGATATCCCTTTCGGCCCTGACATGACCTTCTTGACCCTTACGTAACATGTCGGTTTTCCGAAGCTGTGGGAGATGAATTCATTTCAGAGAGATGAATGAAGGGCGTCATGATGCCGAAGCCACTCACCTGCTTCATAGCGTACAATTCTCCCGTGGTTCTTTCCCTAACCAGAGAAACGACTCCGAAAGCACCTACGTCGTGAGAGTTCGTCAACAAGGGACTACGACCAGGATCAAACAACAGACCATGACCGATGGTCTTGATAACGGCGAAGGCGCTTGGATCAACCTTCCGCCGACGCTCGCGAAGATAATCAGTCTCGTTTTGTCTCCAGCGTGCGCGCAAGTGGTCCTTCTGAGCCTCCGTCAATTGCATCTGCACCATGTCGCGTTCCATGGCCTGGCGCCTCTGTTCGCGCGATGAAGGCTGACGAAGTAGCGGGAAATAGAGATTCTCGAAGTATATCCGTACAGCAACGGCCTTCTCCAGGGTTGCCAGCGAGGGAGTGATGGTCCTCGGAGGAGGAACGGGTATCTCCGGAAGGTCCTTATCCGCGAAGGCTGTATCGTCCGACTCCTGCTCATGCTCCTGGTGTACACCTAGTCCAGCGGCCCAGCGAATGGTGGAACCACCAGGTTGGCCACCAGGCGACACGCCTACGCGAGGACTCTCACGGACCGATGTCCCGATCGTCGACGTGCTCGGCGACGGCATGCCATTCACGACGCGCAGAGGCGGCAGCTGCCCATACCCTCCAGGCGTGCTATCGGACGGCTTGAGCGCGCTCACAACCTCCTGCACCGCACGGGCTTGGTTAGTCTGCTTGATCCTGTTCTTGATGGGATTCGCCCATCGGGGATCTGCGTGACGTTAGCCTGCTATATCCACGGCGGATCGAGCGCTTCAAAGTTCCCACCTCCCAATTTGCCCATGCCATCAGGACCCCACCGCGTGAGCAAAGCCTCCAGCTGATCGGCGTCGGATGCATGCACCAAATGCCTGGGGAAGCCACGGATGTGTAAATACGTGTGCGGGGGAGAGCGCAAACGTCACGCCGACAATACGGGCGACGTACACGAATCCCATGGGGCGTGAAACCATATCCTTGCTAATCCGGCGCCCACTTTTCTTCGCGGCGGGGGACGCGGTGATCCTCGGAGATGGCGATGTAGGCGCCGCCTTGGTTGGGGATTGCGCGGGTGGACTTGTTGCCAAGTTGTCCCTTCCGATCTCTTCGTATCGAGGGCCAGCCACGACTTCAGGCGGGTCTGCTCCCCACAGAAAGCGTGAAGCGGCCCCAGGCGTCGGAATCAGGGACAAGAGATCGTAGAAGCCCTTGTGAAGGAGAGTGCCGCCTGGCAAGGTCGTTCTCGGCTCTTCAGCCTGCGGAAGTCTGGGACTGGGAAGAGGGTATGGGCCGGGGCTCGCAGGCAGACCTGTGTAGTAGTTGGTACGCGCAGGGGGGAATCGGTTTCGGTCAAGGTCGAAGTAGCCTGCAGAGGGGCCCGGGGGCGTTGGCAGAGGGCGGAATGAGGAGTACGCCATGGCCCATAGGGTGCCCGGCCGGTGTCGCTATGCTCGCCCTCGCTGGGCGCTGTCGAACGAGTGCAGTCCCGGTAAGGCATCATGCATCATAGGGCGCGAGCCACGTGACCCCCGAAGTAACACAGAAGGATGATATGTCGGATATCTGAGATATCTGAGATGAAACAGAAGGCTGCCAGACTCGCACACCAACAGCCAGGTTCAGAGACATCGCTCGTCGCGGTCTGCCTGGCTCGCGAGAAGCAGAACGATCGTGCCGCATCCCACGCGTTCGTGGTCGCTCTCCGCGATTCGCACTTAGTCGCCGCGCAACAAGACGTACGCGATGCAAGGGCCGCGTCGAAGCGCGCCTCGGAGGTAGGTACAGCAGACATGGCTATTATTGAGCTATCCGGAAGCCAGGCGGGGACAGTGGACACGGGGACAGTGGACACACTTCAGTCCGTGTCACAGCACACCTCGTTCCTGCAAGTGACGTCCGGACATCGCAACTGACACGTGCTCGTGGTCAGCCCTCTGGCCGTTGCCGTGCTTCTGTCCGCCTCGAGGACGCCCTCCGTAGTCAAACTCGCGGAGGGCTGCACGAGCTCCGGTTGGATCGTAGTATTGTGAATACCCCAGTGATGAAGGCACTGTAATGGCGTCCCCACGAGACGCATCATAAGCTACCACCGAGGATAAGGGGCGCGAGAAGGCACACACCTCATTAATACGCTTGGCCGAGGCCATGAAATCCGTCACCGAATCGTTCGAAGTCGCGACATGAACCGTGGCCAGGGCCTTGCTTTGCGCTGGCGGGTTCGACATTAGCTTTTCCTTTTCATCTCTGCGCAGACACGGCCGACGCACTGAGGCTCCACACGTGCATCTCGTGAAGCCCTTCTACACCCGTAGCCTTCAGAATATCCTGCCCGACACCTTCGACAGGCATGGGCGCGCTGTCGAGAAGAATACGCCCCGTGCGCAGGACCAAGGGCAGCGACGTGCCCACGATCATCACCCCGACGAACGCGGATGCAAGAGGGTCCGCGTACACAAAGCCCGTGGCCATGAGTATCCCGGCGGAGACCATAACGGCGACGTTGTTGATCGCATCGCCTATGAGGTGGATGAGGACTCCAAGAATACCCAGGTCGGCGTGTTCCTTGTGTCGGGCGGGGATGACTGTGTGCGCGTGCCCATGGTGGTGTGCGGCATTAGGGGGCGGCGCATCGTCTGCCTTCTTCTGGTCACCGTGGTCGTGACCGTGTCCTGCAAGCGCAGTGAGAGTTGTGGCTTTTGAAAGCTTCAAGTGTTGGCGACGAACCGCCTAGGATGGCAGCGCTGAGCGCATTGAGTCCTAGACCAATGGCGCCCGTAATGAGCACCCATTTGGGCTGGGTAACTTTGACGGGGGAGAGGAAGCGCTCTATAGTCTGGAGCAGGATCGAGACACCCAGTGCGAGCAAGAACACTACAGAAGAATTAGGGAGGTTTCGGTGAGAGTGAGAACCGGATTATAGGCTTACCTCCGTTGAAGAAGCCTCCAAGTAGCTCTGCCCGCTGCCAGCCGAATGTAAATCCTTGGGGTGCAACATTCGAGCTGTTTCGTTTCTGCGTAGCAATCAGGGCTACGACGAAGCCTATGAGGTCCGAGGCGACGTGAAACGCGTCGGCGACAAGCGCGAGTGAATGGTTGCGGAAGCCAATGACGATTTCCACCAGGAAGAAGGCGGAGGAGATAGCAATCACCGTGGCAATCCGGTTCTCTTTAGAGAGAGGCTGCATCGCGCGATGGCGATAGTGATCTAGGAGGAGGAGGGACACAATTCTCGCCACTGGTAGTAGTATGTTATACGCATATCAAGTGGGGGTGTCCCTCTGAATGCGGAGCTATGACAAAGGTGCCTTGCACAGCGCGTGATGCCTGCTTACATAAACTTGAGGCCTGCAGGCTTCACTTCGGGAGCAACGTTAGGTAGCCGAAGAATGGTAAGTAAAACCCGAAAACACCGCTATGGAGGCGTGAATGCAATAACTTGCATTAAAAGGAGCAGTGCCCCTGTTCCTCCTGTCAGACAGTCAACAAACAGTATTCGAAGATTTAATCGTTGCACTCCAGGCTAGCCTTATGAGAGAATCCTAGCTCTCGGAGCTTGTACGAGCGAGGCTTCCGAAGTGTATATAGACTCACCACCTGTTACCTTGCTTCTTGCGCAATGCATGTGAGTCGTAGATGAAAGCCAAATCTGCATGGCGGCGTCGGTCACTGCAGGACCCAAGCGAAGACGCATCACAAGTACAAGGATGGCGCTGCTCGCCGGTGGCATATTCAGAGATACTGTAGTTACAAGCGCCATTCCATCTGATGACGTCGCGGCCAACTTATAAGGGTATCCGTGCAAGCAACCAATTCCAAGCAGAGGCAGTACTGCCAGTGTAGGTATGCCCATACGGTGGTGGCAATGCGTACAGGTCTACTCATATGGGGCGTTCGACTTGAAACTGCCGTCGCCATCATAGCCATTGGATCTGGTGAGATGCGAGAGGATAAATACCCGCAGCTCTGAGTCTGACTTGGGCAGCTCGGCAGTGTGTCAGGTGACAGTCGCCCGGCATCGTATGGCGCCGACCCGCGTCACCTTCCGTCAAGGCCCTGTGCCCCGCCACGACTTAGGGCGAATAGCAAGATAGCTACGGTGGCCCGGTCGCGCACCAAGCCCTCTCTGTGACGATACAGTTCAACAATAATCGTTACTCGTGCTGTGTCGTGCGAGCGCTCATCGCGGGGCCCCCCATATCAACTGGCACGCCTCACTGCATCTCGCGATCCATTCTCTTCTGATCTTCACCCTCTGGCAATATCGGGAGGCAGTATCCTCTCCATAACTTGACGATACGACTACTATCGGCTGTGGACAATAGCGTATCTCCTCGCTGGCGGTCGCTGTGCTGCATCATGGAACACAATATAATGAGCGAGAGCGACCTCGATGCGCTGCAGCTTAGACAAGTGCACTCAACACCCCTCATGGGACGACGAGACAACTTCGGACGTCCCAGACCTCACTCAACATCTATGAATGATTACACACATTTCCGCTCGCGATCTCTGACCCAAGACAGATCGTGGATGCCGAACATAGATGAGCCTGCCACCGGGAGCTCGTCCAGCACACGCACACCTCTCGCGGGCTCCAGCAACGCCACTAGAGAACGTACCTTGTCTGCGACGCCAGAGTTTCCTCTGCCGGCCGCCCGCGTGCGCTCTCCAATTCGCGTTCGGGCGCCTTCACCTATCCCAGGACACGGCGCAGATCAGGTTACTGGCATAGGTTACAGATCCATGCATGATCCCGTCGTTGTCGATACGGACGGTCATCACATAGACCACTTCCCGCCACCTCAACGACACATATCGCCTGTAGATGCGGCTCTCGCGTTCTTTGGATATGGTAGAGCGGGAAACCGCGATAGGCGGGAGTTGGTCTCCATGATATGGAACGTCGGCTTCGGCTTCGTACAGGTAAGCTATGTTTCATATACTCGATGACATTGTTCGGAGCTGATCCCCGTATAGATTGTGACTGTGATAACTGTTCTCGCATTTGCCGCTCATACTGAAAGTCCCGCTCTTCCTGAGTCAGGTATCTCCGAATGGCATGCGTGTAGTAGACCTCTCGGTGTATGGAGTGAGTTCTGGCTATCTACGTTCCCCGAGAAGCATTCTTATCGCTCCATCCAAGACTCTCTATGGGTAGTCCGTGTAACGCTAGCTAGCTTGCTCTCGTATTGGGGATGGCACAGTCGCAGGCGCCGCCCGTAAGCAGCATTTCCTCCCTGCTTACATCACTTGCGCCTTACCCGGAGTTATGGATAGGCGGACGGATGCAGAGTCCGGGCGTCACACTTCAACTGCTACTACGGCATATGCCGAGGTGGGGCGCCGTCCACCTGCGGCGCATCACAACGCATCCTCTGGGCCAGAGCGCGATGCTCCTGCAGCGCCGGCGTCGCACCTTTACTCCAGGTCCGCTATCTTTCACTTTGGGTCTTGTGAAGGTCGGCTCCTCACTTCCTTGCCAAACAGGCTCTCCCTCCTATCTACTTTGCTGGGCCTTACGTGGTTTCTGACTGCGCACATCCTGGAGTACACGTCGATCAACACATGCCGGATCACCTCGCCGCACCTATGGTGGCTTACTTTCGGTATCCTCGCCATCGTTTACGCTGTGATACTGGAGGTCTTCCTCCTCGGCCTTATCATCTTCGTTTTCGGCCCAGTTTTATACGTAAGTTTCTGTTTCCTTCTGGTCGTCACGACGCACCGATGCCTGTCTATCCGCAGCTACTGCTCGCCCTCGTCATGTTGTGCCTCGGACGTCCTCTCCGACGGCCACCATACGCCCGGCACGAGATAGGGAAGCTTCCACGAGCGGTTGTAGACCAGATCCCGCTCGTGCTCTACATTCCTTCCCCTCCTGACGGCCAGAATGACGATGTCGTGAAGGAGCCCGAGGCTGCGCACACCTTTCCGCCTAAGCCGCCGGCCGCGTCTAAGCCGAAGCGACGGTTCAGGTTCAGGCTTCTGAGACGCAAGAAGACGAAGGGAGCCGAAGGGAATCGCGGCGGTGGAGACGCCGGTGGCGCCGGGGACGACAAAGATGACGAGCATGAGTCTCGGTGGGAGGACAACTGGGTGCGCGGAGAATTGCCGTTCGTTAGGTTGGAGGAGAACCGTGCCGCGTGTGCGATTTGTCTCCTCGACTTCGAGGAGCCAGAACGTCGACATCAGCACCACCCGTCGCCTGCTGAACCCCAAACACCTGCGTCACCAAGTGGAGACAAAAGTGGAGTACAGGAAATTCCGATCGAGCGACCAGACCTGCGCCTGGAGGATGCGGGAGAAGGAGCACAACCGTTGAGGTTGTTGGCGTGCGGCCACGTCTTCCACGTAAGACTTTGCTGTCAGTATGTCTGTTCAAGCCTAACCTGGCTCCAGCAAACCTGTCTCGATCCTTGGCTCCTTGACGTCAGGTCGGTGTTTGCACTTCTTAATTATCTGTCCTTCTTGTCTGACAGATTATCTGCCAGTGGCCGGTGTCCGGTATGTCAGAGACCTGTCGAGGTGGCGGAACGTCCCCCGAAGAAGCCCAGGCGACGGAGGGGCGGCAATGATTAGACACCATAATACAATCGCGGTGACCACCCCTAGTACATCCCTTTACCATAGGTGTGCTCATTTTCCTCTCGGGGACAAGCCGTGGTACGTGTGACTACGTGCTACATTCTGCTTGCAGTTTGCAGAACGCAAGGCTGAATCGTTTATCAATGTATCAGTATTGTAATTCTATCCTATGCGTTGCTCTTCACTGCTCACGGCACTGACAGACTGTTTCCGAGGTGACAGTTTTGCCTTTGCGCCTTAGTGACTACCTGTCGATCGTCATTAACCTGTCAGCTTGCAGCATATAACCAAGTACACCCACGCCGTCTAGCGTCACGGGCCGCAAGAAGCTCGCGAGTCGTCCAACATAACAATCTGCGGTCGTGCACGTTTTGGGAGCGATCGCGTCGGTCGAGTAGAGAAGAGCTCCCCGATGAGGTCCGCGGGCGCAGGAGCAGAATCGCTGTCCGCCTCCGACGATTCGTCTTCTGAGCTAGCGCTGCTGTCCGATTGAGACTCTGAGGTTGAATCCGTACTGGATTCGGAGGATGTCGTTTCCTCGTCATCGTCTTCCTGCCCGCCCTGCCGACGTTGTTCGAAAACTCCGAGGCCGAGGTTCTGAGGTTACGGAGAATGACTATGGTACAGGAGACTTTGGTGGGTATATGCGGACCATCTCGATGTATTGCTCTTCGTCGCCATTGAAATGTTCAATGTCTGCACTGCTCGGCTCGTTCTGGGCTCGACGAAGCAGTTCCGCATTAGATTCCGCTAACTGAGGGAGGAACGCCTGCACACGCTCCAAAACTGTCCCAAGTCAGATGGTAGGCTCCCTGGAGAACGAAAGGCTCACGTTGAGAAGTGGATCCCGGCTGTGAATCCGGTTGTGCGTCGCCGAAGGGAAACCCGGGTTTGCTGCCAGATGGATGGCTTTTCGAAGGAGTGTTCAACTTCTCCAGCGTGCTCTCTGCATCGGCCCATGTGCTGAGCACAACATCGCTACAAAAGCGGCAGCGCACGCACGTATCCTCTGTTGCCGCTCATCCTCGCTTTCGACCTCCAAAGTACGCGGTTTTTCATCCATTGTGAGACTTTGTTGAGGCGCAGAGTGAGAATGTACCGCGCACGTCGTGGTAACTGTCCAAGACGGTCCCCCGGCTATCCGCTCAACCTGCACAGCGGTCTCTCACAACCTCAACTTCGAGCGTATAGCCTATAACTGCGCTCCCAACCGAGCATTGTCGCCGACGTGGCCATCTCACGGAGCCTGTGAAATTCCCGGCCGATCATTGGCGGTCATCGCCGCCTTACAGCAAAAGAGTTCATTCAGTAGGCTGACCGAACCTTTGCACCTGACCCCATCAGCCAACTCCAACTGCTCTCTGTTCCACAGTTCACCGAGGTAGTGCGGATATTAGAACATGGCGTCTGCAGCAAGAGGACGGAAACTTGCGAAGTTATTGACGAGGTCATACGCCACGGTGAATCATGCGACAACTAGCAAGAGGTAACGTTGTAACGAGCACGAAAGCTTCTTTCGCGGATACGCAACTTATGTCCGGTACTATGCAGTCCTACAGGTACGTCTTAAATGCGAACTGTTCAATATGCCGTATCTCTCATGAATGGCTCAGCAATCGTGATGCTGAACATGGGTGGACCTTCGACTGTATGCGCGTCTCTTCTTCGCGCTGTATGGTACTTACAGTATACTAGGTGGAAGAAACGCATGACTTCTTGACGAACCTCTTTCTGGACGGAGACCTCATTCCCCTTCCCTTCCAACGACAGCTTGCTCCCTGGATCGCGAAGCGGCGCACACCTCAGATTGAGCAGCAGTACAAGGATATTGGCGGAGGTTCCCCCATCCTGAAATGGTCTCAGACTCAAGGCTCAGGAATGGCGGCCCTCTTGGATGAACTACACCCGGAGACCGCGCCTCATAAGCCTTACGTCGCATTCCGTTATGCCAACCCCCTCACCCACGAGACCCTCCGCCAAATGAAAGCGGACGGCGTCAAGCGCGCGGTAGCATTCACGCAGTACCCGCAATACAGTTGCAGCACGACGGGCAGCAGCCTGAACGAGATATATAGAAGGGGCAAGGCGGGCGAGATAGGGGATATCGAATGGTCTGTGATCGACCGTTGGGGCACGCACCCAGGGTTCGTCGACGTAAGTGCGCCCCGGCCGTCCGGTATCTTCCATCTCTGACCACGAGCTCCGCCCGCGCAGGCCGTGGCACTGAACATCCAAGCCGCGTTATCGAAGTTCCCTGAGGAGTCTCGTTCATCCGTGGTTCTGCTCTTCTCCGCGCATTCCCTTCCCATGTCGGTAGTTAATCGCGGCGACCCGTACGTTCTCGAGGTATCTGCGACGGTCGCGGCTACGATGGCGCACCTAAAAGAGAAGTGGGGCGTCGAAAACCCGTATCGCCTCGTTTGGCAGAGTCAAGTCGGCCCGTCGGCATGGATGGGCATGCAAACGGGGGAAGCTATCAAAGGCCTGGCGCGGCTAGGCAAGAAACACGTTGTATTGATTCCCATCGCCTTCACCAGCGACCACATCGAGACCCTTTACGAGATGGACCTGGAATATGTGAAAGAGGGTGAGGAGGTTCGTGATCAAGTCTTCTTTCTTCGACTTTCTTCTTCACCCCCGCTCATCGGCCGCAATAATAGCTCGGGATGCACGTGGAACGGTCCGATTCCCTGAATGACTCCCCTGTGTTCATACGGGCCCTCGCCGACATTGCTGCAAAACATCTCGCCGATTACTCGTCCGGAAAAATACCACCGGCGAGTACGCAGATGCGGCTGAGGTGTCCAGGGTGCACCAACGGAACATGTGGGCAGCAGAAGGAGTGGTTTGCCCGTGGGGGACAATGATGGACATGAGGGTTTATGCCGTATCATCAGCGCCATATAACTTGCGGTCACGATACGTTATCACTGTCATATCTGAATGTCTCTTTGTCCGGATCAGGACTGAGTTGATATATTTCTGCCTCGATGCCTTTCATGAGTTGGATGTGAAGATCAACGTCCAGTGACCACTGACTTAGGCCTTCTGCTTGGACGCTGTTGAGGGAAAACCCTAGTCAGCTCAATGCGCCACAGAAGCGTATCGTCCCGGATATTTTCCACAACATCCGAGATGTTATCGAGATAGGCACACCCGATCCCATCACCGATCTGCTTCGCGCACAAGAACCTGGCGGACGTTTATTTGCTTGACAAGCTCGATCGATGGTCATGGGAGAGCGTATGTTCAAGGGCGAATATTTCGACATGCACCAGGACGAACGCCCAACAGAACTTCTTATTCCCTCGCATCACAGCACGCGGCCTCAGGGTTGCGAACCACTGAGAGCGGCTCTGGTCTGAGTGGAAATCGAAGCGTCCGAGCGCATCTTTGAAGAAGCAACGCCCATTACGATAGTAAACACAGAGCAGCAAACATCACTAGCAGGTGGCCGAAGTCGCTATTTAGTAAGTTGGTCAACGAACGCCGATTTGTCATCATAGACGATACGAGAGACTGGTTCACGGGCATCCTACGAGCGTGCAGACATATACAGTCCTTTCTAGGAAGTCGCCTGTGAGTGACTCCGATTGAATGCGTTATGGTACAAGAAGCAAGATATGGGAACGTACGGGCGATGCTGAACATGTAAACAGCAACTCCGGCCCAAAGGAGGTGCCGCCGCGCAAGCTAAATAAGGACGACATACCCGTCGCGGGTCTGTTTTAGTTCACGAGCTAGAGTGATCTAATCCCCGCAGGACCTGGTCGCCGGGTCAGCCCTCTGCTCTCCCGATAACGCTACCGCGTAAGGCCAGGAAATTACAGCCCGTGCCGTGATATGCGGAGGGGGCTTGATGGGGTGGGCGAGTGCTTGGGGGGTCAGGCGGGCAGCCACGCCGTATCTAGCTCAGGGAACATCGGCCGCGGCTCCCCCACCCACGAGGAAGCTTAGTGGTCCTGTCGATCGTGGCTGCGGGCGCGCAGGGAGAGATATCGAAGCAACGAACATCCGATAGTCCCTCGTGGTGCGATTCGTCGTCCCACAAATCAGAAAAGCGTGCCATGCCGTTCCGAATGTGCCGTACGGGTCTATCAGAGGGTTATGATCAACAGCAACTGAAGTTGAGCACCCGGGAATAATCAGGCATAGATAAAACTGCGTACACGACGACTCCAGACATGCTAGTGAGAGACGATACTAGAACCCGTCATCACGCGCGGACTCGAGTGGGAAGCTGGCATCCGTATCAGACTACCGATTCTGAACGGCAGCCTTCACAAGGGCCGTCATTCGACACCGTACAAGAAGGTTTTATGTGCCCATAGCACAGTACCGGCATGTTCGGATACGAACTGAGGGACAACCTCCTGAGAACCACTCAAGAACGTGGCAGTAGCTTGATCACCTGGTAGACATGCCTTGCGAAGTCCCTGACGGTATGGTGTTCATATCAGAGACCGGTGCGAGTTGTTGGAAGCACAGAGATTAGCATGCAGTCTGCAATATATGGAATGAGATGCAGTTGAGGTGTATCCGTGACATCGCAAGCCCGTTGAAAGGCGAGTAATCCCATGGGAGAGCGTCGCAGAAAGTGCACATGCCAGCCCGTTCCACTCCCAGATGGCGAAAGGCAGAGAGAAAAGCCAACGAATGAGATGGGCGAAAAAGGTGGGCTGGGAGTTACCCAGGTCGGTATGTTCGTTCGGAACATCGATCGGAGGAAGTCTGAAAGTTCGAGGGTTGACAAAGTCTAACACCGCCCCATCTGCTCAACGGCCGCTGCCTCGTGCTGATAAGTTACACTAGGATGCCTTCGGCGATAAAGATATCGGTACAAAAGCTCGCGGAAGGGAATCAAGGTTTCGAGCACACTCCGGAGTCCACGTCCGCGACCAACCGCCATGGCTAGCACCTCCACCGTCGTCTCCGCGCCCGGCAAGGTCCTCTTGGCGGGCGGTTACCTCGTCCTTGACCCAGCATACTCTGGCATCGTCGTCTCCACATCCTCGCGATTCTACACCTCCATCCAGGATGCCGGCGCTCTCAACCCGAACTCGATCCGCGTGCGCTCCCCGCAATTCCTCCAGGCATCATGGACGTACTCGGTGCGCTTCGTAGCCGCCGACGGGACGGTGATGGTAGAACAGGTCGTGTCCGAGTGAGCGTCCCCCATCTCCGTGGATCGGTACAGCGAGTTGAGATGTTGAGCGCCGAAGACTCGAGGATTCCAAGAACAAGTTTGTCCATCTGGCGCTTCAGCGCACCCTCGCCCTCGCCATTGAGCTCAAGGGCGTCGCAGAGATCCAGAACAAGCTCGCTCCAGGTCTCGACATCGCCATTGTAGGTGATAACGACTTCTACTCGCAACGGGCGCAGGTTTGTCGCGATCTACCTGTTCGGCTCGTACGACGTCTGATGTCATCATTCAGCTGGCGCAGCTCGGACTCGAGCCCACAATAGATTCACTCAGCAAGCTTACACCATTCGGTCCTACGGGTGTGCAGTTGAAAGACGTGCACAAGACCGGCCTTGGCTCCTCAGCAGCGCTCATAACATCACTGGTCACCGCGCTTCTGATCCACCTCGATTTCCTGCCTCGCAGTGCCTTTGCGGACGAATCTATATCTGAGAGCAGACGACTTGCACACAACGTCGCCCAATATGTTCATTGTTTGGCTCAAGGCAAGGTTGGCAGCGGTTTTGACGTGTCTTCGGCGGTCTTTGGAAGCCAAAAGTACACTCGGTTCAATCCCGCGGTTCTCCAACCCCTGATGCAAGACGATGTGCGTACTCATGCTATAAGCACGACGAGTCAATTAAAGTCACTAATACTATCACAGCTCGTCCCGAAACTAGCGCCCATTCTGTCACCATCAAATCCCGCATGGGATTACAAGGTGGAACCATTCCAGCTTCCTCCATCCACGCGATTGATGCTCGCGGACGTCGACGCTGGGAGTGACACACCTTCACTGGTGGGCAAAGTGCTGAAATGGCGGCAAGCCGAGCCAGTCAAAGGTAAGATCTAAATCTCTGACCCCTACAACCGTGCTCATGCATCATTTCCCTCCTTCATAAAGCTGCTGAAGTCTGGAACGCATTGGACCAAGCGAACATGAAGTTCGCGCAGGCCCTCAGACGGCTATCACAGCTTCACGACGAAAACCCAGAAGATTACGATTTCGTAGTTCGTTTCGCAGCGAGCCTGCAGCCCGTTCAGGTAGCATTTCTCGGTACTCACGAAACGGATGAAACGCTCACTATCTAAACCCCGATTAGTGGTTGGCCAACCCGATGTTGCGCGCAAGCGTGCAGCCCAAGGTCGAAGCATTTTACGAAGCACATCTACTCGGAGAGGTGCGCGCTATCTTCTTCCCGATGACATCTTGTCTTAATACCCATGCCGCCTATCAGGAAATTCGCACGAAAATGCGCGAAATGGGCAATCTATGTGGAGTGCCCATCGAGCCTCCGGAACAGACCGCGCTCCTGGACGCCTGCACGTCTCAAGCGGGCGTCATTGCCGGCGGTGTTCCCGGTGCAGGAGGCTATGACGCTGTCTGGCTTCTTGTTCTTGAACCTCCCCAAACGGCCGACCAGCTGCCGTTCCGCCGCATCGAACGCGTTTGGTCTACGTGGAAAGACCTGAACGTTTCGCCGCTGTCAGCCATCGAGAGCAAAGCCAAGGGCATACATCTCGAGGATATCGATCAGGTCAACGGCTTACGACAAGCCATCCATGGATGACCCGATCCGTGAGGCATGCGTACGACATTCAACACGCGCAAGAACGTATTTGTAGGTTTATTAGGTTCTAGCAGTCACCACCAATTGTATACGGCGTCCATTGAGGTATCGCAACTTCTGTATACTCGGAACAATACAAGTAGCCACGGTGAAAGTGTCCGGCATACGATGCGATAGTAACGCTCATGCGCAGATTCTGGCACTGCCAGCAGGTGTCCATGCCTTTCCAAGGGCGATGAAGAGCGACATCACCAAGACGATGCTGCCGAACGCGACGCAGAGTACGGCGGGCAGCTTCTTGCGACTCGTCCATCGTTCGCCTGGGTTGGCCAGCTGGATGTAGCAAGCTGCGGGGAAGATGAAGGCTAGGGCGGTTGCGGACACGCCTCCCGTTATTTCGAGCATGACGCCCAAATCGCAGGTGATGAGCGCCACTGCGGGTCGAGAAGTTACAATTTTGAAGCGCATCAAACCGAATCGAGGACTCACAAAACATCGATGACACGACGATGGCGGTGGTGAAGAATAGATGTCGCTGCGGGCTGAAGACTTCGTGCGAAAAGAAGTATTGTTCGATGACCTGGCGGTGAGATCACCCGTTAGCGGGCACGGTCCAAGACAAAAAACTTGGTGCCTCACCTCTCTGCAAACAAACAGTTCCAGTGGCAAGGTGGTGAACATGTTCATGCCGAAGCAGAATCTCGCGACGTTGATTAGGGTATCGTCCTATCCATACGTCAGAGGTTGCTCCTCGGGTCTTGGTCTTTCTCAACTGACCTTCGCGAAGTTGTTGAGAATATTGCCTTGTGTTTTATCTGTGAAGACCAAATAGCCGGACAACGAGAGAGTCACGCATGCCGCGAGACTGATCCCTGTCGATATATGCGTGACGGTCTTGAAACGATCCATGGTGGGGGTCTTGAGAGCGCCATAGATCAGTAGGGAATTATGATGGCAGACGAAGGCGAAGCTCATTACGCCCACGGCCTGGAATACACCAGGCCCTACGAGCGAGAAGCGTCGTGCTGGGTCGCCGTGTAGCTCCGGTGGGGTGCGAGGAGCCTCAATGAGGATGGAGAAGACGATGACGAGCATGCCGATTAGCGCGAATCCGGATGCTCGCGCTAATTTGTCAATCGAGCGATGCAGGGACAAAGGGTATGAGACGCAAATAGTGCAAAGAGCAATGACAAATTGGCGGTTTGTGAGGAGGGAGAGCACAGGAATAGTGGACAGGGTCGGGAATATGAAGCGGATAACCGCAGGAATAGTGTCGCCGATGATGATACCAAACGCGCACATTCCTAGACCAGTGAAACACATTAGGGATGAGATTCCGGTATTTGTCAGTAGCACGTACCCCCGAACGCGAAGGCGAACTGGAAAAAGGAAACCGCGGCACGACCGCTGGGACCGAAGCATGCATCCATGATACCGATATACGAGTTTCTGCCGCTCAGCTTGGCATTGAGCACGATGAGCCGGATGGTCCAGTCGGTCACGCCGCAGAGCACCACGAGCAAGAACAATCCGGTGAAGAATCCCGCCTGGGCTAACGCATAGGGCAAGCCTACAGGAACGCATGAGTATAGAGACGCTGCACCTCACAACAGCAATACAAGCTTACCGATGATACCTGTTACGAAGAGCAGCGATGAGTTGGGGTACTATCTTAGCGGATATAAGCCCACCTGCCCCAAGGATTGAGTTGGCCATATTTGCCACGGATTCCAGCAATCCGCCGCCTGCCGTCCTCTTCGCTGCCAACTCGTCTAGGTCTACGCCCTCTAATCCTTCCGTGGCTGGCCCATTCCCCGTACCGTTGACAGACAACGACCCGTCCAGCGAGCGGCGCACTGTGGCCGTGTCCAGTAAGCCTACGAGGAGAGGCATGGCCTGTTCTCCGCGTCGGCCCTGGCGATGGGAACCAGGTGTTGCTTCGAGCTGCTCCAGGTCATGGTCATTGAGTACGTCGGAGTCCTGCTCGTATTCTCGTGGATAACTCAGGCCAACAGACGCCAGTGGTGCGTGGTATAACGCACCTATTTCTCGACTAGTAAGAGTTGAACGGAGTGGAGGTGCTATGACCTATCTGACATTAGCACATCAAACGGTCGCAGTCATACGATACTCGCACCTGGACTTCCTCCTGAAAGCGAACATGTCCGTTCCGCTTCGAATGCTCCTCGTGTAGGAGGTCACGATCCGGAGTTCGCGCCCCGTCCGAGTCCTCATCGTCGCCGACGTTGAAGATCACATTGTCGTGTTCGCCGTCATCCAAGAGCGGTTGACGAGCCTCGCCTTCGTCGGGCCCGCTCTGTGCAGCTTGTCGGCTCCGACCTAACATGTCGTGATGCGTCGAGCTAGGGAGATCTCATGTAGGACACGTTTCCAGGACCGGCGCCGGAGCTGGGGGAAGAGCGTGGCATATATGCGGTGCTCACCGCGCGCGGCGCCGTCTCCTGCGATCACCACGAATGCTCTGAGATTGTATATTCTTGTATTCCCAGTGCTCAGATCTACCTTGTACATACACCGTACCATACTATCATGTCCGTGCTAAGTATCAGTGCCCATATATCCATGTGTTCATCATGTCATAAAATATCAGCAAACCCAGACGCCGAATGCGCGGCTATCATCCTTTCACATCTCTCCAGATCGGGTTCACGGCCTGACTCACGACGCCCACCGCAACCTCTATCTCGTCCCTTTCTCCTTCGTGGCTCACAGCTTTGAGAACGCCCCTAGCTCTCCAACGATCGGGATGGAACCGGCGCTGACTTTTCTCGACGAATGACTTCCATTCCTGCGGACGGATATGTGGACGCACGGCGGTGAAGAATTCCTCGACCGTAGACCAATCTAGGTCCTCCACCTGTATAGCGAGATCGGTCACCAAACCGCTTTGAGAAAAGCGGTCTTTCACTCACAGTAAATCGGCCTGGGGGATGCAACACTGGCCACGGCACGTCGTCGAACGTTAAGGGAGCGTCTGGCAAGGCCCACTTCGTGGCGTCGAACGCGTCCGACAGTACTTTGTATTTGTCCAGTGCCCTCACCGCCGACCAGAGGCCAGTCCCCCACTTTTCCCGCTGCTGCTCGCGCTTCCTCTCGCGCTCCCTCCGCGCTCTGTCCGCCTCCTCCTGCTCTTTCCTGACCCTCTCCCTCTCCTCCGCCTCCTTCCTCCTCCGCGTCGCTTGCTCCTCCCTGCGGCGCTCTGCATCTGCCCGCGCCCTCTGTTCTCTCTGCCGCGCTTCCTCTTCCTCCCTTGCGCGCCGCTCCTCTTCATTCCTCCTCCGCGCCTTTTCGCGCTCTTCTGCGGCCTCACTCTGGGCTCTCCTCTTCGCGGCCTCTTCCCATATCGGCCGGTCCCTCTCCAGCTCGGCAATCTTGCGGCGCGACTCTTCGATGGCGGCCGCGCGGGCGGCCTCTTCGTCGAACTCGGCGTCTGGCGTCTCGGTTTGCTGCGTTGGTGGGTCGTCGCTCTGGCTTTGTGTTCTGGATGTGGTGTCTTGGCTTGAGTATGCAGTGTCTTGGCTTGGGACTGAATTGCCTGTTGAGCTCCGAAGTTAGCGATCCGTAGCATTCCGTCCGTGGGCGGAAAAGGAAGTTAAAACCACACGAACCGTTTGCATGTCCGTTCTGTGCAGCATGAGTGTGAAGATCGTTGATAAGGTCTCTCAAGAACGCCTGCTCCCTTGCCGACCGCCACTCCGCAAGCCTCGACGCCAACTCCTCTTGTTTCTTTCTCTCCCGAGAGTTCTTCTTGCTATTGGACGGAGGCGAGCGTGTCCGTGCGCGCTTCGGGTCGCGGAAGGCGGCCTTTTGTGGAGAGGGTTCACGATCCTCTGCCACAGGTCGTAGTGGATTCACGAATGCGGGGCCAGGTGACGCTGATGTCCATCTCAGATGAGCATCTTGCTAGAAATCCAGTTCGTGTCGTACCTTTACGCTTGCCGGTGCTGGGAGGCGGATCGGGGAGCTGGGAAGCAGGCACTCTCGGCGTCTCGGGTACTGAACTTGATTGGGACGAGCCTGACAGGTCAAGCATGCTCGTATCCCGTATGATTCCCGAGTCGATTTGGCTATTCGGCGCGTTGCTGTCTGGCGGGCTACTCCACCCCGCACCGAAAACGGTCGCTCCTTTAGCAGCCATCTTCGCCCTCCTCTTCTTGCGCTCCTGTTCCATCTTCTCTCTGCGTTCTTTTCTTCGGAGAGCGGGAGCCGCGCTCTGCGACCGCGACCGCGGCTTGCCTTGGCTGTGGCTTTGGCTGGGCGGGTGGGGGTCGATTACCATCTCCTCTACTTCTTCCTCGTCCGACTCGGAGAGACCGTCGCTGTCGAATCCGTCGTCATCGAATTCGTCTTCTGTGGTGTCGATGGTGACCACCGGCTCCTTGCGGAATTTCTTGTGATCCCGACCTGCGGTAGGTGATGATAGTCCGTGTTTGAAGTGTGGCGCGGGCGCCGGGGCACGCTGCGGGGGGCTCCGTGAGTGGATCCGGGTGATGGTGATCGGTTTGGGGTATGAAGGTATGTGGCAGTCGTATGCCAGCTTGTCAAGTTTGTAAATCTCCCATTGCTCTTGGAAGCATAGGACAGGTTCCCTAAAGATGGACAGGGCGTCAGAAACACATTCAGACCCCAGCATCGAGGACGTGCCCGCAAAGGTCGATAACTTGAGGCCAGGACCCCTCATCTTCGATACCAGGGTCCTTTCTGGCCTTTGGAACGAACCTCCACGCGGTTTCTCCGTTGGGAGCGACCTCTACAACGATCCTCTTGGCGCGATACGATCCAGCGGCGGCAGACGCGTCCGGCACGTGTTGCTGTAGCGCAGCGGACGCGACGAGGGGGTCGTACGACGCGAAGAACAATCTTGAGCCCGGGTGGCGGAGTAGACGTGCTGGTTGCTCGGGGTCGAGGACGCCCGGTACAGGCCCCGAGATGGCGCGCGTGAAGTAGGTGTAGGACGGTCCAGCGCCGGCACTGGACATGCTGGCGGGGATGCCCGGGCACGCGTTCGAGGGTCTCCCGGAGTGGCGGATGTTGGTAGCAGCCTGCGGGATCGATGGGTGCCGCGTACTTATAGCAGAATCATGATCAATAACGGAATATGTGGCCAAAATAATCGTGGCCCTCGATCGGACTTCAACATACCTGTGGCGCGTCGCGCGTCGCACGTGGTCGTTCTGCGCGACAGAACGTGACGGTGAGTAGAGGTGAGGCAGGTGAGGACTGGTGAGGACCGGTCAATGCACTCGAGGCCTGCGAGGTCCGTAGTGGGCTTTGCTGTCCAGGCACAGCGAGTCTCAGCGCAGGCAAACCCGAGGCAACGCAAGGTCCACGAGGTGACACACAACGCCAGGAACGTGGAGACAAAACCGTGGTGGTGGCGATGACAATTTTGTGCCGTTTCTCAGTCCTCCGCAGCGGGTAATGCCCCTGTCCCGGGTGGACCTTGGGCCGCATTCAACTAAGGTCCTCGTGTGTGGCTGGATGTCCAGATTAGTTGTTGGACATGGGATCAATTATATGTGCTTGTGATCGTCGTACAATGGCGTCTGTATAGATTAATATCCTCGCAGTAATTTATCAACGCCGTGAAGGTTATATCGGGTAAAGTCAGACATCCTCCTTCTCGTTCGCTCTCCGCTCCTCTTGTTCCCGCTCGTACAAAGCAACATCTTGGCGCCTCCTCCACCACTGTATAAGAATAGTGGTCACGCACGATATCGCAACCCAAATGAGCAAGATGCCAATGTTCATTCCAACTATAGATCTCAAAGTCAGCACTCTTTCAACGCGCCAAGGAAGACCTTCGGTTCGTACCTTCATTTCGCGTCCCAAATACGATGGTTCGTACTGCTCGCGATACGTTGTAGAACGGAGTGGCATAGCCATAGCGGTAGATAGTAGGTAAGATTTCAATCGCTGAAGAACGATAAATCAGAATCAGATGATACAAGAAGGGGTAGGAGAACAACGCACGGAACAACGCAACAGAGACATTTGCTGCGGATGGAAGATCATATTAGTATCTACGGATGCATGCATTGAAGAAAGGGGATTTCACAGATTATCCACAGCAATAAGAACAACGAGATGAAGCGTAGTGTAAGCAAGGGAAGTAGTGCCTCAAGTGCCATTCCCCTGAGCGTGCAAGTTTGTCAGTACTCTCAAGTAAGCCAAGATAATATTGCTGTCACTCACAATGCAAGCATAGCGATATATGTCAACATCCAATAGATGAAGAAACCGGCATGTCCGAACCTGATCCCCCGGTGATCAGGCGTATCTAGCGCGTTCAGTCAGGCAGACTCACTTCCGGTCAAAGGGTACTTGAAACGCCAAGCTGAGCAAGGCAAAGAACAGCTGTGTAGAATGTCCCCTTAGAGCGCTTATCGATGATTTTCGAGATGAAGTACGTACGGAAAGGAAGAAATACGAGATGAACGGAACCACCAACCGGATAGCGATGAGAGAACGAAGGTTCAGCCGCCTGTCGAGCTGCGCGACGACCGTTCGCCCGCCGAAGTTAGTCATCTGATTTGTACGTCAGTCTCGAACACGAATCACTCTTTACCCGATGCTGCGTACCGCCATATTGAACTAAAGTGAACAAGCCTGTCAGACCGGAGCATCCAAGCACAATGGCAGTGACATTGTACATACAGTCAGAATGACCATATAAATTAGGCCGACGAAGTTAACAGCGGTCGCTCTGCATGAGTGTGAGGGACGGGTCAAACAATCTGGCGATATGCAGTGGGGCTCACACCGGCACGTCAAATGGCTTGATGTTATTCATAGTGAACCCAATTGGCGAGGTAACGACTTGCGGCGCGGTCGCGACCAGGTTGGTCATGTTCGATCCGCTGGCTCCCAGTTTCGCTGCAGTTTGAGCGGCGAAGGACGCTGCCACTTGCCCCATGACCTGACTAATCTGTGGAAAGATGAAGGTCCGACTGCGGGATGAGATGGACTTGAGCGTCGAGTAGAAAAAAGAAAAGAAAAAAGACGGACTAGGCGTTCTCATTGCGAGCCTCGACCCCGTACGCCATCACAGCAGTGCTACCGTTGTACATTCTGTCCGCGGACGCTTGCGCAGCCTGTAATCGGACGGTCGTGTTGGCCGGGACTGTGGAGAACGGTGCGATGTTAGACAAAGTAGCAGGTTTCAGTCGGAGTTAGCGTACTGGCGACCGCGGTCCACGCCCTCTCGTCAAACACGCGAGCCGCAACATCGGTCAAACCCCCTGGAAAATGGTCTGCGGGAACGGTATGCCAGGATATCTGGGTCTTCTCCCCAGTCGCGCTCAAAAAGCCTTCAGTTACAGCCTTCCCGACGTCTCCGCCGTCGAAGTCCTGCGGTCCACGTCGGTGAGCGGAGCTTAACCACATCATATGCGGTGGAGACACTGACTATTATCCAGCCATTGAGGTTGTGTACTCCGTTGCGGATCTTCCATAAAGCTCCCCAGTAGATGCTGCATCGGGGTAAATCCGTCGGTGGGGTCGTCTGAACGCGAATAGCGCCGTTACCCACCTCATAACACAGAATACGAGCAATATGAGCGTGAACGTCCCACCGCCCACAACTGTGAGGTATAACTTTCGCTTGACTGTGCTTTCGGGATTCTTGTCGAAGAATCGACTAGAAAACATGGGTCCAGTGCTTTCCGTCCGTGGTTCGATTTCGCCGGAGCCTTCTTCGCGCAGCGTAGGTGCTATCGGTGAACGTCAAGCTCAGAACGGCAAATATTCACTATATGGCATACCATTCATACCATTCCCAACGTCGTCGCGCGAATCTGAATACGCTTGGTAACTGCTCGACATCCTGGCCAATTCCATATCCTCTGCGCGTTGAATATACTGAGTACGGCGTGATGTCTCGGGGCTAGGCAGACGTGACGGTCTTTGCTGGTAGGTTTCAAGGGAAGACGTATGTAGCACAGGTATACAATTCGGACCTCAAGATGTGCTTGTCGAACATGATGCATCATATATGAGCTTGGCCCCTTGCGTCCTCCGAGTCGGAGCATTTACTATCACCCTCCGTAACCGTACGGATCAAGGGTCGGTCACGTTTGTCATCAGCTTTGAACCGTCTCGGAACGCGTGTCTCGTTCTCCTTCGGAATTTGGAAAGCGCTACTTAGTGGAGTATGCTTACGAAGGAGGCCTAGGGGTCAATCAAACGTATTTCGCACGCTACTATCGGACAGCTGACCGTCGTCACAGCTCGCGGTGTTCGAGGAGTATCAGCCTCTGAAAGATGCAAATAAGGGCAAAGCTCGATGTCAAGAGCAGATACGACTCACGCGTTAATTTCCATTGGTAGATAGGTAGGTAGGTAGGCAGGTAGGTAGGTAGGTCGGTAGATTGCTGACGAGGTCCCGTCCAAAGGTCGGACGTCGACGCGCATACTCGAAACCCACTCTCCATCTCGGAATGTTACTACTTAGTTTACTTAGCAAGCTTGGCGTGCGAAGCTGATCAGATCATCTGATTCAATACCCTCAGTCACGACCCTATCTGAGTCTCCAAGCTCACGCCACCATCTCGTCACGCAGACATGAAACGTATCCAACAAGTATTATCAGTGCATAGATGTCTATCACAGAGAGAAGTACAGTGACAATGGACTGAAGTCCAGCTCTAATGCGCATGCAGAAACAATAACACAAACCTCAGTAAAAGACCTCAGTCACTGTCTGTATCCTCGGGTTTGGGTCCTCCGAAGGACAGCCAGTCGAGTTTGCGCTTCTTTCTCCTTTCCCTATAAGTGATTGTTAGCAATCCACGATCCCGCGGGGAGTAAGACTATGCACATACTCCTGTGCCTTGATCTGGTTTCTCGTCATCTTCTTTTTCTTCTTCACGGGAGGCGTGGACGTCCCATCCTGCGCCTCATCGCCACTAGCCGCCGGGGTAGCAGCTGCGCTCGCAGCGGGAGTCCGCCCCTTTCTGCCAGCGGGCGTGTTGGCGCCGCTGCCCTTCGGAGATTTTGCATCGTCGAACGCGTCTTCCACGACGGACGCCTTGCCCTTGTGGGTCATGCGACCGTTTTCGACGTTCCACACCTCAGAACACAGCGCGCTGATGAACTCCTCGTTATGGGAGATGATGACAACGGCACCAGCCCAATCTCGAATTGCGACGGCGAGCCCACCCAGTGCCTCACGGTCTAAGAAGTTGCTCGGTTCGTCGAGAACGCAGATCTATGGTTTCGTCTCAGCCAATATGGCGGTTGAAGTCCGAACAGCACATTACCTGAGGGTTGTTCCACAAGCAGGCCGCGATCACCAACTTGATCTTTTGACCACCGCTGAGCCCACTGATCTCGTTGTACTGCGCAATGTCTCCATCTAAGCCGATGTCCTCCAAATGTTTCCGGACAAGATGACCCGAGGTTTCTCGGGATCCGGCACCCTCGCGCGAGCTTTCGAGGTCATCAAACTGCTGTACGAGCTTGCCGAAACCCTTCTCGATCAGTTGTTCACGCGGAATCCAGGAGTTGAAACGATGGTCAAGCCCGCGCCACTTGACCTCGTATTGGAGCGATTTCTTGAGTTTCTGACGGCCCATGATAAGCTGTGCGAGACGAGATTAGCACTCAAAGCAACCGAAACGGAGACGCGAGCACCGCCAACCTCGAGCTTCCGTTTGGAACCGTTGCTTCCAACGAACTCGGTTTCGAGAAGCGCCTTGTCTTCGTCGGTCAGGACACGGGTGGTCTTTTCGAGCAATTCGCCTAGGCTCAAGATTAGAAGCTACATCTTCGCAGATCAAAGCCTACTCACGATCATAGCCGTCTTGGAACCGCCACTGGATATACTGCACAGGCGTCTTCTCAAGGTGATGCTCTGATACAAACTAAATCAGGACACATAACTGATTTGCAGTCTCAGCTCGACGGGCGCACCGATGTGATGGGTAGCATGCTGGGAGACATAGCCAATGCGAAGAGAGGGGTGGCGGTACACAGTACCTTCTTGAGGCTCTGTCTCGCCCTGTTCGCGGTTCAGCCAGCAAACCAAACAGCAGCAACGCGGAAACGCACGGTGATGAGCTTGATCAGGGTCGACTTGCCGGCGCCGTTAGGCCCGACGACACCGACACGGCTGTGTTGCTCCATCAGTCTCCGTCCCGTTCTAAGCGAAGCCGGAGCTTACCTCGATAGCGATAGCGCACAGCTGACGTTGTACAAGCTCGGCTTGTCTTTCCCGGGGTATGTATACGTGCAATTGTTGACCTTGAGAATGGCACGGGTGTTGCTCCGAACACCCATGAGTGAGCCCGGAGGCGGGAAAGCGAACTTGATAGATGTGGCGGCAAGGGTATAGTATGACTTGGCCTCTGGGTGGCCCTCTACGAACGTGGACAGGTTCCCTCTATAGAATACAAGTTTCTTGCCCTCGTACTAGGATGATATCATAAGCAAACAGCGCAGCCCTAAAGCAGGATTTTTCACATACATGCATGATGTCTGTTGTTACATTGTCTAGGAATCTGTGCCCCGTTTACCTTCGATCTTATCGTAGATAATGTGGGCGAACGTACCCTGAATCGTGACTAACAATTAAGCAAGTAACATTTGTCTGGGATTTAAGGTAGTTTTCTAGCCAGGTCACCGAAGCGCGGTCGAGCTAAACACATATTAGCGAATGCTGATCCCAGCGTGAACTAGGGCACGTACATGGTTGGTGGGTTCGTCAAGAAGGAGCAGATCGGCGTTGTACAGCATGGCCCTGGCAAGCTCAAGCTTCATCTTCCATCCACCGGACAAGCCCCCTACAGTCTCCGCTTGCCGGGCGTCGTCAAAACCGACTTCCAGTAGCTGGTCACGTATCTTCGCCCGAGGCACATCCTTGAGCTGCTTATCTGAGGCAAACGCACAATCGTTAGTCTAATGATGCATGTATATGGCCCTTTCAACATACCAGCGGCGATGAAATCTATGATAGACAGTGAACCATCTTCGCCCTGGAGCGAATGCTCGACCATCACACAACGGAGCTGGTCTTGAGGCGGAAAGCCTTCAACCTTGCCATCCCGCAACTGGCGCATAAGGGTCGATTTTCCAGCACCGTTCGGGCCGAGAATGCCATAGCGCCGACCGCGGAAGAGACGCAAACGCGTGTGCGAAAGCAAAAGAAGGGCGCCGTATGCAAGAGAGAAGACAGTGTCGCATAACAGCTCTCCTTCATCTGTTGAATTATCGACGGCAGGAGCAAATCTAGCCTGTGAGAATATGAGTCGTTATGAGGGCTGCAAGCGGGCAGAGAGAATGACAACATACACGATCTATCGCCTCGAAATGTGTGCGCACCCGCTCCGCAACCACGGAACCATCGGTATCTGGTCCCAGCCACGGGTCCAGAAACGAGCCTACGCAGCGTTTCCAAGCGCCAAGATTATCGAAGTCGCGGTCATGGACAAGATCCGCCACTAAAGCAGCCTCAAAATCGATCACCTTAGCCAGGAGAGAGTGGCGAGGTTCGTGGGGCCCGTTCGGTGTCGCTTGCGATACGAGAAGAAGTTCCTGAGGCAAACATATCAGTATCGCAGCCCGAGCAGCTGCGATCTCGCCCTGGGTGTCACGAGCAGGCGGGGGTGGAGCGCTCGCAGAGGCACCGGCTTTGAGAAGGGTCTTGAGGGCGGTATCCGCGAAGGCGCGGACCTCAGGGAATGCGGCGCCTTTGGCGATCTTCTCAACACCTTCGACCAGCGGGCTGAGGTAACGGGCGGCGACAGCTGGCGTGCGCACAAGCTTGACAAGGTTGTCTATGACGACCACAGTGCGACGCTGGACCTCCATACTGCGGTCATTGAGCGCGCGGAGAAGGAGGGGGACAAGCACGGCAAGCGCCGGGGCGGTGACTTCGGCAACGAACGTGGTGGAGGAGAGAGACTTGATGCAAGCCGGCACCGTGTCTGGGTTGGACATACACTTGACCAGTGCAGGTATGTGAGTTGTGAGATCCGCATTCGCGAGCGTGCTACAAAGGGCCGTGGCGCATTTGATAGCCGCGGAAGAGACCTCCTTCTTCGTGTCATGCATTGCGCCCTCCACCTTTGGCAACACCGCGCCTAGCTCGTTCGCTACCTGCTCTCTTGCAGATGGGACAAAGGCCCTGATCGCATCAAGCGCGCCAACTTTGGCGCCCCATTTTCCGGAATCCAGGACTACCTCGAGCTGACGGAAAACGAGCGATGTCGCTTCGGGTGGGAAAAGCTTCAAGATCGCCTTATTGGCCGCAGTGGCTGCTGCCCGAACAACCTCGCCCTTGTCCATATACAAGTCGAAAAGGATCGGGAGAGAAGGGAGCAGGAGGGGGGCAACTGGCGTTCCAAGGGTGGAGGCAAGCGCTTGGAAAGCGACGCCGGCAGATTCGCGCTCAAACCCGGATTTTTTGTTCGCAGCGTATGCGTGTAACGTATCGAGTATCCCATCGTCGCTGTGTACACCCGATGAGCATTCACGTGTAAGCTGGCTGCTATCTACCGTACCTCAAAGACTGCAGGCCGGCCTTCAACACTTCGCGGGCGAGTTTGTCTGCTGCGGCCTTAGCATCTATGACCTTGTATGTCAGCAATGTTCTTTTGACCCGTATACCAAGGCATCGTACCAGGACCAGTTGGCGCCGTGCGCAGTGCCTCGAAGATGGGCGCGAAGCGGTCGGAGGCAGTGGGCATGGCTACAGGCATTTAGGACGGCCGTCAAGGTCTACGAGTATCCAGATGCTTGATGTGTTGTACAACGCGTTTCTGGCGAAATGAAGCCAGCGCCCGGTGGGCGAGATGAGGAGAGGAGATGGTACTAATAGCGTTACTGATCGAAATTTTGGGACCCGCGTTCAATGGTCTGCGTGATGCCCGGAGATGGATCAGGTGGCCACTGAATCGGGCACCGCCTGTTCCTGGTCGCTACTCACCACCATGACTGTCAGACCGCTGGGAGAATGTTGAACTGATCCGAATATATCTACCAAAGGACGGTCTTGATCAGGCCCACCGACCCATCAAACTGGCTGATTTACTCCTGAATGTGCCTCGACCCGAGACATAAACATACGGAGCCCCCCGGCTGTTACCATCAACCCAGATGATCTACGCTTCCTCATGTCCTCATCAAGATGACGACCGCGACCCGATGGTTGCCGCAGTTGCGAGCGAGACTTGCAACCGCCTCAACGTCCGCAGTAGAAATATCCTCTCACTTCGCCCGGCCGCCCATTTCCCCTTCGCCGGCAGAGCCTCCTTCCTATTTTTCCTTCCGTTTCAAAGTACTATATTACTTCACAGGCGGCGATTGCACTGCTCGTCGTTCTGATTATACTTTCCTCACAGACTCCCTGGCTGAGTTGCTGGTAACAGCCATCGTCCTCACTTTCCGGCTTATATGGTCTCCCTCTCTCGATATCATGTCCACGCCCAGGCAAGTTGTCGCTCGTCCCGATAACCCTGAGATTGCTAACGTCCGCACGTAGTTACCGCGCACCTCCACAGATCGCAGCCTCGGTCAAGCACCGACGGCTCAGGGCGTTCACTTGGAGGCGGTGCGCGCCATTTCGGTCGTCTCTACGACAGCGGATCCATCGACAAGTGCAACGCCCGTAATAAGGATAGCACCCCAAGTCATGGCGGAGGAAACGAGCGGGCCGACTCAAACTATCTCCATCGCATCAGTTTCAACTCTCTCCAGTTCATCCACAACGTCGTCCGCACCCAGCGCCTCCCCCAGTTCCTCCGCGCCCGTATTCTCCATGCCCATTATTATAGGAATTGCCATCGCCGGTGGGATCGTCGTTCTCGGCCTTCTATTCACCGTGATCTACTGCTGCATATCGCGTCGCCGCGCCCGACGCCGCAAACAGGAGTTGATCGCCTTCCCCGCCGGCGCCGACGGGGCGATTGCGCCGTTCGGTCATGGTCTACCGACCGCGCAAATACCAGTCGACGCTTTGCGGCCGTCGTCCCTCAGCTCAAGGGCACAAAGCGACAAATCGTACCTCAAATACTCGCCGCCTTCTACCGGTCGCTCGGCGGATAAATCGTACCTCAAGTACTCGCCGCCTTCCACGGGTCGCTCGGCAGACCAGGTCAAGGTCCCTCCGCTGCGTCCGCCTCGTCCGGAGGAGCAGGCGTCTCCGGAGGCGGGCTTCAAGCAGATGTGGACCGTACAACAGGTACCTGTCGCCTGGAACACCAAGCTCGCTCCCTACGGATCGCCTACCCGCGAACCGCAAGCCGTGCCTCCTTACGGCGCGCCTAATCGCGAACCTCAAGTTGTGTTCTACAACCAATTCCACCCAGAACCCGAACGCAAGGGCACAGCGAGCACGCTGAAGCGCCATTCCGTCGAAACCGCCTCCATCTACTCACATGGCTCTGCTCCGCACGATATGCATGAGAAATTGGCCCGTTCGCGCCGTTCATCGGCGGATTCAGTTTTATCCGGTCCGACCGCAGCATTCATCGCGCGCAATGCCATACCGTCCATGGCTTCCGCAGACCTTCTTGCGTCGGGATCCCGGGAATCAAGTCCGACCAGGGTACGACAGCAGCCGACGTTCACGCGCACTCCTTTGCCTCCGATACCGCCCACCCCGCCTGTAGACGCGCCACCGATGGTTTATCAGGCCTCGCATCCCGCGCGTCAGCCTTCATTTGGTTTAGCAGCCGAGAAGATCTACGAGACGCCGAAACCAGCTACCGCTCCTGCGGCTTCTCCCAGAAGGGAACCCTTGATCTCCCGCAAGGTGCGGCCTGTGGGGCTGAACACCGAGATTGCCAAGGCCATGCCCATGGGCCCGTCGGCCAGGGGCCCGACGACGCCACAGCCCGACTCGCGGCTCGATCCGCATTTCAGTCGTGTAGCTCCATCTTCCGCTCCCCCGACACGTACCACCATGGAAGAGGCGCAGAGCCGGCCCCCGCTCACTCCGCCTCCGGCCAAAGCGCTTGCCTCCATCTCGGTCCCGCCGTCACCTCTACCCTCACCAGGTGGCCCGCCGCCGCCGCGACCCAAGCGCTCATCGCGGCGCATGGTAGGCGCATCGGTGAAGCGGAGCGGCTCGCTCAACAGCGTCAAAGCGAGCTCGGTGCCGCAACCGCCATCGCTGAAGGTGCGGTCGGGTTCGCCGACGAAGCAGACCGTGTTGGGCCGACCGTCTACGGCTCCGACTGCCAGGAGATCACGAATGCGAGACGGCACGCGGAGAGGTGCGAGGGGTCTACTTGATCTCTGAGCGCTGCTTGGTACATGGCTGGGACGAGACGTACGAGCCGCTGGCTAGTGAGGGTCAATGACTGCTTTATTTCTGTATTATCTCCCTAATTTGCGAACTTTTTTCATTTTATCGTAGTTAGTTGTACACTCATGTCCATCCTTTCGTTTAGTACACGTAATGTACCACAGTGTAGCATAGATGGCGATCTTATACGCATACTGTGCAATGTCACCCGTTCACCTCGTGTTGCCGTGTGGTGAGATGCATCGCCTGCGGAACGCGGGAGATCTTTTCTTGTGTACTTGCTCGTTGTCTCTTCCGGCGGGTTCTGGTCAATGACTGGAGTATTGCTCTGACACACGACCGCCTGTTCATCCTTGCCATGATGCACTCAACTCGCACCCTCTCTCTGTCGGCCATAGCGCTGTACCTGGCAAACTCGGCGAGCGCGCAGACAGCAGCGTCGGCGTTGGCGTCGGCGTTGTCTCTCACGACGAGCACCTCGCTGCCGTTCCCAACCGCGACCCTCGGCGCCTCCGACGCCAACACCTTCATCGTTCAAGGCTGGTCCTTGAGCAAAGGACGCATCCAGAACGGCGCAGACCGAATAGCGTTCGTCAACGATCCCTTTACGTCTTCCATCACTGCGTCGGCGTCTGGCACGGTCACCACATCCAGTACACCCTCGGGTCCGCAAATAATCTCCGCCTCAGGCGTGACCGTGATCACCTCAGCGGTCTCGCCTGCAGCCACCCCAACGTCTACCGGACCAGTGCTCAAGGTCACATACCCGGCCAATGCGTTTGGTTCGAATTCGTCCGGCATGCAGCTGGAGAACCTATGGAACACATCCGACGGGTCCGCTTTCGACAGCATGGTGCTCTCGTACGAGGTCGCATTCGACCAGGGCTTCGAGTTCGTCAAGGGCGGGAAAATGGCTGGTTTAAGGGGAGGACAGAACCACACGGGATGCAGTGGAGGCAACAAGCCTAACGGGACCGACTGCTTCAGCACGAGAACGATGTGGAGGAAAGGGGGTGCCGGAGAGGTGTATGCGTACATTCCGACGCCAAACGGGCTCTGCAAAGACGACGACATCATTTGCAATTCCGACTTCGGGACGAGCATTCATCGAGGATCGTTCAGCTTCTTGGCTGGAGAGTACGTTACGTGTCAGCGAATTCGATTGATTATGCTGACCTTTGCGCTGCATAGGTGGAACCGAATCACTCTGGTCGTTCAGATGAACGATCCTGTAGACACCGCGAACGGAAATGTCGAGCTCTAGTACGTCTCTGTCATACGCAGTTTCGTTGTCGCGCTCATCGCCCTGTCTCCAGCTACAACGACGTGAAGGCGTTCCAGCAAGACAACCTTCAGCTTCGCGCTAGCAAATCTGTCAATATCAATGGACTCTACTTATCGTGCGTTCTTCGGCTTCTCCTCATCATACATCGCTGGCAACTCAAGGACATCACCTTTTAGTACATTCTATGGTGGATCTGACTCTTCCTGGGCGCCATCGTCCGAAATGCACACCTACTTCCGTAACTTCCAGATGTGGGGCGGATCCTCAGCATCCAACCTAACTGGCGCACACGTCAGTGCAAGCATCTCGAGCAGATCTACCGTCAGCCTCGCGTCGTTAATGGTGGCTGGTCTGGCTTCGATCATAGCAATGGCATGGGTATGAGGACGATCTTCAGCTCACGTTTTTGATGGATTAGTTCTCTCTGTGATTGTAGACATGTTTATGATACCCACCAAGGACCTATTTACCGGACAGCTAGCGGAGGCTGGCACAGAAATCTGGATATCAATGTAACAACCACATGATCGTTCGAGCAACCTTCCTTGAAGTCTTGTCTTCTAAAAACGAACTTCCCGCCACCCGTGTTCTGACTCAATGACAGACCGAAACACGGTTGTTCCGAGAGCATATTCACTATAACGATGCTATATGCATGCATTGCCGACGTATTTCCAGCAGCAGTCACGTCGCATCACAAATGCGAGGATTCTCCCAACCTTCTTCCGACCCGAAGGCAAGCCATGTATATGTGCGCCGAGGATGAAATCGCGGTGTAAACTGCCCTTTGGTCCTCGGATCTCATACAATCATGTCAAGGAAAGTCATCACCTTCCTCGCCCTCGCTTTGATAACTGCGGTTGCCCGAGCACAATCCGGCGCATATGGACAGTGCGGTGGAATCGGCTGGTGAGTGATCAATGGTCTTCAACCTGGACTTTCATATGACATCTTGTCGGACTCAGGTCTGGGGCCACGACATGTGTCTCTGGTGCGTGCATATTTCGAACACGGCGCAAAATTCATCTGGCAAGATTCTCATACCGCGTTCAGGATACGCATGCACCGTGCTGAACACATGTGAGCATCCGTATTGCATGATATTCCGATACATCCATGTATTCCTTATGCCTCAGACTATTCGCAATGCCTCCCGGGTGCCGCATCGGCTTCGCCGCCGCCGGTCAGCACGACTGTCCCGACGTTCAGCCCGACAACTGTGACACCGAACCCCACCACCTCAGACCCGATGACCAGCATACCCGCAACGACCACGTCGGCTGCAGCACCCACGGGATCTCAGCTTCGCACAGACCAAGAGTAAGTCACCGTAAACCGCTCTGATCTTGATGCGGAATTGACAATGCCCGTTTAGCCCGGTATACCACTTCTACCTGCAAGATCTGAGTGGGCTCTCCAATCACTGATTTCCTTGTTTCACAGTATCTGACCTGCATATTTCTACCTTAGACGGGGTTCCTGTCCTTGGCCCGGAGGCTTCTTCCGGCTATTTCGACATATCAGGCGGTACCATCTCCCTTGCCGCCTCCTCGGGCACGCTATATCTGAACGCCATCGAGTCCGTCTCGACATCCTACAAGCCGCTCGTCTTCAACTCTACCGCTATCACCACTGATTGGGGTCTCGAGGGCGATACAATCATCACCACCAACCCACGGCAACTCAACTTCGTCGCGTGTCCCACGAGCGACACGACCATATGGAGCCTCTACTTACAGGAGGGAAGTGACGAGCCGAGTAGTGCATGCGCCAACTACATGACTCTGCACTTGCCGTGTCTGTGCTGAAGGGTGGAAGTCGGGGGGGAGGGGGTCGTCGGTTTGGCGATGGCGAATAAGACTCCTGTCATCGCAAATCAATGTACTTACAGTTTCGGTCCCCGGAGACGCAATGTTATTCAATTGCGGAGGCTGGCCACACTCGCGCGAATCAAGTAGTCCATTAAGATCATCAAATACAAGACAATAAACGAATGCGAGCATCTACGTATAACATCTGCCAAGCAGCGGATTGAGCTACGCCGCTATTCGTGCAATGATCACTACAATTCAACCTAAGCTTTGACATCGCCATACACGAACAAGAAATACGTACCGGTCGCTCTAGGCCTTGGAGAACTGAAGCCTGTAAGCACCCTCGCCGGCGACGTTGCACGACTCCGGGCTGAGGATGCCTCCGACCATGCCGTTGCTTTGGCACGAGTTCAAGATGCTCTGCAGGTACCCTCCGCAGTTGACGCCGGGCTGCAGCTCGGGCGTGTTCCCGTCGGAGCACGCGTCGATCTTGCAAGTGCCGACGGTGACCTGGGTTGAGCAGTCGGAGCCGCCCGTGTTGGAGACCTTGCAGGAGCTGGAGCCAAGCTGCTGGATGGCGACCTGGCAGTCCTGCACGAGCGGGCTGCCGCTCGAGGTCTGGCAGACGGGGGCGGCGGTGTCGGGGCTCCCGCAGGCTGAGGATCAGGTTGAGCAAGTGTGATCCTGGACACAGAGAAATTCGTACTGCGCTGCTCAAGGACGGCGCCGAGGGTGACCTGGGCGGCGATGGCGGCGATAGTGATGAAGGTGAATTTGGTCATTGTGACTTGCTGGTTGGTATACTATAACGAACGATGAGGGTCGTTCGGAATCAGGCGAGTTGAACACTTGCGGGTTGGTTGGTGCAAATGCAGGTAGACGATGCGAAGAGGACTTGTTTGCTGCCTTGAATCGGAGGGCACGAACTGCCTTTATACTGTTCGAACAGCTCCAATGTATTTCGGGGTGGGTGGAGAACTGAATGCATTGCAGAAAGCACCCCACTACCCTGCTGCGACGTCGACCACGCCTCGCGCGAGAACAAGGGTACTCGCGCTACGCGGTGCGCAGGCCAGCCTGGCGCCATGTACGGCAGGATAGATTGGGAGGCTACTTGGAGCTGGTGATGATCTAGGGATGCCAACTGGTGGTCAATTTCCGCGAATTACGATCGGGGAGTGGGCGTGCTAACATTGGACATTGCAAAACGATCCGCATGAGCACAGGTACCCAATCTTCCAGGGCGGGCGTGAAATATCACAGCAGTCTGCTGTGCCAACGCTGGTAACGTTAGTTCGCTTCGTACACATATACATAGAGATCTCGGAGGCGCGGCCAGACCGACATGCATGTAAGCGTATGAATCGGGGACGCTAGACGTAGACCGTTTGGGTGTCGTTCTGGGTTCAACCATTTAACTGCGTTGTTGAGGGTTCTACTACATTGAATGATATCGTCTTTTGGAGAGTGCCTTGTCTTGCAAACGCAACCGCAGGAGCGCCACAATTCCCGCGCACGAAATGGGGAATGGCCGAAAGTTGCTCTGTCCCGGCCACCACCAACCCCAGTAGCAAAGGAGGCGGCGAACACAGCCAAATCCCAGTTTTGCGCGTCGTCAGCTCCAGTATGTCATCCTGCGATCAGATGGCACCGGCTCCGGAAGCACAATATGACGTTGAAGGTATACTCTGTGTTGACGAAAGAGAAACGATATATATACAGAACTGCGGAGATGGTAGACGTGTCATAGACGGGGCAGAAGACGATGTGGCAATAGGACCACTGCGCGGGTATCACTGGTTGCAGAGCAATGAGAGAATGGTAGCATGTCCCGGTTACGAGGTCCATAGTCGAACACAGGACGGTTGCATCGCATCCGCCTGCGCAAGGTGGGGTTGTCGTTTCATGACCAACTGATGTAGCTCGACATGGTTTGTGCTGACCTCCAGTCCTAGACGCTATTGCAAAGCAGTGCTATAGTCTTATTTCCGCAGTGGGGTGCAGTATGTGCAGTACTAGTGGGATAGACGTTGTTGACGGAAGGTCAGATATGATGAAGTATAACGTCACGGTTTGTCGGCTGGCATTGTTGACCTTTGTTTGCGTCGACAATTTACTCGAAGCATATCGCGCATCTAGTCCTCGCTGAGCGCTCACACACGGTTTACTTAAGTTACCTGGCCTTCATCCTCAGAGTCATATGTATCGTTACGAGCCAAGGGCGTTTCCTCAGCGTGACGCATATACTCGGAGTGATTTGATGCACGCTCGTGTATCCGTCGAAGTACCGTCTTGGCCACGGTTGACAGCAAGGCGAGGCTCGTTCTGCTGTCAATGTCTGCGTACAAGCCAACACCATGCTTCTCGTGGTTGATGTGCTCGTACGAGACTCGCAGTACGTATATGGAGCTTCATCTTTTCTGCATGCCGGCGGGCGAGTCTCGGTACGGGATGAAGTAGAAGTCAGAGAGCAGGGATACTCAACCGAGCTTGGCCGCCTCACTCACCTCCGTTCGACTTGTGTTCGCGAGCCAGGTGCTTGGCGGATTCCGGTACACAATACCGTTCGTCCTGGTCACTCCGTTGGTCCGGAGAGAACGGTCGTCACATGAGCTGGTGTTCGCAGGTCATCAGATGTTCCTTGACCGGGTGCTTGGCTCTATGCATATGGCGCGTGTGCTGGACAACCAAAATCGAAGTTGACCCAGAAGCTGGCCAACGACAATCTCGCGAAATCCCGACGTGGTCTCATGCACATGCCCGATGGACTCTAGGGGCCAGTTATCGCACCGTTGTATCTTTGTGAGTGCTCCATAGCCCATGCCCATCTCGTACCGGATTTATCGACATGCACCGGGAAGCCGATTAAGCTGTTCATTCTCTGTATGCGGGCCCCTTCGACAAGATCTGGATCGACATGGCATGGGAGACGCCTGCGCGGCTGCTTGGTTCACGAGGCACATATGAGCGAGAAGTACTCCACTACATTGGCAATTCAGGAGATTGTGATGCTCTTTCGGTATATGTTGACGGAGTCTCAATGAACGTGGACGGCTTGCAGATGCCAGGCCCGGGGGGGGGGGGTTCCATCTGCCGTTGTTACGTTGGAGAATTGCGATGGGTGCACATCTAGGACGACGGCATCCTCGATCGGACACATGGTGCTTGCATGGCGCCCTGAAGAACTTTCATGTCCAGCGATCCGGGTCTATATCGCGGGTTCGACCTCCCACTGGAAAACACTGCACGCTTCGGGTCGCTCTCGAGGTGAGCCAACGCCGCGATATGCATAGAGGGAAGCACGACTGAGATGGCTCTCACGGCACAACATAACAGCGTCAAACCCGCATCACGTCCGCCATGTTCGCGGATTAGGTTCCGACGCGCGATCGCGGGTTGGCAACTCTGCACTCGCGTTTCGAGCATGCCGTTACGGGAAGGCGGGATCCCGGCGGCGGGTGCCTTTGCGATGAATACTCGCCGCTTCACCTGCTCATCGTTGCCCACTCCAGCGCAGCAGGTGGTGCGCGCGCGTGTACGAACGCTTCCCCCGGGATCACGAGGAGAGGCGAGCACCACACCGAGAAGGAACCCGGTTGGGCCGCCGCCGTGTCCCGGGCGCGCATACATATTCTCCGGCTTCGTTCTTGTCGTCCAGCTGCCCGGGAGGAAACGTAAAACGCCGCCTCCAGCTCGAAATGGAATTCCGGGGGGGGGCTGCTACTTCCTGCGCGGAACGCGTCCGGAGGTGCGTCCCGGTGGCCCCGGAGCCCTGCGAAAGCCATTCGCAAGGACATGAGAATACGAGTCGCTTTCTGAGACGCTCATCCGGCGATCGCAAAGAACGCGCCTGGCTGGATCAGCAGGACCCGGGAGGAAACGAGGAGGAGGAGTGGGGTTAGTTCTCCAGGCTTCGGGCAGAAATAGCGGCACATACCCACCCCCCACGCCGACCGCGGGGAAACAAGCCGAAGGATACTTCCGTCCTTGGAATTACCGCATATGCGTGCTTCTCGGCTCGCCACCGGCGAGGAATGCTGGACTGCACCCTGCCGCACCATCGCCCCGCCATACGTGCGCAAGCTGATCGTGCTTTTGTCCAGTCTACGAGGAATGCGTGCGCATGGGGAGCGGCGCCACCGGCGTATAGCTTGCGCGGAACCCGCAGCTTCTGGTGCACTCGCACGATCTACGTGCATAATTCTTCCAGGAGACCTGGAAAGGCATGTTGATGCATGGCAGTAGAAGGGGCGCGTGTAAAAACTGTACTACACTGCGCGTACACGTAAAAAGAGGTGCAAAGATGCGAGCGTTTTGCGTTCAGACCCCCCGACGCCGATCTCTCGCGGGTCTTGTGATCCCATCGGGATTGCCGTAAAAGTTCCCAATACGTGAGATCGACGCTCCCCACGTACGTGTCCAAAAGCCAGCCCGTGTCCGGATCGCACAACTTGCGCTCTCTGTGCGGCTGGATTGACATCTGCGATACCGATATTTATTACGTCGGCGAAGGTCAATAGGATTATTACATTTGATGTGTTAGGTTTAGGTATATAAAGGATAAGCAAGAAAAAAAGATAATCTGAGACGAACGAAACGTCGTCTAACCGGAGCTTTCGGATGCTATATAGGGGCGCCAGCGTCTTCTCGGACGTTGCGGAGGAACAAGACGAGATTGTAGATGGAAATGAGGGCGGCACGGCTGAGCGTGGCTCTGTGAGATGACGAACGAGATGATGGCGTAATTTGTCAGGAATGACGAATAAAGAGGATGAGCGAGTCAGAAGCGGAAAAGAGGCGGTATCGGGGGGGCAGGGGATGCATTGATACATTGGGCTTTGATGAGGAATACAGCACGATGCTTGGGAATCTTGATGAAAATGATGACGATGCCGGAAAAGAGTCGCGGGTTAAATGCATAAATATGCGAAGATGGTGTTTGGACAGCGGTGATAGCGATCGAGTCGGGTCGAAGTTCGCGGGGCGAGCAGGGAGGGGGGGCGGTCTTCATCGTGATGTCATGGCGCCCTTGCCGCGGAACCAGTAGTGGCAGGAGGAGCAGTAATCGGGGTTTTTGGCGATCACGACCTCCTTGGCATCAGGGCCATAGAACTGTGGCGTGCACGGCATCAGGAAAGGGAACACGACAAGGTGAAACCGAGCGGGCGTCACCTTGTCGCATGCGCAACGACTGCCGGTACAGTCTGGCGGGTGGCTGCGGGAGTGCGAGCAATAGCGGTTGTAACAGTCGATCTTGGCAGTCTTGTTGGTGACCTGGTAGTGCTGGAGGATACGTTAGCCACGGGTATCGAACTTGGGGTATGGAAGGTCGACGTACCCCGCAGCCCCACTTGATGCCTTCGCTGTAGTCGTATGAATAAGCAATTCGGGCTGTGATGACTGATCGCGGCTAGAGGTGACTCACGTCTCGAAGACGCACATCGCGGTATGCAGTGGTGGTAAGGATAGGGGACGGAGGAGAGCGTTGTTTGAGATCCGGGGAAGAAGCGGGCGGCGTGATTCGCTATGGGGTGCGTAGCGTTCCTGGAAGAGGCCGAACTTTAGGCTTTCGCCGCAGGTGGCGATGACGCGAAGAAGTCTTACGGGAGACGGCGGGGAGCGTTTGATCGGAGCGGAGAGGGCGAGGGGGCGTGCGTCGGCGCGGGACACGGGGGCAGTCGCGGACGGGAGAGGGACAGGGGCGATTGCTCGGTTTATCGAACTGAGGGGCGGAGGGGTGGGCGGTTTTATAGCTGATGCGATGGGGCGTCCGATGTCGATGGCTTGTGCCGTCCGGGTTCGGCGGTGGCTGTGTAGTGTTTGGTCGTGCTGCCCACCGGATGGTTCGGATGGGGGGCGTGAAGCAGAAGCCACTCGTCTTCGAATCTTGGGCCGTGAAAGGTGCGGCGATGACGAGGGATCGGATGCGCGACGAGATCTGGTTTGTCACAAGACGTGGCGACCTTATCGTCGGCCTGGCTTGGGCTTGAGCTGCTGATTGCGATATCGCCGCTGTCACAAGGCGAGTGTCTGCGGCTGCCTGTTTCTTTATGCACGCCACGCTGCGTCCCGAGTGCGACGAGCCAGGACGTGCGCTGGGTCAAGGTGGGCTTCTCCCGCTGGGCTCAGGTCGCCACCACCCAGGTGGCTCGCGACGGCTGCGATGGCCAGCGATGTCGGCGCTCGGACGTTCGATCCGGAAAGAGCCACAAAGCAAGCTCACTCTCCGGCCCGAAGCCCTCGGGAGAGCAGCGCCGACATATGAGCCCGGCGTCATACCGTCATCACAAGCGGCGTAAACAAACGAAAGGGAGAATTTATCGTCGTCACTCGCCACGCAGCGCAGTACCCGCGCCGTGCAGAGCGTGGGAACACCGCCGGCGGCCTCCGCGGGGGTCCGCTCAGCTCGTTCCCCTGCTCGGCGCGCTCACCATGCGATGGCTTCGTCGTCCTCGACGCCGACGACGCGCTCGCGAACCCTCCTCTTCCTCTCCTACCGCGACTCCCAGGCCCGCTCGTCCCGCTTCCGCTCGCGCCGCCTCAGCGCCCAGTACGACGACCCCGACCTCGGCAATGATGAGCACCAGGGACTCATACGCCACGCCGACTCCGCCCACGTTGCCCTAGACGTGGACGCGCTGCCCCCCAAATGGTCCGTGGCCTCGCGCCGTCCCTGCGCAGCTAATGCGCCCACCGCGCCATCCTTCTATCCCACAACTGAACAATGGGACCAACAGGGTCGATATCGCGGAGCAGGTCGAAGACATCCTCGCTGGCACAAAGGCGAAGAGTACGTGCCGCACCGCCCTTCTTCCTTTGTTTCCGCTCCGCTTCGGCCCGGGAAGTGGGGCGTATCGGACGCCCATGCAGTTTACTCAACGTGCGAGCAACCCCCGCTGATCCGCGCATCCGCCAGTCTCCGTCCTCGACAAGCTACACGCCAAACACGTTCTCCCCGGCTTTTCGGACCGGTCCGCTGAAGAACGCGAAATCGAAGCGGCGACGACAGACATCACCAAGGTACCTCTAGGTTCCATTCAATCGAGCAACGCCGTTCCGAGACGTTTCCATTTTCCCCCATTTCTTCGTTCCGTCTCCGTAGATCTTGACGCGGGACGGGTGTATCTCGCGCATGTTTGATCGCAATGCGGCGCGTTGATGGGAATCGCTGACACGTGTCTCCTTCCTTTATCGCTTCCAGGACTTCCGACGGTGCCAAGCGCTCATTCAACGCATCGGCGCCGTCGCCGACACGGCTCAGCACTCGTTTCCACCCCAGTCTCAGTCGTCCCGGCACCAGCAGCTGGCCGCGAAGAATGTTCAACGAGGACTCGCTGCCAAAGTGCAGGAGCTCAGCGCGACGTTCCGGAAGAAGCAGCGGGTCTATCTCGAGAGTGCGTCCTCTATGTCCGGGCGTTGGCAGCCGTTCTGTGGAGCGTTCGTTTCTCTGACCGCCACTTGCGTTGCTTGCCGTTTCTTTGCAGAGCTGCAAGGTCACGCGATAAAAAACCAAGACTTGATGATCGCGTCCGGAGCGGTGTCGCTCAAGGGGTCCGAAGGCCTCTCTGCCGTCGACGATGACGTCGAGGCGGCTACATTCGTGCGTCAACCCTCGGCTTCTTTGTTTCTCCCGCTCACTCGCATGACCAATCGGGCGATCCTTGCCATCCAATACAGTCCCGGAGCCAATCACAGGCACAGGCGCAGATGCACCAGGGCGAGCAGGTGGACGTCCGGCAACGGAACAGGGAGCTGAACGAGATCGCCGACTCGATAGCCCAGCTCGCCGAGCTCTTCCGGGAGCTGAGCGCGCTCGTGATCGACCAGGGCACGCTGCTGGACAGCGTCGAATACAACATTGAGCAAACCGCCGTCCAAATGCAGGAAGCGGTCAAGGAGCTCGACGTCGCCACGAGGTTTGTGCCTTCCGCCCCATCTCATTTCATTCCGCTGACCGATTTCGGCTTTGTCATTTGCCTTCTGCCCTCTCTCTCTTTGTCTGGTTCCGCTATCCGTCGCCCATCTCGTCCCGATCTCGGACATGTGACACCACCAACTGCTCGTGTTCGGGCTCCGAACGGAACATATCGCCCTTTGACGCGCCTGCAGATACCAGAAGAACACCGGTCGCCGGAAGTGTATCTTCCTCCTCCTGCTCATCATCTTCGGCCTCATCGTCGTACTCATATTCAAGCCGCGCCGGCACGCCGCTCCGTCCTCTTCCCCTCCGAGCGCGCCGACAGGCCCTGCCGACTCGGTGCTCGCAGACCCGGCCGGCCAGGGCCACGCTCTCGCCTTGGCGGCGCGGGCGAGGCTACACCCATAGTGGGTGTGCCTTCCTCCTTCGGGTGGGCCAGGACCGGATGGACGTCCACGCGCGAAGAAGAGGCACCGTGACTGGCGGCGCGAAGCTAGCCTAACTGACGAGATTTGCCTGTTGGAGCGAGCAGACGGTAGATTTCGCTGCGCGTATCTGGCACACGCGCACACGAGGCTAAGAGGCTGAGCTTAGATGAGGGGCGATAGGGGGTGATGATGATGATGACGATCTACTGTGTTGTCGGACGCGCTTCTGGTCTACCTTACTGTATACGGCGTAACGAGCTAATTATCGGCATTCGATGTATTTCCCCGCTCGTTGAGTGCGGGGTTAACTGTCGATCAGGGCTGTTATCTGCGTGTGAGGCACCCGTCGCGTCTTGAGAAGATTGTGGTGGGTGTGTGCAGGGCCGCCTCCCCGTATCTTTGCTAGGATCCTCTCTATCTAACAGCGAAACGCTTCTTGCGTAGACACATGCGTGATCCAGCCACTGACATCGGACTTCAGCGCAGGTGTACGATAAACAACTCGTACAGGCTGAAGTGTAAAGTCTGTGTATTCATGAGTCGATCGACAGGTCTCGATTAACCCCTGTCACTCCCACATGGACACGTACCCGCCCAAGTCTCCAGTGCACACTGAGCAAGCGCATGCATTCGCGGATGCGCCAAGAGCGCAAGTCAAGATGAGGAATGGTAGATCCAACGGTTAGTCAACCTACCTGCAGTCTGCCCTCCGCTGCCGGTTTCGGCTGCATGGGACCTTGCTTATCCCCGGTGCCGGCGTTTAATCGCAACATCCCACACTTTGGAGGCCAAGTCTAAGCTATCTATACGCCGCACCTGAATCGATGGCCGACGGATGCTTGCGTACCTAGATCCGCCTGCAGCTTACGGGATCTCTGGCCATGCGAAGCCAAGGCGTCGAGGGCGAGTCTCGACGTCACCGGCGCCCTCGATACCTTCGAACTACAACAGGGCGCCGTACGCAGAACCTCGCCGAGGAGCTCCTGTACACTCGACGATCGTATGCACCCCAGTCTATGTTTACCGATTGTGACGACGACGGACTTTACGCGCCCCGATTCGACCCAGTTGAAACGCGGTGACGCCGCCCGGATGGCCCTCGTGTATGTACAGCCAGGTCATAACGGATTCACCCGCTGCATTTGGGGACGGCTGTCCGGTTGGCTCAAGACGCCGTCGTTTCGATACCTCGTGTCCCCTCGTGCACCAACGGCGCTTGTTTGAAGTTTCGTAGTCATCGCGGATCACCGTCGACGTTGTATTGGCTCTACGATGCGGGGGTATCGAACCTGGGCTCATTGCACGGACGGACTCACTGCAATGATTATCAACCGAACATTGATGGGTCCTATGTGCACTGTCTTGCCGGCTTGCCCCTGAAGCTGCGGGGGGACGTCGCGACAGTGTTTCTCGCCCAACCAGGCGCGTCGATGGACAAAGCTCCGGGAATCTTTTGTATCTTTCGCGCACCCAAACCGCAACGCCTTCCCGAATGGCACTCAAAAGACCCCCCATAGTATCATTTTTCTGGACATCGTTCTGGCCGTGAGCTACTCCCGCTAAGATCGGGATTCGCATTTATACCTGCGAGGCAGGTACCTGCATACGAAAGCAACTCCAAGGTTCGGGGTGTCACCGCTCGTTACATGGATGTTCTTACCAAAGGCTCCGCTTTCAGACTCTACAGGACCCTCGCGAGTGTGCACGGCCGTGTAATTAAAATGACAACGTTCCTCTCCGATGTCGGGATTTCCTCATCACGCCACATTACGTCCTGAACCGCCGGCAACACGCTGCGACAACGAGGTAGCGTACTCGAGCGAATGGCTTATTCATCTCGGCTCTCAAGAAGCACTTCGACAACTGGGAAAGCAGAAGACCTGCGAACATGTTGCGAGGCTGTTGCTGTCGTTTCCGTGCGTACCCGTCTCACCATACCCAGCGAAGAGACCTCCGTACACGTCCATCGAAGGTATCGGAAGTTCACTTCATCCCAGTCTAGACGGTGACGGTCATTCATGCAGGCGATATCACGCGCTCGACGACTGGAAGAGCCGAGGTCGCCACCAGGTGCAAGAGTGATTCAGGTAGGCAAGGAGCAAGCTATGGGCCGTGGCATGCATTGGCTTTCCCCCTTTGGATGGGATACACACGGGGGATGCCGCGGAGGGTTCTGCATCTCGACTGCTAACCGCGGCGCCTTGTGCAAGACGCAGTAACGCCGCGCGGGCGGTATGTGGATGCGCGGAGCTGGCTTTCCCGTGAAAGCCTAGTCCCTGCCTACCACTTGACTGCCAGACCAATGACCTCGTTCTCGACCGCATGATACTGCGTCCGGAAGAGATCTCGTCTTCGCGCCTCGGCCTCGTCGTCCATGCGAATCTCCCAGAGGCTTGCGCCCTCGATGATGGTCTTCGGTCGACACATATCCACAAGCACGCGATGGGCGAGACGGTCGGCCTCCGCGGTTGATGTTGGTTTCCGGGACACACCGTCCACGGCCGAGTGCGAGGTCCCATCGCCATCTGTCGGCGATTGAGGGGGAGTGGGTAATGCATGCCAATACGTCTCTTCGACCTTGCGCGTCCACTCCTTGTCGCCCCACTTGCCGGCGTACCCTTGCGTCCTCAGCTGCCCATCGTCGACTTTGGCGCCGTTGGCTTCCCAGTCTCGCTTGTAACCCTCTGCGTCAAACTGAGGCTGAGGTGCTGGAGGCCTCAGCTGACCGCCGCCGTTGACGCAACCTCCCGGGCATGCCATAACTTCCACATAGTCGTACGGGCGCTCCTTTTCTCCGTCCGCACCAGCTGCAGAGACCGCACCGCGTCTTCTGCCACGGACACCACCGGTTAATCGTCCCGCGGCGCCGCGGCCTACTTGTACTCCCGCATCACGACCGACTTTGCGAACAACGTTCTGGAGGTTACGGAAGCCGTAACATCTCGCGCCGCGGAACATCACTTCGCCCGTGCTCCTTCGCGTCACGGTGTATTCTTCAAAGTCGGTGTTGCGCATGATCTTGGACGACACCTCGTATTCGCCTCCGTCGTTCCCATCGGGTGGCGTAGGTCGACCGCCAGAAACTGCAACTTCGGATGCGTATGGGACGGAATCAGTGCCACCGATCTCACGTCGCCCCTCGAGCTGCACGTTGCCCGGAGAAGCAGCAGCGGGGGAACCGCGGGTTATCGCCGAGATCAGTGTGTGCAGATATGACCCAGAACTCGAGCCAGGATGAGATAGCAATTCTGGGATCTGGTCCTCTGTAGCGGCGGATCGCGAACCTTCAGCCTCGCCTTTAACGGGTGCAGACAGATCCCACCCCTTCTCTCGCATTAACAGTTCAAGCTCGCCGGTGGTAATAACGCAGTCGACATCTCGGGTCTTGAATACGTCGTTGTAGAAGTCTTGCCTTGAGGCTTCAAGCTTCTTGTCGTAGCACGGCATGACCGCGACGTGGTAGACCATGTCTGGCCTGATACGGGACGTGAATCAGGGTCACTCTCTCGAAAGAACACGAAGTCGTACGTTTTGTTCCATGACTTCGCAAGCCATTCCTTGACTAGGGTACCCATGACTTGCTGAGGGCTCTTCGTACGACTGATGAAAGGTAGCATTTCCGCATGCGTCTTCTCGGCATAGCAGACCCATCCAGGGCAAGCGCTAGCGAGCATCGGCAGTTGCCCTTCCCCAGTCGATCTTTTGCGCTCAGAGAATTCGTGGGCATGCTCGAGGAGAGCGACATGCCTTGCGAAGGTAGTGTCATATATGTGCTCGAACCCCAAGGTCCCGCAAAAAGCCTGTACGCGGCGCAAAACAGCCTGCAAAGACACGTGTGGCGATGAGGAAGAGGAAGATATGGACGCTGCGAGTGAAGCAAGGCTCTGCGGAGCAATTGACAGTACAGGTGTTTTATGCGAGGATGAAGTCGGCGGAGGATTGTTCTCCAGGAACGACATGACCTCGGTGTGTGACTGAAGAGTGATGAGGACAGATTCGGCTGAGGTGATACAGCCGCTGCAGTAGAATATGAGATCTTGCATCCCATGAAGGGCAAGCCGGCGCACCTGCAGGCCAAGCAGTCGTTTAGCGTTATTTCCGCTCGCTCTAACTTGCGCACAGGCTGCTTTTTAGAGCCAACTTCGTAATAAGATCCTGATGAGTCTATGTGTATTTGCGTCTGGGACGATCTGTGAGTGGACCACAATCAGAACAGGTGAAGGTACGCACCGATGCGGCACCTGGTTCAGCGGCATCGGGGACCGGCGTGCTTTGTTCTACGGGTTTGATGCATGCTTGCGATGGAGTGATAAAGTCGTTGAGATCTGTGAGTGTCTGCATGCTGAACATCAGGGCCGAAAACGTTGAAATGGATCAATCAATGAAGCTGACCAACGCCCCAGAAAATGCCATGGCTCGTTTCGAGTTTCGATAAAGAACCTGACTGATTGAGAGGCTTTGCGTCCTTATTATGTGTATGGGATGGACTCTCTACTTTCGTGCAGCTTAGGTTCAAGGATTTGCAGAGCAGAGTTGTACAGTAAGCCGACTGGAGTTTGTAAATGCTAATGCAATCGTTGCGAGTGGCGCCTGGCTACAAGTCTCGTGTTACAATGAACGCCAGGACCGGCCCAACCGGCACTTGTCGAGAACCGGTGCCTTACCCCGCAACAGAGCAATCATATTAAGCAGGCCGGTGTGCTTAGCCGAGCGTAGCGTTGTTGCTCAACGCGCCTTCCCTTGCCTCTCACCTTGACTGCTGACCATCATGCGAGCGTTCATCATCGATCACTACGAACATCCGTCGAAGCTGCAAATTAACGCGAACGCTCCGGAACCGAAGCCAGGCCCCTCAGAGGTTGTTGTAGATGTTTACAGCGCTGGCTTGAACTTCTTCGACGTGAGTGTTGCATACAAGCAGCTATGTTTGACTGAATACGCTTTCGTAGATTCTCCAAGCCCAGGGCAAATACCAGCACCAGCCGCCTTTCCCATTTGTTCTTGGTCACGAATTTGCCGGACGTATAGCCAAGGACTCACCCATACCAAAGGGATGCCCCTTCAGGCCAGGGGACCGAGTTTTCGGTGCTGCACAAGGATGCTACGCGGAAAAGGTTACAGTACCCGTACCGAACCTCGTGCCCTTACCGGATAACATGTCATACGACCAAGGAGCAGGGCTCTTCGTAACGTGGCCTACGAGTTATGAAGCGCTGGTTGGCAGGGCGGAGCTCAAACCAGGCATGTGGAAGCATTTACGGGTCCTCAACCGGTCTGAATTGATCTATATTTTCCTTCGCGAAGGTGAATGGGTACTGGTTACAGCGTCTGCCGGAGGCGTCGGCATAGCTGCGTGTCAGCTAGCGAAAGGTTTTTCGACGACTCTGGACATGTTGTCTCAGGTTATTGACGCTCGCCAGCACTCGGTGCTAAGGTTATTGCTGCAGCTGGCTCTCCTGCAAAACTCGAGGTCTCGCGGAGGCATGGTGGCGCAGACTATACGGTCGATTATACAAAGAAGGATTGGCAGAAAGAAGTTCTGAAAATTACTGGCGGTAAAGGGGTGAGTTCGACTTATGCTCTGAAGAGGCATATTGCCGGAACCCACCTCGTGTCTGTGAAAGGTTGATGTTATTTATGACCCCGTTGGGATGATCAAAGGTATCTTGCCCACTAATTGCAAATACGTCGGATGTGACCATCTATCCTAGATTGCTTGAAATGCATTGCCTGGAAGGGTCGAGCACTAGTCATCGGTTTTGCTGCAGGCAAGATAGAGCAGGTAAGACTCCGAGCTTATCCATCGAAAGTACAAACTGGTGCCTATATGCTTTCCCTAGCTCCCTCTCAACCTCGTATTGCTGAAGAACATCTCTATCGTTGGTCTTCACTGGGGTGCATACAGCAGTACGTGGGCAGCCTTGCGGGAAAATATTACCATTCACCATCGCCTCATCACAGGGAACGAGACGTCACGGCCACCGGTTGTGTGGAAAGAACTTCTCGAGTGCGTAGCAACACCTCCCACCTATACCTACATCTAAGTGCATCCTTCCTAACGTCACGTTTCCCAAGCCTGTTCCAATCTGGCAAATGCTCGCCAGTCGTCTATGACAAGGTGTATCCGCTTGAGGACCTCGTGAGTGGTCTGAATGACCTTGAACAACGGAGGACATGGGGGAAGGCTATCGCGCGAGTTAGGCCTGATGATCGAAATGTCAATAAGGCCAAGTTGTAATGTAGGACCATCCAGGAAACGTATTTCCAGCTTTCTTCATGTGATTTACACCTCTGTATCAATTTGCGTATGCAATCCCCCCGCATTATACTTTGCCCCTAGCATTCTCAACCCCCTTCCCCTAAGAGCGTGATCATGCAGCGTTTAAGGGACTCGTTGAAATGTGAAATGCCTATGAACATAGCTACGGAGTGCATATATACAATCGCCTACGAAAAAGAGGTGCGCAGTGCATACACCTAAAACAGCCTAAGAAAACAGGTCCCCGATATAGGCCCATAAGGCCTAGCTGGGCAAGATGATCTGCTGGAACTTAGCGACTTAGTCTCGCTCTGGTAACGTAGCTCGAAGACGACGGAAGCGAACACTCGCGGGCTGACGCTGGGGGACCCCGGGGCAGCTGGTAGCTTGAACACAGGGCGGCAGCCTGAGGGAACGATACCAAACGCCTCGCTACCTGTACGGTATATATATGTACGCGTTCCCTGTCCCGCTAGATATCCCATCCTGGCCGTGTTAGCAACTAGCACAGTGGACGCAGATATAATTGGACGCATCCGCGCGCGGCGGACAGTTTCAAGCATCGACAAGGCCCCTATTTTATCGTCGCAGTCCCGTGACGACTTCGCTCATTGTACGTGCAACTTGGCTTACAGGACTTCCCTTTGCTCTTACTCTGTGATTTGTCTCGCCAGCGACGACTCTGGGCTCGCATACGCATCTTCTGTCGGCAATGCAAGGCACAAGCAGTTTAGAGCCAACCGTCCGAATCCGCGACCTGAAGAAGGACCGCGTAAACTTCGTGCTTGAGAATGTGGACCTCGCGTGCGCGTCCTAGACTGCTGCTGCATTCAGAGCGATCCGGCTTATGGGACTGTGCGATTCAGCTTTGCGAACTCGCTTCGGCGAGTCATGATGGCCGATATACCGACCGTTGGTGCGTGTCGTACCCAGTTTCTCTCCGTTGCCAGCGTCTGAACCCGACTTTACGCCGCAGCTATCGACTTAGTGGAGATCGAGACCAACACGACGGTCCTTTCCGACGAATTCTTGGCCCATCGGCTGGGGATGGTGCCATTGGTTAGCACGAACTGTGACGAGGCTATCCGGTACTCGCGAGTACGTGCTCACACCATCCCAATACAACTCGCTCTTCATGTCGACTCCGACGAAGTGTTGACTGATGGCTGACTCAGGATTGTTCCTGCATGTCTTCATGCTCGTATTGTTCGATAGTGCTGCAACTGCACGTGTCGTGTACCGAAGACGATACAACCCTGAACGTAACCAGCGATCACTTGGACGTCGTCCCGGCATCAGACGACGACCAAGGTGATCCAGGCGAGGAGCTGACAAAACGGGTGGAGAACTTTGGTAGTCCGGTCGGCAAAGGTTCGGTTCCCTCAGTCATAAAGCTCTATTCTTTTCCTGACCCTTTCAACCAGGTGTTGAGGGCGTCGACCCTGTGCTGCTCTGCAAATTGCGAAAAGGTCAAGAACTCAAAGTCAGGTGTATCGCGAAGAAGGTATACAAGCCCTTGAGCACTATCAATATGCTCGGCGCCGCTGATCTGATGACCTTCAGGGCATTTCGAAAGAGCACGCAAAATTCTCGCCCTGCGCCGCCGTTTCCTTTGAGTACGACCCGTGGAACAAGCTGCGCCATACATCCTACTGGTATGAGAAAGACCCTCGCGCGGAATGGCCAGTAAGCGAGATCAACTCCAAGGAAGAAGAGCCTCCGAGAGACGACGAGCCCTTTGATTACAACGCAAAGCCGAACAAATTCTACTTCGAAGTCGAGACCGATGGCAGTCTGGGCCCGCAAGAAGTGGTCATGAAGGTGTGTCCCTCGGCATGGTTAGCGCCACTGTATTCACTTTGCGTAGGGACTTGCAGAACTACAAACAAAACTCGCCAACCTCATTCTCGGGCTAAAATCGCCCAATGATCTTGATTTGATACCGGGCGCGGCCGACCCGGTGATCCCTAATGGGCACTCGAGCGGCCCAGGGGGTGCCGGCGGATGGAATACAGCAGCCGCAGGCGGGGCCGGGGGCAACTGGGGCGCAGGCGCGAACAGTGGATCGTGGGGTGGGAGCCCTGCCAACCAAGGAGGCGCGGGCGCCAACGCCTGGTCATCCTCCAGCCCGGGTGCCAATCCGGGATCTGGGAACTGGGGCGCTAGTGCTAGCCCAGCGAACCAGGCGGGTGGCAGCGGTTGGGGAGCGAGTCCGTCGGCCGGTGCCGCGTGGGGTGCGGCAGGTGGGAACAGCCCTGCAGCTGGTGGCTGGAATGCATCCGGTGCGGGATCATGGAGCTCAAGCGGTAGTCCTCGGCAAGGGAGCTGGAATGTATAAAAGTCTGTTGTGTGTTCTTGAGGTAGCCTCAAGGCATGTCTGGTGTACGCCCGCACTGCGGGTAGTTAATGCTATTATGCAGTGCGAGTCGATAGTTCGCGGATACGAGAAGCAATAGCAGTCGTATAACTGATAGCAACAAATGGGTCCGATGCTGTCTATGTCACCTCAGAACCTCCCTCAAACCTGTTGTTGAGGCAATCCATCGAATCTTCCTTGTCTGGGCGTCCGCATCTCGATATATTCTTGAGCAGCACTGTTGGCTGGCGATGGCATGGCGATCGGTGCCGGCATGGGTGGCACTTGCGATGGTCCGGAAGATCCCTGGCGGGATGCTACGGAGGGTGTTGGCGTCCTGCGAGGATCGGGCATGGACAGTTCGCTGGCGTCGCCGAAAATGTCTCCCGAATCGTCATCTGAATAAGAGTTCGAGCTTAGGGAAAACCGATACAGTGATGAATCAACGAACTCAGGTAATTGCTGTCACTCAAATGCCAGCCTCCTGTGGGCATTCGCTCCTTGGCGGGATGTTTCTCACCCGCTTTTCGGTCTTCATCCTGCACCGTTTCCCAAGGTACCTTTGTGTACCTCGAGACAGTAGGCTTGACGTCGGGACTGCCACCGGGTCCGTAGATCGGTATTTCTGCGAGCTTAGTCTTGAGCATGCACACCCATTTGTTCCTGCGCTTCGCTGAAGAGAAAAATGTCATCAAGATATGTGTCCATATGCCAAGAATGATTTTCACCTCGGAGAGCGCCTTGTTGCCAGTTGCTCTTGTACTTGATTTCAACTTTCAGCGACATCTTTTCTTGATCAGGTATATCTACACGAGTCCCCCGTCAGTATTTAAGGAACGAAGAACAATAAGGGGGTCCTTACCGACGACTTGCACGTCGAAAGCAGGATGGAAATCTCGGCGTTCTCCTTGTAGGAATAGTATCATTCTCGCGCGCAAATCCTCAATCTGCTCGAAAGTGGTGTCGTATGAGACATCAAACGTAAATGTCTCCGACATCTGGGGACTTCTTCGAACATTAGTGATGAACTGATGGTATAATCAATGACGGTTGTTATAGGTACTTATCAACGACACCCACTTTGCCATTGAGCACTACGTTCGGTGCCTGTACCAAAGCACCATTGCCATTGACGAGGATGGAACTCAATAACCTTATCTCCTTGACGGTATACGTGTCCTCATCCTCTTCAAGGTTGATGACATCGCCTACGTCGAAGGGATGTTTGATGAAGAGGAATATGATACTGGAGAGTACTTCTGATAAAGCATCGCCGACGAGCCAACTCAACGCTATAAGACAAGGATCAGTCACAGCACATATCCTGATTTTCGTATAACGTACCAACAATAAGCGTTCCAGCGCCGGTGACGAGAGATATGAGGCTTGTATCCTGCAATGTCATCAGCACAAGCTAGAAGAAGATGTCAGGCACACTCACCAAAACGATTGCGATGAGCATTATGGCAACAATCACATAAAGGGACATGAGGATGTTATCAAGGCGTCCCACAGCGCTGTCCAGATCCCTCATTGAATGTTCGATAGAAAGTTGTTCACGGTGGATCTCTCTGTCAACAATCGTTAGTGACCAGGTCGCCACGTTTACCAGCATCAGCAAACGCACAGGCACGCCAGCTCCATCTCCTCCCTTGTGACGTCTCCATTGTTATCCTTATCAAAGATGGAGAACGCGGCGTCGGCCTGGTCTCGAGCGGGGAAGAATCGCTGGATGTCATCCACGAGGAGATAATCGTGACCCTCCTTCTGGAAGGAATAGAATAACCTTCGAGCGAGCTTGCAACGATGATCGTCACGACCGCAACGAAGAAGGCCATGCGACCACACTCACCAATCTGGTCTTATTGGCCGATTGAAGTGCAGTCTGCACCATGGCCTGGGGCGAGTTGGGCTGTAAAACCGAACTACGACGTCGAAGGTTAATAGCAGTATTCAGTACAATCTTTGAACACGGACCTTCCAGTCATTTCCGATGCTACATTACCGAGTGCGGTGGTCGTGGTCGTAGCCGCGAACTTAACTCCCTTGAGCGCGCGCTTGAAAAACTTCCTCGGATCAACACTCATGCGTTTGTCCTTCGTCATGACAGCTTTGCTGCTGAGCGTATCGGTGCGCCCGGGAATATCTCTGGAGTTGCGGTAGAGCAGAGTCAACACCTTGACGGCAAATTTCTGATCAGCGATGCGATCTGCAATACCCATCAATATATCGTAAGGATCTTTATTGCGACGGTGAAACAACTCTACCAGCATAGGACCGCTCATGGAATTTCCCTGCAATCCATTGTATCGCGAATTTCTCGGCAGCGAGAATCGCCGCATCGATCCATAACGCGAACAGTAGCTTCGCGACGATGTCCACCGCTTGCACCCCGCCTTTTGTAGCGTTGTGCTGGCGAGCATTGATAAGAGGGTTGAAGGAAATCCAAGAGACGAGAGTCCATATGAAGAGCGCCACGTAGCGGCTGAGAACACTGATCCAGTCGATATACTTTCGTGCACCGACTAGGACGACGCCAACCGTATTGCGTGCTAGGGCAGGGAGAGATCGTCTACCTAGCTGTTCAGACGATGCCAGAGGCTGCGAACAAGTATATGACTCACGCAGTCGCAAGTGATGCCCACCATCCTGGGACGTCATGTTCAGCTTCGCTGCACGTTCGAGAATGGGCAAGTATTGGGCAGTTACTCACCTCCCCAGAACACGCTTAACCAGATGCTCCACCACATCAACTTCACTCCCCAGATAGCTGCATGTGGAAATGCGGTGAGGCCAAGTATACCTGGGATCCACAGGAGCACGAGCACTGGGACGATAAAGAGTGTCCATCGTGTGACGATGGATGCAGCGAGTAAATAGTGATAGAATCTTGCAAACTTCGGCACGATCAGAGAAATACAATAAATCGAGCTGAAGACAGAGACACACCCTGTTCTGTGGTATATCGCCCTCTGCGAACGCCAAGTATGCCTCGCTAGCATTTCTCGATTCAAAGTGTTCATATCCCGCTTCAAAGTCCCGAAACCCCGCTAACAGGTCCCAGCTTGAATTACGACTGTTATGTCCCATTTTGTCAGACACGCTCGGCTGGGGCATCGACGGCCCAGGACCTGCTGCGCGCCCCTGCGACTCGTGCTCATGATACCCTAGAGTAGGCGAGTCTCCTGCTATCTGAACCCTGCGGGGTGGATACGTTGTACCCGACGCCGTATTCAGCGGGGAGTTGGAGTCCATAGACACTGAGCTGGGGCCGGCATGCATAGTTTGGTATTCGTGGTGCGAACTCTCTGTGCTGACCGGACTGCTTTCTCCTGGGTGGCGGAGGCCCACCGGGTCGTATCCTGGTGCACCAGGCTGAGCAGCCATGTATCTGTAACCCTTTCAGACACGGTGTCTCATGCACCATGCACCATCCCTGCAGCGTACCTCCTCTAGCAGGTTGTGCACTGTAGTCTCCAGACACGATGAGACTGAGCGAGGGTTGAATAGTTGCCAGCAACTTCCGGGGCGATGTAAGATATTCCAAACTGATAGATGGCCGCCGCAGCCGTAAAGTTGAACGGACAAGAATAAGTTGTGCTGTGTCGAGGCCCGTAGCTCCCTCCCCTTGTCCACCAAATGTAATATTCAGGGAAGGTGCCAAGAATAGTGATCGTCTCAATGAGATCTCGTGACCGACAGCTATGGCGACCGGAGACCACCGGCCGACCAGTCACCGACGCAGTGCACTGAACATCATCCGATGCAAAGGCAGTTGTTGTGGTATATGCTACATTGGAACATGCTATGACTCTACATATTGCGGTTGCTCTTCGATTTCTTCCCGATACACACTTTCGACATCGTTCAAGCAAATCCAAAGCCTTCACCTCCCTCGTTGATCGCCAGCAACAGCTGCTGCCTCAGCATTTCATACGACGAGAACTCTGGTAGGTCAATCTGGTTGAAGCCTAGAAGCGCAGAGAAACGGTTCAGTCCGCGGTCCCAAAAAGAGAACCCAACGTGAACTCACAAGTATGCGCCTGCGGCAAGCGGTCTTGCTCTCCGTATGCCTTGTGAATCGAGAACTTCTGTACGCCCTGTACGCCCTGAAGGTCGCCGAAGCCACCCAACGGTACGCGTGCAGTACCCGTGGCGAAGCTGAGAACTTTTGCTCTCTCTTCTCGGTTGAATGACTTGAGCGCTCGCCACCACCACACAATGGTGGGGTCCGAGCTGGTGTAGCCGTGGTACTCAGTTGCCGCACGCCACTCGTCGACGTCGATGTCCGGTGTCCCGGAAATAAGAAGCTCCACCTCTTGCTCGTTGAACTAGCAATAGAAATGGGCTAGTGTCTCGGGTAGCTCAAATGAAAAGAACCTACGATGGAAATCAGGTCCTTGGGAATGATGTCGTAGAACCCAGCCAAGATGGCGTCAATCTGGTCCTTGATAGACGTGTATAGGCGGTATTGCGCAGACAACTGAACAAACTCCTTTTTGTTTTCGTTCGTGACGTGAATCTGAGTACCGTTCTCCTTGAGGGGTACGATCTTGGTGACACCGAACTGCATCGTAGCTTGAGCATCACCTCGTTCGAATCATGATTGAACCGGTCACATACCTCGTCGGCTTCTACATCGAACGTCAGGTCAAGGCCAGTAGGATCATTCTCCAAGATCCAGCACAGCGAATTGTAGTACTCGGGATCAACCCACTCAACATCTCTGTAGTCCACCGGCTTTCCAAGCAGTTGCCTGTAGAAGCTCCTAGCGAAGTACGCGTCCAACAGCCGCCCGTCATAGATTGCCTTGCCAATGATGCGGCCCACAAACTTGAAGAACGACAAATGCTCGGGATTCACCCAAGACGCACGGTTCGGCTGGTACGTTAATTTGTCCGCCACACACGGTTGGAACAGGGCGTAGTCGGGGTTGAACATCTGCCTTGCGAGGATTTGGAACCATTCCCGGGTCAATCCACCCGCGTCGACGCCTTCTTCGTCGTAGAAGCGGATGCTTAGCTTGCCGTACTTGATCTGGTCGCCGGTCTTCCGCTGCAGATACTGGAAGCTGTCCTCGAACACTCTTGCGCGGCGAACATTCAGTTGTAGAGTGCTGTGCTGCTCGCGTGAATGAGGGCGGCGATGGAGCTGTTGCGTGAAGTAGTTGCGCTTATTGTCGAAATCAAGCACACGGGGATTGTGCACGAGCAAGGAGAAAGAGCCACTCATGAGCGATGGATTGTTTCGCACCATGAGGTTGAGGACCTTGCGATGAGTATCGGTAAACGTGACGAAAAGATCCTCCATAGATTCCCGAGGTGTCGTAGGGGTCTTAGGCGACGACACGGTGCGCAAAGCGCGACTGATGGACGATTTGGTGTCCAGAACGACGTACTTGCAGACCACCATCAGGGCCTCAATCAGCGGCAACAGAACCGTAGCAACTTGCTCGACCTCGGGTCGCTGTTCAATGATGGCTAGGCAGTCACCCAAACGCTTCCAAAGAGGCGTAAATCGGAAGGACTCGTAGATGCTCTGGACCTTCTCGCGGTCACCTTGGGCCTGTTCGGTGCCACTCGATGACTTCGGCGAGTACATGTAGTCGATTGTCTTCAGTACTCGTAGAAGCTTCGCCTGATCTGAGGATGGCGAAGAGAATTTGGAGGGGATAGATCCACTCAGAACGTCGCCTTGTGCCTCCGGTAATGCCTTCGCTAAGACATCGAGATCAGCCTGAATATTTTGCCCGAGTTCCTGAGCCCGTGAGCGCAGTTCTTGGGCTATAACTTCACGTGCATCGGCCATGTATGATAAGTGTTGGATCAAAGCGAGGCATTGTTGGAATGTCCGAGCCGAACACTCCCCCATGGTGAGAATGTTAACGATAAGCTGGAGTGCATGCTGGGGTATCTGCGGTGGATCGGTGAGCAGAGGCCTCGCTTCGTCATCTTGCTTCGCCTTTGTCTCATCATTCTCGGGTCCTGTTTGCGCTGGCTGAGTGGATGTACCAGCGCCTTCTGTTTGCGCATACAAATGAGTACGTGATGGTGAGACTATGACGGATGTACTTGCCTTCGGTAGCAACGGGGGTAGGGTTGGTCGGAGGATCTGACTCAGTAGTGACGGGCTCCGAGGCGGATGTCGTCGCGGCTGCCGCTGCGTCCACGGAACCTGCAGGTGATTCCTTGGTCTCCTTGAGTGTAGCCAGCGGTCGTGTCACAGTGGCGAGAAGGCCGACCACCGACTCCAGGATAGATGGTGTCCGCATCAAGGTTGGGCGATCGAGTAAGCCAAGTAACAGAACGACAGGGTAATGGGTTGATGATGCTTGCTTCTCTTTGCCCTTGCCCTTCTTCGACGCGGATCTGCGAAGACCAGCCGGGATCTCGTGCTCCGACAGGAAGAACAGGGACGAAGTTTCGTTATTGTTCACGATATATGTCAGCGCATCAAGACATCGTTGGGCAATCAACTCTGGCACGGCTTCACTTCGCGGAAGGGCTAAAGGACCGAAATAATCGGTTGCAGCCTTCTGTTTTCCGGCGGCCTTTGGTGTCTGTCCAGGTGTTCTTGCGGGCCGCACGGACATCTGTGAGAAGCTCTTGTCGATAGCCGCTAAGTCACCAGTGCCATCCTGAAGTATGTTGATAAGGATATTCAGCAATTCCGCGCGAGTCTTCCCGTTCTCGCACACGTTGACCAGAACCTTGAACAACAGATTCTTCCTTAAGACTTCCGGGAAGAACAAGAGTCGGACGAGAACGGTGATCTGTCCCTTGTCAAGAAGTTGTATCGACTCCCGCGCTGCATTAGGTTTCTTCGGTTGCGCAGGGGGAGCGCGAGCCGCCGAGGAGTGTTGTTCGTGTTCCCGTTCCCTGTGAGCGTTGAGCGCGTCGCGGTACACGGACGCTTCTGCGATCATGTGCGACGGCAACGTTTGAATGAATCCGTCATCCTGATCCATAAGCACTACTTGACGAAGCTGAGGATCCAAACTGGCAATGAAGCTGGCAGGATCAATGTCCGCTGGTATGCCTGTGGGTGGGGCACCCGGGGCCGTAGCACGACGTCGGTTCTGTTCCAGAGTTTCCTGTTGGATAATTTCAGCACGTAACTCCGGCGGCAACGCGTCCAAAAATTCGGCATCCAACTGTGAGTCCGCGGGGCGTTCAACCCGGGCAGCTCTCTGATCACGAACATGCTGATTCAGCACTTCTTCGCGCATATCGTCAGGTAAAGCCTCCAGGAAAGTGGGATCGATACCGAGGTCGGTGATATCCACCGGGCTGCCATGGATCATGACAGTTATTCGTTCGGTAGCATTCGATGGTCCAGCTCCCGAGATTTCAGCCTCTGCAGTATCGTCGGTGCGCTCGCTCGACTCCGGCAAGTCCGAAACATCTCGCATCTCAGCATCCTGATCCTCGACGCCTGCTTCCGCCGATGCAGTGGCCGGGTCGGCTTCAACAGTGTGTTGATCTTCGACGGGAGCTTGCGTTGCTGCCTCTGCCTCTGCCTCTGCCTCTGCCTTTGCGGCTTCAGCTGCCTTCCTCTGCTGCCCCTCCTTCTCTTCCGCGATAGCATCGGCCTGAGCCTTCGCTTCAGCTTCCCGACGTTTGGTCTCTTCTTCCTCGAGGTTTCTCGCCGCCTTGATTTCCTCTATGGCTGCTGGTAGCAAGGCGAGAACGACGTGATCAGCGAGTTTAGCCAGACGTTCCGATTCCGATGTACGATAAAGCATCTTGGTCTCTTCCGCCCAGCGTTGGCCAGTATGCAAAGGATCAAATCCGCGATTTTCCGGGCGGTTGTCGCGCGAACGCGGGTTTCTGCCGATGTGTAGGTGGGTGTGGACATTGGGACGGCCGTTCTGGGTAGAAACTCCTAAGAACTGCATACTCAAGACATCCGTCAAGCCTTCCGGCGCCGTAGCCATGATTTGTCGAAAAGCGTGTAAACCATGGCCACCTAGTAGGGTCTCAATAGTTTGGAAGAGAGACGGATGATGTTCATTGCCCAGGCTGCTTCCTCGCTGCGATCGGCGGGAACCGCGTGGAAGGCCGCTATTAGCATGACCATTCCCGTGAGATTCGTCCAGCAACAAAGGATGTGTGGTTGCTTCAGGTGGTGGTACGGGCACGTTTCGGCTGCGACCGAACACGTCGGCGGTGATATCTGTCGCGCCTTAGAAATCAGAAGAATAAACTCACACATCATGCAACTGCAACTCACCGGCTGTGCGTCCGTTCGGATCTCTAGAAAAGAAGGTCAAACCAGGCGCGAACGCGGCGTGACCTGCACCCATCAGGTTTGTCCCCACAACACTGAAACCAAGTCCTTCAGGATCGGCACCCTCGTCCGGTGCATGAAGGACGTCAAGTTCATCGACAAAGCTATACGATGATCTTAACTACATCCATCGAGAGCAAAAAATGCTAACTCACTCGTCTGCCTCAGAATCGCCTGCGACTTCTTCGAGATCGTGTAGGGGTGGCATATCACCTATCAGCGTTTCAGCTTCGTGTATCCGGTAAGATGATCCATGGCTGACCAATCATCTCTTCTTCGTCTGCGTCGTCGATAGCATCGTTGCCATCATCCTGGTAGATGTAAGTCGAGGTGCGGTGAAGCGACAAGAAGTCCCTTACCTGCCATGTAATTTCGTCGTCCGCTGCCTCATCCTCGTCTTCATCGTCATCGTCATCACCGCCCATACCGTCATCCTCTTCGTTATGCACAAGGTCGTCTTCTTCCTCGTCCTCGTTCTCACCCCATGCGCTTTCGGAGTCTTCAGCGTCCAAGTCATCTTCTTCGTCCGTCTGTGACGAATTATCACTGCCGGTCTCCTCTCCGAAATCCATCTCCACGTCGTCCTCATCCCCGTCGTCTTCCTCGTAGGCTTCTTCATCTTGAGCTAGGTTGACGTCTTCCATCTCCTGTATAAACACTAGGTAAGCAACGTTGTGGGTGATGCCTGTAGGCACTCACGCCGCCAAACCTGTGGTTATCACATTCAGCACACTGAGGAAGATGATGTATGTGATTGCCTACATTCCGAGTGACGAGTTTCTATACAAGTCGGGCGTCTCTTCCCTGCCTTCGTCCGCGTCCATTGCTTCGTCTTCGTCCTCTTCGTCTTCGCCATCCTCGTCGTCGTCCGACATTGAACTTTCGCTGTGTGCCTGGTCTTCCGATATCTCCTTCTTATCCGATGAACGACTCATCTTGATCGCTATCTTTGTCCTGACAATTTGATTGAATGACAGCACTTTTGAGGCATAGGTGGCACTTACAGGTGCTGCTCGGGTTTCAAGAGCGCCGTTACGAGCCCGCGGACGTTGGGATAGTTCAGGTCAATTTCACCCAGAGCGTTGGTCAAATGGGACACAAAATTCTTCTCCAGCATCACTTTCGCTATGTGCGTCGGCGAGTCCTCCGGCACTTTCCGCGTTGATGTATTGAACCGTACGGTCAGGAGCCGATGAGATAGCTCAGCGAGCGCGAGCAGGCGCCCATATCGAGCATCAATGGTGTCGGAGGGGATGACTTCTTTAATGGCGCGGCTGATGGCGTCCACGACGAACTTGCGTACCGAAACGAGATCGTCGGATACATCTTTGAGATCGTTCGATGAAGAACCGTTGACACACAGTGCAACCAGGACAGACATAGCCCAGTTGCACAGCGTGACTCGTTTTCGAGCATCAGCGTCTGTGGGAGGATGAATGCTCCCGAACGAGATCAAGTCGTATAAGAAGAAATTGAGCGCCGCTGTGCGATGTTTGTTGGGATGCTCCTTGGAGGAAGGATGTGAGCGTTTTCTCGGGGAGTACGACAGGAACGCGAGTTTGCACGCATCGTATGAGAAAAGAAGTTCGGTCAAGCACTGCATGAGGAAGCAAGGATATGAGACGTCATGATCAGCTTTTGACGTTGAGGCGTCAGCAGCTGGAGCTGGAGAGGAAGTGACACCGGGCGTGCTCTCTGAGGTTGGTGCCGATTCCCCAGGACCGACCGCGTTGAATGTTTCTGCGGGCTTCACCGTTTGCATTAACTCTGAGATCAAGCAATACACCACCTCATCCAACGCCCCGGATGCTGCGGCCGCAGAGGGACTGGGCGAATCAACCGGCATTTCCGCTTGATCCTTGGGTGCCGATGTAGATGCGGACATCTCGGTCTTCTTCAGACTGATATGCTGACCTACACCGAAAGGGCGATGAAGCTGGCAAACAGCTTCGGTCGCTTGGATGAACGCCGCAGGGTCACGAAGAGCAGCTGCGCTGCAGGTTCGAACATAGTGACTGGGATCAGGGAAGTTGGCCTTCGAATGCGCTAGTAAGCGTTTGATCTCTCTCTGCATGGTGTGTTGCAGAACACGAGGCTCCTCCACGATGTGCCGAACGATGAGAGATATGTAGGATTTCGCTCCATCTGCGGACGAAGTCTTGTGATGGCTGAAGAGTAGAGGAAGCCCACCGCGAGCGATGAATTCACTTGCTGTAGAGTGATCCCGAGTAAGGAAGACTAGGAGACGTAATGAAGACAAGTATTCGTCCCGGGGTAGTTGTGGAACGGCCAGCAGACGCAAGCACAAGTCGAACATAAAACTTCGCGCTTCGGGATGAGTAGGTCCAGTCATGAGCTCCTCTTTTTGTATTTCGTCGTTCTCGGACTGCGGCAGGGTAATGCTTCGAATATCCTCTCCTGCAGTGAGCAGCGACTCCGCCACCAGCATATGCGTTGCCAACCATTTCGGCAAAACGGGATGTTCAGAGTCGAGGGCGATAGGATTGGAAAGTAGAAGCGCTAGAAGAACGTCCATCAAATGCTTGTCATCGTTCCCGAGGAGCTCCAGTGGACGAGAGCTGTTGTTCATGACAAGAGCAAGCAGGCGGAAGCGGAGGGCCATGGGTTGCTCGTGAACATCGTATGCCGTAGTTTGAAACTCCTTGATGTCGCTGACCAGCTGGCGTATTGATTGCGTCTGATAATCACCAGATGCGCCGAGAAAAGCGTTTTGAACGTCGAAAATGAGAGATGGCTGCTCGTCCACCAGTCGCAGCGCAAGTTTTCCCATGTTGTTCCGCAAAGGTTCCCTCGCCTTGGCGAGTTCCTGTCGCCACTCTTCCGCGCTTTTCCCTGATGCAGGTTCAGGCGCGTTCACTGCAAGGGGATCCGAAGAGGGTACGTGTTGCTCTGTTGTTGATGCTTCGCCAGCGCCGTTCGTGGATACGTTGTCACCACCCTCGTGTTCGTCAGCATTCGCCATCTCAGCGTCTTCCGCATGTGCCGCCTGTGCAGGCTCTGGATCCGGGTGAAGAGCAAACGGTTGCGCCAGTAGGAGCTCTGCAGCAGCAGCTACGTTATTGTGCATGCGTATTAGAGCACGTTCCGCTGCAGATCTTGGGAAGCCCATATCCGTCAATTGGCGAATGCGAGTCTCATCGGGACCGGGGAGTGCTGTTGGAGGTAGCACAGGGGCGGCGTCTCCGGTTGCAGCATCCTCACCTTCCCCCTTTGCAAGCTCTAGAACGACCGATGCGATGGAGCGACTGACTCCAACCGGTACTTGAGGAAGCCATGAAGACTCCCACATCGTGCGCACCACCGGCAGTATCGCGGTTCGCAATTTCACTAGGAAATTCCGGGCCTCAAAATATGCAGAATCTGTCTCGGGCTTGTCTGTGGTCGCAACCAGCTGCGTCTGCGTTGCCTCTAGCAAGGACTTAGCGGTAACCAGAGGCTCCAAAAGTCGCAGGGCAACCTTCAACCCGCCATAAGAATGAACAAGCTCCTGTTTGTCGGACTCGCTCCGATTGTCGGCATTTATGCCCACTAGGCGTTCCAGCGAGCTGATAAACCTGCGGCAAATGTCGAGAACAGCATCTAAGCCACCGGCCCGGTAGAACGCGAAGACAAGAACGGTGTTCAGATAACTTTGATTTGGGCGTTCTAGATGGCGCTGTCAGACGATTCGCAGCTATATCGAACACAACTGACCTTCGACGAGGAGGATCGCGGCATGCCCCAACATGACGGTATGATAAGCATGCGAGGAAAGAACGTCGCCTAAAAGGGTTAAGTTCAGATCCCACACACAGTGCGGAGTCGCGACTCACTTATGTCCTTCTGACTGAGATGCTGGACGAGTACATCCGCGATCACTGATCCAGAATGGAGGAATTGTTGTCGCTGAGTTCTTTCGAGTTGGCGTCGGGCGTTGAATAGCTTCACGATCGCTAATGGCCGTTGAGGTCCAGATTGGATGACAAAGTCAAGACGACCTACCTTGAAAGAATGGACCCAGGGATATAGGTATCTGCGTGACAAGGTGTCTCAGCGCCTTTCCGTTCCTCTGCCGAGGCGTCTCGTCCTTTGATGCTTGTGGCGGGGCATCCTCGGTCGTATTGGGCGTAGGGGTTGGACTAAGACCGGCTTCTACATTCGTGTTGCCATTGGCAGTCAGGCTAGGCTGCGACGTCGTCGCCGTGGATGGAGCAGTCGGGCCACCTGTAGGTCCGTCTATGGCGTCGTCGGCAGGAGGCAACAGCTCTGACAAGATAGAGGACTCGGTAGACACGCCCTGCGATCCCGGATCTACCTTGAACACGATATTCTCCCATACGCATGTTCGATGCAATGCGCCAAGATCCGGGATATTCTCAGCGCCCCCGTTGCTCATCAAGGTCTGTAGCAAAGCGACCGATGTGCGAGGATGTCCAAACCCAGCTGTGGCATACACCTCAGACAGTAATGTGATCCTGGTATGCAGAACTGTAAGTTTATGAAACTCATGATTGGCCTGTTCCTCGTCCGTGCTGACAAGGTCCAGCAGCGGCATCAACTTCGAGTCCCCGCCCACTTTGAACCAAAAGTCCTTAGTCTCGGTGAGAGACTCCTTGACGATACCCGACAGGAAGGCCAGAGTCTCGTTCGTCGCGACCTCTGCCAACGTCCGGATAACCTGTACGAGAGAGTCGGATGCGACGCTGTTCGCGAACTCGTAAGGGAGGCATGGTAACGCGGTGATGCGTCCAAGGCGGGTAAGGCCGTCAACTTTGGATATGAAGTCCCGGCAGTGAACACTGTGCTGGAACAGACCCTCTAGGAACTGCGCAAGTGTATGGGTCAGCAAGATGCATTCAAGAAACTGTATCTTTGTGACATACTCGACCGAACACATCGATGAAGGACACCACGATGTTGTCATGTGCCCTCGGGCCTTGCTCTTCACCGCCGTGACCAGTGGCAGCGCCGTCCGCTGATCCCGAACCGTCCGCCAGCGAATCACTCATCACGACATCCTCTGAGTGCTCTTCATAATTCGGCTTCTCTTGGTTGGAGTCTGGAACCAGGGTATACCACGGTTTCAGCTTCGCGGGTACCTCAAACTCGCTGCCCATATCCTCGATCTTGCTCAAGCTGCTCTTAATGGCTTCGAAAACCGGAGCTTTGAGGCTGGGATGGTGCCTCACGAGTTCGTCCACCGCTGTTCCAACGAGGACTGCATTCTCCTTGTCCTGGAGGACCTTGAGGTGCTTTTCACTGGTGAAGATGGAAAGCAAGCCAGGAATGACCGTCGGCCGTGCAGCTAGTTGATCCTGGCCAGTTTGGTTGAGGCACAGAGCACCGAGAGCGTTCGGGATAGCTTGAATCACTTCGATACTGGGCTCGATGCCTGCGTCGAGAGACTTGTAAAATACCTCAGGCAGCTTGGCCTCCTGAATGACAGTTAGGCACGTAGGCTCGTTGTGAATGAATGTAGCCATGATGTTGATTGCGAGCGAGACGATACTTGGACCGAAGAGAGTCCGATTTTCCAGGATTTGATGAATGGACTTGAGCAGCGACGAATCGATCAACCCTCGCAGGCCCTCCGCCGTGCCAGACGACTGCATCATACGGTGCATCGACCGAAGGGTGTGCTTTAGCACCGCTGCGCGGCTGACGGATAATTGGCCTTCGGCGAATCGGTAAGTAAGGAGCTATGTAAGAACGCATAACCCTACCATAAGGCGAGTATTCGTTGGTGGGTTCCGAACTTGACTCGGAAATATCGATGGTTACCTCAGACTACAATTCAGGGTCCAAATAGGTCATTACCGACTCATTTGGTAAGATTCACCAGCGTACCTGAATTCTCCCAACAAGGGTATCCACTCCCCGATTATTCACGAACAGTTGGAACGCATTGGGGAACCCGTACAGCACATTGTCCGTGAGCTGCACGGTCTTACTTACGATTGCCAACCGGTTGGGTAGTCGGTTGTCCAACAGTTGTATCAACAAGGGTACCAATCCCGCGCCGACCAACATGTTGCCACCGGTGGTGTGCGAAGCGAGATAAGTGACGAACGACAACACACCCTCGACGTACGACTGGGGCATCGAGGAGAGCGGATCCGAGACGGACGCAACGGTGCGTCGCAACAACGTCATGATGATGCCATGGTTAACGCCCGCGTTTATAGCGGCGAGCACCTCTTGAATCTTGTTCCTGTACCTTGCCAGGGCATCTAAGGCGGCGATGGCCGCACTCTGTACCGAGATTGGAACACCTTTATCCGACTGCAACAACTCAGCGATATGCGCAACAAGATCCGGCTCATAGAGGAAGAGTGAGGACTGTGCCTGAGTCTCGCCATGCGTGTGGCAGAAAATTGAGATTGCCAAGAGTCTGACAGTGAGGTATTTCTGGCGCGCGTCGAGAGCATCAGGTGATGGCACGAGCACGCCGGCAGCGCGAATGCGACAAAGGAGCTCATACTTCTCTTCGTCTTCAGGGATTTCGTATTTGTTGACAGCTTCCTTTAGCACGTCCATCGCACTCTGGGATTCTATGGTTTGATGATCGATGTGGACGGGCACAGCTCCTGAACCTGACGGGAGCAATGGGGCTGCTGACGTGGCTGGCCCTGAGGAAGTTTTCCGGGCAGGCGTTTGCGGCGGAGCAGCAGATGTCGGGGGCGGCGCAATTTTCGGATCAGCCGAATTCGACCCCGCACCACTGGACTTGTTAGTCTTCTGTTTCTTGTAGAAGGTAAAGTTGACCTCTCGCGCTTCGGGCGGGAGGCCGTTGACTTGCTCAACGCCCTGCTCGGAGGCGAGGTCCACGAGGCTGAGATTGTTATCTCTGGCATGAGGCCAACGCTTGGCCAGGCACAGGAGCTGCTGAGTGGAGATGCTCAGAGCTTGGGATACGTGAGGTTGTGCAGAATATTGCTGTGCGGGGCGGAGGAGCAAGTTGAGTGCAAGGAGGAGGATGTCGAGATCCGATGTAGACATCAGACTCTTGATTCGCTGTATTGGTGTCAGAAAACCGATGCCGCACGGGTATGCGAGAGGATGCTGACGTCGTACGAAGCGAACATTTTCCTATTCGTCGTATTTTCGAGCAGAAGACGCTCGAATTTGAGTATGCCAGACACGAGGTACTTGATATCATTGTCAAATGGCCGCGTTTGGATCTTGTCAATTTCGTAGTCGCGGATACAGTCTTCCAGGATCTCGTCGAACCGGTTGAGGACTTTGATCCATGCATTCAAATCGGACCTCGGCCATGCCCAGGTCTCGATCTGCGACAGAGCGGTCCCTAGAAGTTCGTTCGGTGTATCTGAAATTTTGGCGATGAGATCGGCCACCTGCGGATGCTGGCCCGAGTGTTAGCGCTGGGTCCCGCGGCGGAGATTTGCCATGGTGAGAGCACTGACCGGAGTGGCCGCCCTCTTCGACTTGTGCGCTATCTTCATCGTCTTCGACGACTACGAGCAGACCGCTGGCCGGTTGCTCCGAGTACGCTAGTCGAGTATGATGATCGTTGTTGTGAATGCAGAACAAGACTCGAGAATCAAACGCGCAAGCGCGTCACTTGGAGAGTACAGCTTCTCGTGACTTGTGGCAAATGGGCGCGGCATCGCGACGGTTTCGGGTTCACTCTGGCTCACTCCCAATAACCCGTATATATTGTCAAGAGACCCTCCTTATAAATCACTCGACGACCTTTACTTGTTTACGATGGTTAAGCGGAGAAACTTCGATCCGTCCGATGAAGAGGACGAGGAGGAGGAGGAGGCGGTCATGACCGACGAGGAGCCTCGCAAGACCAAGGTTCATATAGCGCCTCAGGGCTATTAGGACGACGGTCATAATAACGATACTCCATCACCAGAAACCGAGATCGTCCAAGGGCGACGCGTCTGTATCTACCGCGAAGACTTCGAAGGCGACCGCTGTACGTCGTGTGCATACATCATGGTCCGGTTCTGGAAATAACGCGTTCTCAGGTAAAGAAATCGTCCAAGAAAGAGGAGATGTCCACAGGCGCCAAGACGTCCTCCAGCGGCGAGTCATACGTTGATTTAGGCAAGCTGAAGCGTGCCACGGTCTCCGCCTTCGGTAAAGGCGTATACCTCAACCTTCGTGAGTACTACCTGGACAAAAGCACCGGCGAGGCAAAACCCGGCAAGAAGGGCATCACCCTCACTCTCGAGCAATGGGAAACGCTTAAAGAGCACGCGGACGAGATCGACAGGGCGTTCTCTGCGATTTCCTCGAAGTAGTTCCCTTTACCCTTTCTTGACATGAAGTACGAATGCTACCAGATCTGTCGTTGTTGCTGCGTGTATTATTCCGTGCTATTCTAAGTCGAGCGTGCTTTATATGATCCGATACTTGTTTCATGCTGGCAGCACCATCCCAACTTCGATTTAAGTGCGAGCAGGTTCCTCCGTGTTTTGCGTGGTGTCTGCCAGACCTGCAGCAGCCAAGTGCGCCCCGACGAAGCCCCATTTCCACAGACCGGTGAGATAGGCGCTGGTCTTCACCCTCCACGCTTGAAGGTCCATGTACGTCTCCACCGCACCGAGGCCTCGGAATGTTTTTTCATATTGCCTGTCGTGATCCCTCAACGAGGTTCGAATTCTGAAGAGTGAAGGATGTGCTCTTACCACCAGCGCCTGACATACTCCAGCCACACACCGAGCGAGAGGAATCCTTTCTCCCTCATCTCCTCGAACAACCTTCTCCTATCATCCCTCCACACCGCCCGCGCACAGTATCTCGACATGACAAGAAACACCCTCACATTGGAATGAGTTGTTTTCAAGGCATGATCCAGACTCCTTGTCAGATCGTTGAGCTTCAGCACCATCAACACCCTCCTGGGCACCCTCCTCAGCACATCGAACACCGAGAGTATTAATCCCTCCCGATTGACAACGGCGTGGCGCATCGCGTCGAGTTCCTCTTCCGTCTGCGGCATTACGTCTAGCATGCTGGATGCGGCGCGCCAGGATGGACCGGTGCCTTCCTCTTCCCAGGTACCTTCGAGGGAAGTCCGGCCTGTAAGAGCGGCCTCAAAGATTGGGTACTGTCACTGATCCATCAGCAAAATCAAAGCAAGACAACGTGGGTCTCTGACTAAGTCCGGCCCTATGTTGGCAAACGCCTCTGCGTACTTCCTCCTGTCTGCGTTTGTCTGAGGAGATGCTGGTGCTATGAGTGATAGCCAGTATCGGCTGTAGTTCACCCGTAGTTCCGTGTCCAGGTCAAAGTACAAGCCATGGTCAAGCAGGACAATCTCAAAGTTGTAGGGCGACTTCGAGCTTCGAGGCGAAGGACGTATAAGCAAGTTGCCCGCATGCGGATCCTAGCAGGTAAGAGGCATTAGCATCAAACCGACGACAGGGTCAGCGGAATTCGTACAGCATGAAACCATCCGTTGATATGCACCATTCTTGCGAATATCCTTGCCAGCTCTATCGAGACCTTGTTCCTATCGATGTTATGGTCTGCAAGGTATTCCAAATCGTCCACCCGCCTGCCGCGGATGTACTCCATGATGAGCACACGTTTCGTGGCGTAGATAACCTCGGGGATATACAACGACGTGCGTACTCCTTCAAAGTCCGATTTGGCACGCGCAGCGTTAGAGGCCTCGTGGGCAAAGTTCATCTCTTTGGGTAGATTCTGGCGCATTTCGTCCGCTAGCCAGGTGAACTCGAACTCGGGGAACCAGTACTTGATCCAGCCCAGGGTGACTTCAACCATGTTCATGTCAATATCGCAGAACTCAACGAGATGCGGGTGCTGAATCTTGACAGCGACTTCTTGCCCGGTCGATTTGTGCCGCGCAACATGGACCTGTGCGAGACTAGCGACACCAATGGGTTTGGGATCAAAGCCCTCGAAGAGCTCCGGTATTGACTGGCCCATGTCAGACATGAAGAGCGCATCGACGGCTTCGTAGGGAGTAGGTTCGCACTGGTCCTGAAGGGGTCTCATCGTGGTCGTCCATTCCACCGGAAGCACTATCCTAAATCCACATTTGATTGACCTTCGATGTCAGTACAAGAGACCGCACTTACAGAGACGACATATGCTGCCCCAACTTGATGAAGATGCCTCCATTCGCAAGCAAGGCACGTAACACCCTCTGCGCACTCCGCTTGTGACATGCGGAGTATGCATCCTGTTTTTGGTCTTCGGATGCATATGTCTTGGCAAACGTCACTTTGTAATCCACCACGCCCGCGATGGCTGCGGCTATAAATCGAAGGATGTCATAATCGCGCGACTTTCTGAGTGCGCCAGTACAATGCACCTGCTACCCTGGAACATCGAACGCCTGCCAGTACAGCATACCGGAACGGTTTGGTGTTCTCGTACGCGATCCATCCGGCCACAGAAACGGCGAGCGCCGCTCCCGAATATTTTGCCCAAGATTTCCGCCGTCGTTGGCTGTTACCGGCGGTGTGTCCGTTGCCGGACGTCGAGTGCGACCATCGAATTGGCTGCGAGATAAGGGTCCGGCGAGGATACGTATAAAGCGGTATTGACCTGCTACGCAAGGGCTGGTAACTACAGCGCAGCGACCGTAGGACGGATTGATTCATGGACAAGAGAAGGACATAGTCCGCAGTGACGTCGATCACAAGCCCCGTAATCGGAAACCTCCGCGGGAGATTTCTCAGGCCCCGTCGCGTCCACGTTTCGTCCCACTTCTATGTAAGTTCATCAACGAACTGCGTGAGCTGCGCGACGGATACGAATTACTTATCGCCTCCAAGTTTCCGTCACTCTGTCGCACCGACGTAGATCGTGATGACTCTTCATTTTACGCGGTTCGGGATCACATTGAGGGACTGCGTGCGTCGTTCAGGCACACCACATCGGGGAGCTCGAAACGCCGAACGGATTCAGGCTAGCATTTAGACTGAGGTGTCGGTAAATGCATTGCGGTGCCTGATGTTAGGATGTTGACGAGAGAACGAATCCTCTGGCAGGCAGTTTCAGGCTGGACTTCGTACTTACTTATGCGGCGCCGCCTGCATCCGGATAACACCGTCGCTGATAGCACACCAACGGCGCACTCGGCGCACGCAAGGTTCTCGCGATCTGAAGGAACGGAGCGTGCCTGAACAATCTCCGTCCGCTGTCAAGACCAGGACCGATGCTGTTGCCTGCACGCAGCCATTTCTTCCGGTGCCTCGACTAACGCAGGCCTAGGCGTAGGCTGGTAATGCTTCCTGTCCTCAGCTCATAAGATATAAATCCAGCACATCACTGTGTCTGATCAGCCAAGCAACTCTTCGGTCCTGTCAGCAGCACCAATCCACCCCGCACTCTGGCACGATGTCAAAATTCAACAATGTGATGGTCCTTTTCAAGGATGGCATTTCTGCAACTAAGCAAGACGAGCATCTGACTGCCATCCGCAAAGCCCATGCGTCCGGCAAACCCTCCGCCGCGAAAGGTGTTACCTATGTCTTCCGCTACCTAGTGCACGGTTACGCCGGCAGCTTCACAGATGAGGTGATGGCTCTGATTCAGGACGATAAGATCGTACGTCGGTTTGAAACACCCTTTCGTTGTAAGCATACTAAGCTTCGTCTCAGGTTCGGGGTTATCAAGAAGACACTCCGCTGCAGTGGTACGGGATGAAGATCACGGACACCGGAAATTGGGGCCTCTGGCGCGCATCTCACAAAGGGAGCGTTGTATCCCCGCAGGGTCCTTGGAAATACGTCTGTCAGCCTGAATACGGTCAGGATGTCCCCGTGTACGTCATTGACACAGGTCTTAACAACATAGACGGAGTAAGTCGTACGGACACCCTCACTATTCCTGCATTGAACACACTTGCTGATGCTACATCGGGATTTGCTCTGTAGGAGTTTGACGGACGTGATTTGACCTACTTCGACGCGATCCGGGATCCCAATGCTCTGCCGATGGAATTTGACAATGACGAACACACTCATGGCACATTGGCGGCAACGTTCATCGCTGGACAGTCCCTTGGTGCAGCGAAGAACTGCAAACTCATCCTCTGCAAGTTCACGCGACATGGCGCCGATATCCTTGCGTCTGACATGATCAATGCCGTATCCAGGATCGCCCAACACCACGAGACCCTTGATTCTCGTTATCCCAGCATCGTGAATTGCTCTTGGGGTCACCGTGTTGGTGGTATCGACCCGTGGATACTGGAAGGGACATATTTGCGAACTTCCTCCTGCAACGACTGTCAGCGCTGTGCTCTCGGAGGTGTGTGTGTGGGGTGGGGGGGGGGGGTTCGGGGTACTGACATGGTCATTTCCAGCAGCGGCGACAAATATCAATCGCTTTTCAATCGCTTTTCGGATAGTAAGCGCGAGGATGGCGGAAGTCATTACTGTCGGCTCTACTGATCATCAAGATCGCATCTCAAGTTTCTCAAACTACGGGCCCGGTGCGTATCACACTTTCCAAACATCTGTAAAACATAGCCTCAATAATTAATCAATCAATCGGATAGAAATCGATATTTACGCTCCTGGAGAAGACTTGCCTTCTATCGCACACCCTGATGATCCCGAGAGACGGACGTTCCAACTCGGTGGAACACAGGGTACTTCATTCTGTAAGCATATATCCTAACTCCGATACTTGCTATGCTCACTGCCCGAAACTTTCCAAACATCAGCGGCACCTTTGGTATCTGGCATCATTGCGTGTATAATGGCTGCAATCGGCGACACGCAACGAGTGTGGGATACGGCTTCGATCAAAGCGGAGTTGAATCAGCTAGCACGACGAAGCGAAGCGCAGAATATCCGATTACTCTCTAACGGTAGCGACATGGCGTGAACGCGTTGGGGAACGGATTACTTCGTGAAGTGCACATTATGTTTGCACCGCGACGTATTTGAAGCCGTCCAAATCTCTCTCAACCAACATAGATGTCAATCCCGTGTATCATACCTTTATATATACCATGATGCCAGCTCTAAAAATAAGGATCTCAGATACATCACGTATGCACACACCCCGTAGGAATATCGGAGTTCAGTAGATAGCGTTGTATGGTTTAATTTCAACCACCACCGCTCCTACTGCTTTTCGTGCTGTGCAGGCTTACCCTGCCCGACATCCTATGTGATGACATAGCGTCTGCATTCTGATGCATTACCTCAGCGTACCTGGATAATAGATCAGAAACCATGGTTCACTGGAATGGTACCATTACTTACAATAGCTTGTATCGGACGAGCTCCGACTCGAGGTTATCGTTTTCTAATCTTGCTTTTACAAGTTCATTCTGCGCAAGTTCAGCATGGTCCGACATATTCAGATATTCGCGTTCACTCACCAGAACTTCCACATGCTCGGTATTAAGCTGGGCAAGGTTCTCTTCAAGTCGTTTGCTGTAAATCATAACAAATCAATAATATATGGGCTCAAGGCACTGAGTGAGACGCACACTTGGCCTAGTAGGGCCCGGTTGCTATTCCTTAGCTCGTCCATCTCGATGGCATGCGCGTCCCGAGCTCGAACCATATCTTCGTACTCGTGTGCATACGCATCGAGCATGAATGGGGTGATTCTGAGGGCGATCGCATCCTGGACAAAGCTGTCCACCTTGTACTTGGGTCGTACTTCGCCCGATTCCGCCGTTTCAGGCCGCTCTTCCATCTGCGCATGGCGAATCAATCACCGTAAGAGTCCGGATAGCGCAACAACGTGCCAAATAATTCTCCAGCACTCTGCTATTCAGGAAAGCAAGGATCTCGTCGAACTTCATCGATAGTAACTTCTGCTCGTTGGAATGCAGCAGGACCAGGCTGAAAGCGAAGATGGCTTCTATACCATTTGCAAGAATATTGTCGTATATTCGATAAACAATTTCGAGTGGGAACCTGTTCCATGTCTCAGTTATAGGTGACGACCTTCGATGCATCCTGCATACCGGTATGAGAACAGAGTGAGAAACCATTGCGAACAGAACATGCTCGATTTGATTCCTTGGCGGAGGAAGTGAACATGCAGTACAGGCAGCATTTCTTCCACTAATCTTTCGAATTGGAACTACGGCATGGTTTCAGGGAAGGCGTCTTGACGATGTAGTGGCGACAAACCAAGCGCAGCTGCAGCTTAGGCATCTCCGGCAGGAAATGACCTCGCAAATCATAAGTGTACATGAGCCTGACGAGTAGGCAGAAAGCTTCTTCGTCTGGCATCTGTCACAACGTTGGGAAGCGAGCGAGGAACGAGGACGCGCATACGCACGTTTAGCAAGAGAATGGCCACAAGAAACGGCATGCCCTGACAGTATCCCACCTGCGTGTCATATCTTCCTGTCACGGTGAGCACGGCCCGATCGAGCTGAAGCTGAAGGTACGCACAGCGAGTACGCCTTCAAGACGTTGAAAAGATTTTCTTGGCCGATGCCTTGACCATTGTTGAAGAATTCGTGATGAGGGAACGTACTATTCAACGTCAGTCAATAAGTTATCAAGGGCGTGCGGTATGCTCACCGGCCCAAATCCCGCATGATAGCTTTCTCGTGAGGAGAAGTATCCTTCAACAACTTCAGATATGTCGCTTCAAGCTCCGGTTCTTTCGATGCAGCCCTGTGACGTGCTTGAGTGAGATCACAGGCAAGATTTGACTAGTCCGTCGTACCTACATGAGCTGCCACATCATTCCACGTAAAGCGTCGGGTATTCCTCGTTCAATCGCTTGTGCCAACTTCTCAGAGTTCGCAGCCGCAAAATTTTCATAATCTGACATGCGAAGGGTGAGCGATGGTGGATAGCGTAACGTAGGATGGCATACCCGCCATCACTTCGCCCCAGAACTCTGCAACAATGAGCATCACATATGCAAGCTGTACGAGAGACACATACCCCAATCAATGGCTCCACCGTGAGCCTGAACCTCCGCTTCGCCCTGACTCTGTGATTGAGCCTTGTTGAAACCTTCCTGCAACATCTGGTGTCCCTCTACACTGATCCTCCGCCGAGAGGCGCCATCTTCATCCTGCACTTTTTGCAGATCCAGACGATTGACGTTGGGCGGCAGGGAGCTCGCAGATGACGCGGACGACGAATGTTTGTGTCGGGTTTCTACTGGTGTTTCTGATTCAGGTGACGGAGACCCGGGATCCTTTGATGACGTGCTGGAGACACTGGACTTGCGGATCGCCTTAACTGAGCTCACCGAACCTATGGAGTGTCTGCCGGAGACAGCGGCATCGGCGGTGGAGGTGAGCGGCACCGTGGAGAAACGCACTTCATCGCCAGGTGTCGATTCTCCGGACTCTGAACTGCGACTGGAATTTCTGATGGGGGATGTGGTCGTCACACTTTCAGTTGGAGACAACAACGAGTCCAGGTTGACTGCAGATGGCTCATCGAGAGGCAAGGAGTCTGGGCGTGGATGCCGCGGGGAAGTGGACATCTATACGAGCGAAGGTGACGAGACTTTCATGCACAACGCGCCTTGAAGCTGGAGGCGCCACAGACGATCGGAGGTTATTCAAATTCGGCAACAGTAGACAGCTTTCAAAACCGATATATATCGAGGTTTCGTATCCAAATCGCTCGATTTGGCGCGCGTTTTGGCCACAGAATATCAAAATCTCAATATGTATCGAAATTGAAAGCTCCCTAGTCCAATTACAGTCAACTCTCTCTTAACCCATACTTTCGGGAGAGGGTCAAAATTATGGGTTATCGAAGAGTATGGGATGCGAGAGAGGTGGCGAAAAACTCGATTTGCGGCTCAAATATCATCGTATACATACAGTGCAAGGACAATGTATGTATTCTACAAGGCGGCAGCCTGTCTGGGAACAAAATAGTCGGTGATGGACGTCGAGCGCATGTTACGAGCCTCTTCAAGACGGGTATGGCGACCAAAAGTGAGTAGATTGTTCTCCAATACGCGAGCAAAGTCCTCCGGCATGCTGGAGAGATAGCTGCGCAACGTCTGCGCCGCCTCCAACGCCTCTCGGCGTGTCGGTCGCGGCGCAGCATCATCTCCCTCTTCTGCGTCGTCACCTCCATCTGCCTCCATCTGATCTTGTCCTCTTTTCACGTCAAGAACCGATTGCACGATGTCTTCGTCCGATGTGCCTACATCCGCCGCAATGTCTTCACCTGTGTGATTCAGCAATTCACCGATGGCCATCCGGTTGACTCGCTGTAAGACCCCACGGGATTGCAGCTCTTCCAGCGTATCTTCGACCTCCTTTTCGGCAGCAGCTACAGGATCTGAGTTGAGGAGGGAGGCAATTGGAATCGAAGGAGCAATGGACAGTGAAGATGGTGCAAGAACGGAAGGAGGGAGGATGCCGGTCTTCAGCCAACAGTTGCGGATCGTTGTCGTATCCACCTTGCTCCAAGCTGATATCGCCATGCGCATGGCTTCAAGGATGTTGATGTCGTATATATCTTCCGGAGAGATTCCCATGTCGTAGCGATCAATAGCTCGCCCAATGAAGGCGCTGCGGTAGTGGGCCTTCCAGCATTGTATGGTTCCGGCATCGGCAGGTTGGACATGTGGTGTGAGATTTGGCCGGAAAACCTCGACACGGATGTTTGTGAGGTTATCGGGTGCAACATGTGCACTAAATCCGTCAACGAGGAGGAGAACGGACCTCTTTTTCTGGCGAAGCTTCGCATCCCATCCGCCAACCCACTCGTGGAACAGCTTCATCGTCATCCATGCCTTTGCGTTGTTGCGATAATAGAACCCCAGCTGCTCCCCAGTTTTCTTCTCAAACGCGCGTGGCCTCTGGTATTTGCCAATGATGACAGGTTGTAACTTCTCGCTTCCGTCGGCGTTCATCGCGAATGCAAAAGTAAGCCGGCTCTTGCACCCTTTAACACCGGCAGAGGGCTTGTCCTGCAGACCACGGTCAGGTGGCATCCTATGTACAGCGCCAGTCAGCGCCATCCGGCCGCAACACACATAGACAAGAACATACTTCCAGAAGAGACCAGTCTCATCCATATTGAAGATGTCTTTGATGGTGTATCCACCATCCTCGATGAGCGCGCGGACACGAGCACGTTCCTCCTCAATCGTCTCAGGGTTGCTCGATGCAGCCTCCCCATGACGTTTATACTCCTTCAGCCCGCAGCGCTTCTTGAACGCCGTCAGCCATCCCTCACTGAGAGTCAGGCGGTCATCTTCTGGTATCCCAACCATATCAGCAAAGTGTGTCCACTTCTGGCGAAGAACCTCTCCTGTCAGCAAGACTCCGTTCCTCATGGCCTCCGCAACCCAGAGCTCGAGCATATCCGTGATCTCGGGGTGCTCAGTCTGCTTCAACCGCTTCGCCTGCCCTCCATGACCCTTTGCTACAACTTCTGCATATCGCTCTCGCCACTTCGGTTCCTCCTTAAGCCACGCTGAGATGGTCGGCTGTGTGAGGCAGAGGTTCGGATATTTCTTGTTGAAGATATCGGCTGTTTCTCGTTGATTGAAGGCATGCTTGTTCTTATGATACCAGTCCAGGATTTCGATGCGCTGTTCAATTGTAGCATTCTCCTTCTTTGTGAAAACCGGCTCCTTGGACTGCTTCTTCTCAGTATCCTTCGGCTTCCGCTCCTCTGCTCCTGTGTCTGCGATGAGGCCTTTATGTCACCTCACATGCATCACAAGAACTTACTCTTCCGTTTGGGCACTAAAGTGTCCTTGATCCCTTTCCCGAGCTTCATCAATTTGTCCAACACAGCTTTCTGCTGCTCCGTGAATTTCGACACCGTGTTAGAATACTGTACTTTTACGACCGTAAGTTCGGCCAGGTCGGAGGGGGACAGGGGACACGACCCAAGTTCGCGGCCGTGGGAAGTTCATCCGCAGCCTGCCCGGGGGACACGTGCTTACGAGGTCAGATTTTCTTGATCACACGGTCAGATTTAAGACTCTCACGGTCAGATATAATGTGTCCCGGAGGTTCGGAGTGCCAGGGGGACAGGGGACAATAAGTTCGGTTCGGGTGCCCCGGGGACGCGGGACGAACTTACGGTCGTAAAAGTACAGTAGTTTGACGCATTCTCGAGGAGCTCAATGATGCGCAATTCATCTATGTGATTTGCATCGTTGTCAATGAACCGTTCCTCCTCTGCCGAAAGAGCTCTGTGTTTGGCCTTTTCACGGAGCGCAGCAACACGGGCCCGCGTCTCCGCATTGAGCTTTTCAAAACCTTTCTTTACGATATTGAGAGGAGACATGGTGCAACAAGACGTGTGGCAGGGCTTAGGTCAAGGAGGTCCGAGCAATTTTTTTTCTTGTCTCGCTTGCGCACAGCGCCGACAAGTTGCCCCGGAATCATACCGGCTGCCCGACATCACAACGATGATGCCAATGGATCCGGACCTCGGCAACCTTTCGGAATGACCCGATTTCCAGCTTGAATTATGGGTTATGATCTATCTCAGGCTCATGGGTTATGGAGTACAGGAGAGATATGGGATTTTACTATTCCCCCAAGTTGGGAGACACCCGAATGTATGGCTTACTACAGAGTATGGGTTCCCAGAGAGATGGGTTAAGACAGAGTTGACTGTACATGTCATTATCCAGCATCAGCATGTTTCTGAGCTGATGTCTGAACGGAGAATCCTTCGATTGAATGATTTCATATCGTGTTCGTACTGTAGTTTTACGACCTTAGGTTCGGTCCGCCTCCCGGGGGACAGGGGACAGCTGCAAGTTCGGGGCCGTGGGAAGTTCGCAAACTGACCAGAGTCAGTTAAAAATATTCACACAGTAAGAAATTCTATTCTCACGATCAGTCCCAGCCCTGGATTTTGGCGGGGGACAGGGGACAACACGGGAAATTAGGTTCAGTTCGGGCTGCCAGGGGACAGGGGACGAACCTAAGGTCGTAAAACTACAGTATTTTCCTTGCAACCGAACCGGAGAGTATCTCCCAACCGCAGCTACGAGACAACAATTTTTTTTTTCACAAGCATGGATTGAATTGGTTGATTAAAAGCACATTAGGGTATATTCGCTCGTTTAGTGTTCATGCAACAGTGCACAGGCGTAAGAGAGCGCGCCGAATCGCCCGGGCGTTCAGCGCTAATACGTTGATGTGGCTCCCGCGCGCCGTGATCCGCACCGGCAGCAAATAATGTCGACGATAACATTGAATATAGTGACAATCACCTGTCGTTGTCGTGAATACTGTGCTCGGATAGGTGAAGCAAGACTCGACGTACTGTAGTAACTGCTCCGACAATGGCCATGATCACGCTAGCAATAGCGGAAATTACGGCATTGATGCCGGCACCGATAGTAGAGAAGATGGATCCCTGGCATCACATTCGCGCGATTAATAGATTAATCGGAGTTAACAACGAAAGAAGCTTACCATGTCTATAGTTCGTGAAGATCGTGAAAGGCTGGCATGTGTTGGCATCGCGTCGAGACTTATATACGCTCGCCCAAAATCTTCCGGCGTGGTGTTCTGGAGTGGTATGCGTCACTTTGAACTTGGACAGAAGTTCGTGACGTCGATGAGAGCCGTACTGACATCATCGATGCTGAGTCGGCAAGTCGAATGGGACTTCTGTCAGTTTACTGATATATTATGAAGCATGTGAATTAATATATGCCCCATGGCTGAGTTGGTTACAGCGTCCGACTGTTACCTTCGTAACGTTATCGGAAGGTCGTGAGTTCGAGCCTCACTGGGGCAGATGTTTTTGCGCTGATTAACGGCAAGAGATCGTGTGGGATATAATCTCTCTTTCTGGTTGCAAGGGAACGACATCAACCTTTCATTATCGCTCTCACTAACATGGACCGCTGCCCTACGGAAATCTGGGTGAAGGTCTTCTCGTTTGCTTGCTTGGATGGTGGCGCTACCGGCCGCTCTCTGTCGTTGACCTCTCGATATGTTCGCGATGTCTCCCACTGGGACCCAGGATATGCGTTACCAGTCCATCGCCGTTCATGATATACGGCAAGTCGATCAGTTTGCAGCGCACCTCCGCTGGGAACAAGCAAGGACGCACAAAGCGCCCATCGTGCGTCATCTGTTCATTTCCGCCCCGAATTGGGGCGAGGTCGACCTCGCGTCGTGGGCGGAGGACGAGCGCGTGCCCAGAGTGCGAGGGGCATTGGTCTCCCTACAGCATCAGTGGTCGACCAGACTAATGGCCGCTACAGGTGATCTGCTGCAGATGGTGGCGCCAACGCTGCAAACTCTGTTCCTCCACGGCAACACGTTGAACATAGCAGCGCCCGGTCGCGTCGAATTCCCCATCCTTACAACCCTCTCGATTTCGCGCGATCCATTCTGGGACTCCACCGATCCCATCCTTCCCGCCCTACGCCGACTGCATATCACGACATTCAACGGCGATACGCGACCCTTCTGGGACCGTCTTGCGATACTCGTTCCTGCAAACAGCTTGACTCATCTCCGCCTCTCTGGCGTTGAGGCGCGTGACGTGGAAGACCTGGAGATGGTCCATGGTCAAAGTCTGAAGCTTGAAGTCTCATACAGTCATGATACCGTCGAAATGCTTGCGGGCTTTACAATCACGACTCGGGAATATTGGGATGACGCATTGCTCTACTTAACGTTCAATATCATCGCATGCTACCATGTATAATAGTATAATTACTGCAAGCTGCAGTAGAGAGCTTCTGATTTTCGATATATAACGAAATATCGGTATTTTGTGGCCATAAACCGCGCCAAATCGAGCGATTTGAATACGGATTTTCGATATATAGGGCAGACCGCGTGCACAAATCACCAACGCCACGTGGCTTATAGAACAATACGAGAAATCTATCTCCTCCTGCACAATGGCGATTCCAGAAAATCCGTCAATATGAATGATACATATGGTTGATACGAACATTTCATATTGAGGACTAAGCAAAGGAATCATAACCACGGCACGAGATGGACTTTTCAAGCTTGATATTGAATCACGTGATGTTGGTGATGTGTGCAAGCGGTCTGCCTTATCGATTTCAGAAGCTCTCTAGTATAAGGTTTCCTGCTGCTAATAACGATCACGTGAGCGATTCTATTGTCTCACCCTCCGTCAATGGCTCGGACTGCTTGAACAATTGAGATCCATGAACATGTCTCGCCCCCACTCTGGATGGTACCCAGGCCTTCCCGAAAGCCTTAACTGAGAGGTCTGCGCTACACTCACGCCCAAATTATCAGTCGCTATGCCGCACTTAGCAAGCTCTTTAGCTGCCATCGTATTGTTGTCCGCTGGATGGATTGTTTACAAGTTTCTCATTGCCCCGAGATACAACCCACTCCGAAGGTTGGCAGGCCCTCCCGTCTCGGGATTCTGGGGAAACCACTTAGGTTTCGTCCTTGAGTACGTGCATCGCTATGCCACCGGAGTGTCACTAAACCAAGCGTTATTACCCAGTCCGGCACGCTCACCTAAAACACACGAGTTACTGGTCGAACATTATGGACGGAACGTTCACATACGAGGCATGGGACCTGTAGGACCTTTCCTTCGGTATCGCGTACTCGGTGATTCACGACGCATTACAGTGGGATGATCGTCTCTTGACCCTCGATCCGCTCGCCATGAGTCATATTATGAAGAATAGCACCATATACCAGAAACCATGGCAGTCCCGCCGTCTTATCACGAACCTGATTGGATGTGGGATGCTTGCTGCTGAGGGCCAGGTGTGTAAGGTCTCAATATCAGGCAGACTGATGCTCACCTCAGGTTAAGGTACATAAACGGCAAAGGCGCGTAGCGACGCCCGCCTTCGGCGTACAGAATATGCGCTCGCTCGTTCCGGTTGTGTTTCGCAAAGGCGGACAACTACGTGATCGTTGGATGACTATCATTCAGAAGCAGAAATTGGCGAACGACGTACGCCTGGACGTGGCGATGTGGATCAGCCGGGCCACATTCGATGTCATCGGACTTGCGGGCTTTGACTACCATTTCAATGCAATCGAGGACGAGTCGAACGAGTTGTTTACAGCCTACAAGGATATGTTTGAGATCGCCATCTCACAGAGCCAAGGACGTCGGAGTGTGTTGAGTCTCTATCTCCCAATTATTGACGTCCTCTTCGTAAGTCCAATTTCAGCCTGTCGTCAACCGCGGTCTGACGTTTCGCCAGCCGGATAAAGCTGTGAAAGTTGTACGCAAGAGCCAAGCGGTTATTAAACGCGTTGCGGGGGAGCTCATTCAACAGAAGAAGCGCAGAATGGTTGAAGGAGAGAGGGCGGGGAAACCGTATGAAGGGCGTGACCTCCTGTCTGTACTCTGTGAGTGGACATTTACCTGCCGTAGGAACTGAAACTGACAACCAACCCCAGTGAAGTCCAATGCCGCCGCTGATCTGCCCCCCGAACAGCGCATCTCCGACGAAGATATCCTCAACAATATCAATACGTTTATGTTTGCTGGTTCGGACACGACGTCTCTAGCGTTGACTTGGACGCTGCTATTGCTAGCTCAGAACCAGGCTGTCCAAACTCGACTTCGCGCTGAATTACTCCGCCTGGCGGCTTCTGTTCCGGATTTGTCATCCCTGAATGAGGAAGAAATGCAATCATTGCACACCGCAATAGCCAACCTTCCATACCTGGACAATGTGTGTAAGGAGAGCCTGCGATTGATCCCACCGGTCCACTCTTCGTTACGTGTCGCCACGCAAGACGACATCGTGCCCAGCTCAACACCGGTGAAGATACGGAAGCCTAATGGTACAATAGCAGAGAGCCCCGAGCGCTCTGTGCATGTGCCAAAAGGCTCCTTTGTGCACGTTCCCGTGGAGGCCTTCAATCTCGACAAGGAAGTCTGGGGCTCAGATGCGTGGCAGTTCAAGTAGGCTTGCTCTTTCTGGATGGTGTTGCCTTCACTGATCTGAATGTCTAAGCCCCGATCGCTGGGATCACTTGCCTGAAGCTGTCCACGAACAACCTGGACTTTACGCAAACATCCTCACTTTCTCAGCAGGACCTCGAGTAAGTCGATCGAACAATTTCTTAGGCCGCACTGACTTCAATGACCAGTCATGTATTGGAATGCGCTTCTCCATGATCGAGATGAAAACGTTCATGTATATTCTATTGACCGACTTCGTTTTCCGCGAGACCGAGGAAAAGATCATCAAAGCCAATGTGTATGTTTCGCTGTCTCGTGATTGACGATTATTGACAAATGCTTTTGTAGAGTGTTAACACGCCCTTACGTCAAGGGCAAGTTTGGGCAAGGCAGTCAGTGCCCAATGCTAATTTCGCCATATGTAGCCGAGAAATCGTCGTAGGACCAGTAGTAGTAGTATATAAGTAGCCTACGCGCCCGGGGTTTTCACTTCGATATTCTCCCCGAGGGCTTGTATCATCGATAACTTTGTGTCTCGCTCAAATAGATTTCCTGTGACTGAGCGCGGATGTGGCGGGAGAATAATCGCCACTATGTGCGTGATGAATGTTAAATCTGTGCGTTGCCTGTTGCATGTCCTACAGGATCCAGAATACCCTACAACCTACAATCCGATGGCTTGGCAGGCTAGTAATCGTGCTACAAGGCATCTTCGGCTCGTTCGGGAAGCTCTCGCAGCTCCTCCTCCCTTACAGGATCGGCTTATCAATCTGATTGACGATGCATTGCTCCTTACATCTGCGCCTGTAAGAACTGTCATGTAGGTGAACCCTTGACAAACTCATCACTCTCTAGGAATGGTTCAAATCATCTCCCGAAAGACAACATATCAGAACAGATGTCCTACTTCTTGTAGCAGGTCTAGCGAACGCAGCACAGAAAGCTGATACCATGGCCTGGCCCGCAGTGCGTGACCTCATGGAGGACGCGGCGAAGTATATCTCTAAGTACTCTGCTGGGGACTCTTCGTATTCTGACCTTGATTATACAGTATCATGACGAGCGTACGGAAGGAATGTGATCGATGGGGCAGCGAAAGTAGTGCTGTCGCCGTGCCGACACATGTGATACGTCGGGATTTGACGCGCAAAATCGACCACCTGGATGTACGTTGTGAGCTTTTTTCTGACCGCGTTTCCATCGCTGAGATCGGCATCTAGTACATCTTCACTCATGAGCTATGCGCGACTATAACCATTCAATCGTTAGTTGAACCTGTTCCGCAACAGGATCCAGCCTTCGGAGGTACCAGGCACATTTTTTTGCGGTCACTTATGCTGAATATCCATAGATTTACTAAGACTCCTAAGTCCGCCAGCGTCTGTTCGCGGACGGCGTCCGTACGCGAAGTTTTTGGATCGTGTGGTCTACTGCTTCACTCGCGAAGGGGTACAGAATGGCCGACCGAACCTGCCTATGGAACTGGCCCTAATGATTGTTTCACACCTTGCTCCAATCCTACATCGAACGGAAACAGGGAGGTTCCATACCTCGGTAGCATATTCCTTAGGCGAACATGCTTCTACTTTGCTGTCTATTGAGGATATCCCTCCTTTTGCAGTCGCACTACGCGCCCGAGTCCTTTCACGGGATCAAGGCTGGGCTGACTATCCCAAAGCGCCAGCAGGGAGCTGGTCCTGGGGCGAAATCCGCCTGCATAAGAAATTCAGCACCCAGCCAGAACAGCTGAGACAACATTCGCTCGCAAAGACAAGGCGGACGTGGACCTGCTATCACAACAAGTTGGCAGATCCGCGCTACCACTTATACGATGTAACCTTCCCAAAACATCATGAACTCTGGTCGACCGCAGAACAGGGCGATGAGCTGAGGTTTGTCGCGTGCGCTGAATTGCCTGGATGGCAGAATCAGATCAGGAGCATCGAACTATCGCTGTACACCGCCTATGAGCCGGACTTGTCCTGGATCGGTGCTGAAGCGTCACTTGTATGTGGGACTGCTCGGGACGTCGAGCCTTTCGCGTAGAAGCGGCTCGGTAGCTTATCGTTCATGATGCATATATTTAGTGGTATGTGCAGATAGCTTGCGTTGTTCCTGGACGAATGATAGACCGTGTTGTACGTAGGGTGATATGTAGGTTGCGCAAGCGACGAATGCAGCAGCTGATTGGCGCTATGTGTGAAGTGGACATCGCGGACGTCAGAGGTTGTCAGTTCAATCTCAACGTGTCAACACGCCGAAAAACCATATTACCAAGGTCCGTCTGTTCGTGGCTTCCGCGCGCCGTTCAGGTCCCACCACAATAACAACAAGGCCCTACCCTTACCCCTCATCCTATACACCTGAGTGAGTGCATATCCAAGTGTCGTCTGCCCATGGTTTAACACGAAGCAGCCCAGCACCTATCTCCATTGCACAACCGTCCATCGTCTCGTGATGACTTTCTTTGTTGACGAGGATGTGCTGCTAAGCTCGACTCCGCCTAGGAAGAGGCGTTTACTGGATCGTGGTGATTCCATTCGCGACCAACGCACCTCCCCTTCGCCGACCTCCGTTCGGTACCTAAACGTACTCGATGTGATGTCCGATGAGGCCTCTGCACGAGGATTCCAGAGTCATATCAAACGCCCAGCGTTGCCATCTATGGATGAAAACACCAACGTGCGAAAACGCCGCTTCGGTCGCATTGTCGAGATCGAATTCGAGCATTCGCTGGAGGCGCTCTCAGTCGCCACCTCCGACTTCAACGGGGACGACGAGGAGCCCTGGGGTACCGTCCAGGAGTCGAAGCTGGATCCTGTTCGCGAAGTGCCCGTGGTAGTCGTGACGGAGGCGTCCTTGTCCATGTCTCCCGCGGTGTCGGTATGCAGCTACGAATCCGGCGACGCCATCTCGATCTCCGCTTTCCCTCAACCTCCCATGCTGTCGTCCGATATCCCTTGGTCGGATTCCACGTTGGATGAAGTGCGCGCCATGAGTGCCTTCTGGAGCTATTCAGCTGGGGAGCTCGAGGAAGACCTGTTTTCTCAACCCAATGTACCATTCATCGCTGTTACAGAGGAGGAGAATGAGGCTTTATATTCGGTCGAAGGCGATAGCCACCCGGAAGCCGCAGCAATTACGGGAGGCATGTCATTGCCCGACTGTATGTGCAGGAACATTGACGAGGACACATTGGACGCTCGGTCCCCATTGGTTGTGCTGGAGACAAGTGTCAAACACCGATCTGCAGAACTATTAGCAGTGTTGTTCAAGGAATCGCCACTGCCTTATCGTCCGCCACAGCGCGACTCGTGCATTTCCATAAGCAGTGTTGCCCCTCCGCCCAGAACACGCAAGGATCTCCGCGCAATGCTGGGCTCACCATATATTGCACCCGGAACCATCGATGATTCCAAGCTGGAGATCGCGTCAGGCGGCAGCACTGGGCACATCGTGACCGACGGCGTAGGCGATGCCCCATGCCCAATCGAACAGGTCGCACCACCTCCGCGCGAAGCGATGAAGTGGACAAGTTACCGCCCCAGACAGAGTCTAGCCCCTTTCGCTGCATATGCAGTCGGTCTTCCGCCTATCGGCGAAGCCGTTGCCTCCGACACGCCGCCTTCTCTCCCACCCATCCCAGCCGTTTGGTCGCCTCTTCCAAGCAGTGTTGATGACGCTGCTACAGCCGCCCTCGAGGAGGATGACGTCTCCGGACAGTACTCCTTCATGAATCATTCGCCAGAAATTGCAGACCGCCGAGACTTCGGCGAAGATACGCGCAAGGCAACCGTACGCCATCTGTTCAAACGCGCGATGGATAAGACCCGCATGGTCAACCGGTGGAGGAAGCCCAAAGCCGACATGGTGACCTTCTGACACGATCGCTCGACCCAAGCCCATTCTCATACGCTATCGATATCCGCATGTTGTGCTACTTTTTATCTTGTTTTCCACACGGAATTGCTTCGCTTTTGCAACTGTAGTCAATGTAACCCCAATGCCTGTATTGAACTTCGAACATGTTCTCTTGAACAATCCAAATGTACTACGACACGGTCGACTAAGCCAGGGCGCCCTGTATTACAGTGCGCTGGTGTGAACACTTCGTCCAGCCTATGAAAGATTTACGCACCATCGGGTCCCACGCAGGGAGGACAATCCTCTCCTTACCCTCGAAGACCTTTACCAGCTCCTTGGGTGCCAGAGACTTAGGCACAACGACTTGGTAAACGAATCTGATCCGACCACGTTAGAGTAGGTCAAAACCAGGCAGCGGTTGATACGTACTCCTCGAACCACTTGTCGGTCATCACGAACCAGCCCTTCTCTCCCGGCTCCTCACCCCACGAGTTCTCGACCTTGTAGCGCACTGGCTTTCCAGATCCATCCAGGTGAACCGCAGAGATCACCATGGCGTGTGTCATGGCTGACTCGTTGACCTGAAGGCGCTGGGCCTTCGTCAAACCGAGCTTGATGTTGAACGCGTTCTGGTGGATATGAATCAGCTGGTTTCGGTCTACTGCATAGCTTCTCTTGAATGACATTTACCTCATATTCGTACAGCCCAGTGCTCATGATACCCTTCACCCGATCAGAAAACTTCCCGACATCGCATCCGAAGAAGACCGGAACGCCCGCCTTGACCATCCTCACGACCGCATTCTTGAGGTCGTCGATTTTGGTGTTGACGTAGAGAACTGGGCGCCCTCCCCAGACGTTGCCCAGCTTGTCGACGGTGTAGAGCTTTCCGTACTCGTTCCGAGGGTCGTTGATGAGAGAGAAGCAGTCCGAAGGAGCATACGACTTGGCGTGGAACGCCTTGTAGAACTCAAGGGGGGTGCCTGTCCACGTGTGCGGCTTGCCGTCGGCGTCGTAGTAGTCCCAGGTGAAGGGTGCGTCGGGCTTCGGCGGCACGCCCAACGTGGCCGACATGATCGTGTACACCTCCGCCATCAGCGACTCCTTCTTGGAGCGGAGCGTAGCCAAAACCGCCTCCTCGGAAAGCGAAGAGTTGGCCCGAAGACTGGCCGCCAGCTCTCGGAGAATCAGAGCATCCTCACGGAGCTTGGTCTTCAGTAGCGTATTGAGCGGTCCAGAGAGCGAGGAGTGAGTGGACTCGGGGTAGATTGGCTGCGGGACGACACCGTAGTTCTGGGAAATCGAGTGAGATGGTGAGTCGTTTTGTGTAATGATCTCCTTGCTTACCTCCAGAATGTTCACAGCCATATCCCACTGGCCACCGTCGCTGATCAGGTCCCCAGCCAGGTGGTTGACGAGACGATCATCGAGTGGTCGGTCCGCGAGCTCGATGGAAAGCTCGAGGTAGTAGTTCGACTTGTTGAGCTTGTCCCAGAAGAATACGTACGACTGAATTCTGTTCAATGCCATGAAATCTGGTACTGCAGAACGAACGAACCTGCGAGAGCTGGAACTCCTTCAAATTCAACTTCTGCATGATATTGTACCGGAGAACATTGGTGGTCGCGAAGAGCCAGCATCGACCACTCGATTTCTGCGAGGTGATAGGGCTGGTCTTGAACGCAACCTCGGTGTTATAGACGTGAGGGTCCGCAACGATCGCCGACCGAGAGAGCAACGCCTCCTGGAGATTGGTATGCGAGAGGATCGTTCGCGAGAGCTGGATCTTCGGATCCGCAGACGCGTCCTCCTCCCACTTGCTCACGATGTCGAAAGACACGGAGCCATCCTCAGCCGCAGGTCGGACAGCACCGTGCTCCAGCGACATGGCCGTCAGCCGCGCCAGCATCTTCTCGTCATCCGCACTCTGAGCTGGGAGCGAGGACGGGGCAGGCTTAGAGGGGGCGGCTCCCATGGTGAAAGGTGTGCAAGCGATGGGACGAGGACCGCGAGCTGAAGTGCGCATGAGTATCGAGTCCGACGTGATAAGGCGCGCAGCGACACGTGAGAAGCCGGAGCGGCATTGAGGCGTAGCATATGTTCAGGCTGCAAGATTAGCTGCAAGTACAGGCGAGCAGAGAGAGGACCTGAGCAGTATTTGGCATCGTGAAGCGAGCAGGCAGATCGATCACGCTACTAGTACAGACCGTTGTCTCAAGATCGGAGGACTGTCTCGGTCCTCGAGCTCATCACGATCAGACGCACCGCGTCGCCGGCCGCGCTAACAGTAACACTGAACCGTCCAGCTCGAGCATATGGTACGCAAAGTGCAGTCATTGAGACGAGTTGTTCGAGACCGATATGGATAGCGCAGGGAATACAGCGGCTCTGACCAGAACGTTGAAGTTTCAGATCGGAGCAACGCGGATGGAAGGTGTTCAAGAAGTGTTCACGGGCCACTTTCCTTCGGACTTTGACCAGTATGTAACTGCCGTGAGATCAATGCAAGCCTCGGACCTCTTACGATCGGCGCAATCTCACGAATTCACGGGTGTCAACTGTAACGAACATCCCAGCAACATGCACTGGGAATCGACCTATACGCTGCAAACCTTCCTTTTGCTGCTCCCCAAGGTCATTGCAATATGATATTATTACGTCTCAGATGCCTGAGTACCGCATGATCTGGACGGTGCGACACTTGGGCTTGGGCGTCGTGTGTCTGCAGATCTGGAAATGTCTTCTATCCTTTCCTAGGCGCGATGTGCGGATGGTGTTGACGTTGCTCACCACACCGGGGTCAAAGTCCACTCGTTGTTGCATCGCCTCCCGCCACGCAATCGTCCTATAACCAAAAACATCGCTGCCCGCGCCAGCACAGATCAAATGGGCTCTTCATCATACACCATATTGAGATGCTACGGCGCTGGGCTAAATCCGAACATATTTCCCTGGAGCCTCTACGATTCGCGGTTCTCAGGTGCCTAACTGTCATGGCCTGGCGGTCACGACTTGGTACATAATGGGGATCCTGCTGAAGTTTCCTTCTTTCATCCAGTGACAGTCCTATTACGGAGCGCTCTTGCCGGATCCTGTGCTATTCTATAGGCTGGTTCAAGGAAGATCCGGTACTAACGGATGCGTACGAACAAAGGCGGCCGCGAAATTCTTGGAAACCGAAGATGATCTCTGCCGGGAGGTATCGTATCTTCGCGACATAAGCTCCATCCTCTACTAGTCCCGTCTATCTAACTCGTTCGCTTTACATGTGAGTCGGATGCCTTCGTAGGTATGCGCCGATGGCTGATCAGAGGAGTGAGGTAGTTTGCTATGCCGTCTGAAACTGTCGCTGCTTCCACGGACGATGCTCGTGCCTCAGCGAATGGCGATGGTTACAACGTTCAAAGCGTGAAATCTGCGCTCAAGGGCGTCAAGTGCACGATGCGACGGCTCCTCATGACGATATGTAGGTAGTCGTGTCTTTTAAACGCTTCGCGCCTCAACCCCGCCTCCCCCTTGTACAGCCAGATGGTGCAGCACTTGCACGAGATTGAGTGCCTAGGCGGTTCCAAGGGCTTCAACAAGTGGCTCGCCGAGGCGAAGCCTCTCCCTATGCACGTCGACACCGGCACTTTCACGCAGTACATGCCTTGCAACGTCACCGTCGAAGGATCAGTACTCCACACCTCCTTCCAGGTTTCTTCGGGATTCGGGGTTCCTTAATCTACGATCTGCACAGTATTCGGTGCGGGGAAGCATGGGGGGTTCAAGGCCCATGTTTTCTACAGCTCTTGGGACGACTTGCTCGGGCATGATGTAGAGTACTCTGTCGTCGCTGGTTCTATCCACTTCGGGGGCGCCACCATCAATTTCTTCTATGAAGAGGAACTCAAGGCTCAACTGACGATCGGATCAAACTACACCGGGCTTGCCAGCGGCATGGGCCGTTGCACCTGGGTGTGAGTTCTTGCTTTACAGTCATAGCAGACGACATCTGATGCCGCAGGAAATCACCAGGACTTGAGCGGCTGCTTCGCAGCATTTTGTGTCGTCTGTGTGTTCTTCGCGGAATGGTTGTTGATGCGGACAGCATTGACAAAATCGGAGAGTCCACTTGAACGCATCGCTGTAACATTCGAGTTCGGATATATATTGGGAATATTGGGTGTTGCTACTCAGTATCAACTAGCGAGCAGGCAAGATGTCGGGCGTCCATCATAGCCTGCGGGAGAGTACTCATCGAATTGCCGCCGTACCAACATGTAAACGAATACTTCTGCTACAGCTGCACCTGATTGGAAGTGGAGACCTCAATGTTGCATACCGTCAAATGAGGACTCGCCAAGCCTGACCAGGTTTCAGCCAGTCAGATTCCCACTGCAAGACGGCCATCTTACCGTGAAGGAACAACTGTTTACGGTCGACGTCGTAAGCAACCGAGGTTACTCCAGGGGCGAGTTCGCCATCGTCCTCGAAAATCTGCAGAAATGTCAGAAGCGCGCTACTATATGCTCACGTGAAAAAGCTCCCCTTCTCAATCTTATACTTCTCGCCGAAGTAAGCATCACGTCCGGTGTTGAGTGATATACGCAAAGCCGAAGAAGGTGCGATTATGGAAGGATCTTCGAAGTGCTTGAACACTGTCTGGAGACAATTGACGGTGCCTGATGAACAAGGTTAGATACCTTCGGCGGAAGCTCGATCGTCATGATACGTACCAGATGCCCATAGATAACCATTTTCATCCACGACCAGATTGTCAATGGGATAGTCTGCACCTTGAGTGAGACAACAACTCTGCAGTGGGATGTGGGTATGCCCGTCATACCTGGCTTAATAAGGTCGGTTACTACCAATGAATTGTCCGCCTGTTTCTCCAGCACCCGAATCTCAGGGTGTCTGTCGTTCGCAACGTAGAAGACGTCGTGCTTGTTACGCGCAATTCCGTTTGCTCCCGGGAGATTCTGCACCGCGAATCTGCAACCTTCGTCGAGATGGCAATAGCCCACAGATGCCGCAAATTTGAAGCGCCAGTGCTCAAGATGACGAGTCTGATTGCTGATCAGCAGAGCACCGCGCAGATGCAAAACAGAACCTACCAGAGATGTCTTGGAGCCGTGGTCATTGGTGAACCAGAAGCTTTTGCCGTCAGGACTCCCCACGAGGTCATTAGGCGTTACGATCACTGGGTCCTCGACGGTTGCAACGTGTACCATCGTTGACCCTCCTACCGACGTGCGAAAAATCTCCACGGACGAATCGGCGCCAACCTGGTTGGCGTCTTGGCCATCGTGAGGCGCCCTATGGTTGACGACATACACAAAGAGTTGTGATGGATCTGTAGAGGACGGAACCACGTCCATTCCGTGTACCGATAGACCACGGGGAGACTCAAAACCAGTGATGCTCAAGCGCGTAACTTTCCGCGCAGGGGGATCGTAAACAGCAACATAATCCTGATCGTTCATTCCTGAAGCATTGAAGTGGTTCACCGTAGGCATCCATTGAACCCTGCTTGCCGGCGTGGAGCACGCCAAATAGACAGATCCCGATGGTTGGTGCAACACCAACTCTGCCGCGAATTACTCGGTTAAGTACGTTTAATCAGGAGTTGGAGAGCGATAAGTACTTTCGCATGCTTGAACATCAGGGACAGTGTGACAGTCAGTGTTTCCTTTAGGTTCAACGACCCGCCCCAGACCGAAACCGGTAATGATAGGTTTGAAGTGAACTTGATAGATGCCAAGGAGGATGGCGAGGGCGGTTAAGCCAACGGTGACGGTGGCCCCTGTCATACTTGCCAGCGTGGAGTACGTATACAAGGCCGTGGACAATGCCAAGACTTAGCGACAGGTGCGCAACAATCTGAACCAAGCAGCTGGCGTAAGAGTCAGAGGCCCGCGCGCGTCATGTATTTATACTGAGCAACTGCTTGGACTGCATTTGAACGGCGAACGTCGAACCCTTCACCACGAACCCGATCATTTTCGGTGCAGTACGAGGTCACGCAGCAGAGCGTATTTCCGCGCTGCATGGATGGTTGCTGCACCTTGCAACTACTGTAGCAGAAGAAAAGACATCTTCATGCTCTGGTAAGATGTATTGTCCTGTTCGTACATACCACCCAAGGAGTGGTCGAGTCAACGTCGGCGACACTAGCAGCACCTGTATTTGTCGAATTCCAAGAACATGTGTGAATCTGCGCGAAGAGAAAACACCGCTACATGATTGTACATCCTTCGTCGCGGTCAAGCCGACCCGCGATTTCGTCAGTCCCAAGGGCGCCAGGTCTATTGGCGCCCCGTCCATCGAGGTGGACAATGAGCACGCCAGAGTTTTGCGGGTCCAGTTCAGTGATGAGCTGATGCCTACGGAGAATCAGGTTAGTGATAAGCAAAAGACCGATAGAGACAGTTCAAGCATACTTGACCATGAGCTCCTCGATGGCGGGTTTGAGTTTCGCGGCATGACCTCTGGAATGTAATCCCTTTCCTGTCTAACTGTTAGGGTCGGCTCTCAGAAAGATCAAATCCAGGCATACCAACGATGAGGTGAATCTCCCCGTCTCCGCGCTGACGGGCTTCCTGTACAGCCCGGTCGGTATAGCTGATAGCCTCCTTGACGTAAAGTCCGTGTAAATCGACTTCTCCAGGTTGGCTGTCCTGCAGCGAAGAAGTGTAAACAATATGCAAGTCAGGTCGGTGGACGAGAAGGGCGAACCTTATTGTTCTCTTGTGTGATGGACCCGTACCAGATCATCAGCGGAATCTCAACTGGCATATCTATGTCGCGTACCGACGAAAATCCACTCGCTTGCCTTGTGGTTGAGTTCCTCCATCTTCGCTTGGTGGGCCTTCCCTTTGTTCGACAGTTCCTTCGCCATAGCACCGTCCCCTCTCGAGTACGCTTCGTGACTTTCTTGGAACGCGCGCGACATCTGATCACCCTCCTCGTTCGCTTCGGCACGAAGAGCCATGTACTGTTCATTGTGTTGGTTTACTTGGTTTTGGTCCTGTGGTGCATAATCCAGACGTGTTGTCGCAGGCGAGAGCGACTGATGCAGTCACGTACAACATAGTGGTGGCCAGCACGCTGTTCTTCGTGCCGTGGAGGCGAATGTAGAGGGGAGGCAGTTCCCGAGTGATATTGATTCTGGGGACGCTCCTGCTGCTGTTCTTGAGCGTGCTGCGTCCGCTCCTGAGGTCTGGACGGGCTCCGGTCGTCCTCATGTCTCTCATGCTTGCCATGGTGCTTCCTATGGTGAGTTTCCACAGGTAGAAATCCCTCTTGTTGAGAAGCAGCTCCAGACGGTGATTGCGCTGCTTGCGCATAAGTATGAGGCTGTTGAGGGGGTGGAGATTGCGGTTGTTGCTGAGGGGGCGGGTAAGCTTGCGGTTGCTGTTGAATAGGCTGCTGAGGATAGTGGCCTTGTGAGGGCTGCTCGGCACCGGACTCCTCCTTGGAGCTGGACGAGCCGCAGACAATCCGGAGGATTGCACCAAGAAGACTACCGAGGCCGCCCATGACAAACCAGCGAAGAGGTAATGAAGCAGTCGAAGGAGTGCTCTAGCGACCTATGGGTCGCGTTGGCCATTTTGTCGTAGTCGGTTGAAGCAAACCTGCGGTCGCAGACGCGAAGATGAGAACGGCACTGGGCGCTTCACATACCGACATCGGGAAAGGGTACCCATAAAATTATCGTACTACATACAAGATGAGAAGGTATACCCTGATAGGGTTGCTTCTCCCACTACAATTCCATCCCGACGAGTACATATGCTGCGTCAACCTCGAAAGGCGGCTTAGTGACGACAGTGCCGCCCACATACATCAGCGAGTGAAGTAGCTCGCCAAGAGCAGGTGATGAACGAGGCAACGCAATGACGAGAGCAGAACACTCAAGGCGTTCGTCAGCCAAATCGAGGAGAGCAACAATACTGCAAAATATAATCTTAGTGCACAATGTCTTGCAAACGTGTGCATAACATACCTCTCTCGCAAGTTTACATTCTCCGCGCTTTGACCATCAACATAGAGCGTCTTTGGCTGGCCAGGAAGATTGAGCACCACACCGTCGAATGCGGCGCCGAGGTTTGGCGCTGATATGGAGACGCTTTTGGCGTATGGTAAAGCGGTAAGGCCGTTGCGCGGGAAAAGGGCAGTCAGGAAATCGAGCGCTGCATCCTTCTGCTTGGCGCTGATCGCTGCTACGCTGCCTCCACCCTCGCCATCGTATGTATTCTCCGGAGTCAACGGGGGCGTGGCGAGCTGCATCCGGCTTGACATTGACTTGGGAATCGCTATGGCAGAGGTAGGCGGCACAGACGTCGGGAAGGCCAGCGGCTCGACGTCCGCACCTGCCTCTGCGTGCTCCAGAGGAGGGGTGGGAGGATAGACGATATCTCTTGGGAAATGGACGGGCGCGGGCGGCGTTTGAGGAGAAGTAGATTCAAGCGGGAACGGAGAGGCGGAGAAAATCGGCGCCGGACTGTCTGTCACCCAGTCCGACGACCCTCTGTCAGGAGGGCATTTCGCTTTGGGGGCGTCAAAAACGCCACTGTAACAGACGTATGAGCGATGGCGTTCGACAAGATGAGCTGCGATGAATACTCACCCCGGGCCCGCCAGAGAAGGTAGTGGAGTAGTAGTAGATATCGTCTTCGCCCTGGAGGTGGCAGACGGCAAGGACACTGTCAGCGAGGAAAGCCCCATCCCCAACGGCGTGACGGCCGTTGCTGCATCATCCGGTGAGTGTTTGTTTTCCGACCCGCGAACTATCGCACTTACGTGGGGCAAAGACTAGATATCGGTTTGTTGGAATTTAACATCGAGAAATTCGACATGAGGTGCCAACTTGATCTGATATGCTGTTAGGTGTTGAGCTGGTGGAGAGTTTCTAACAAGCAGCTAAAGCGGCTGGATGAGCAAGAGGCTAGTAGTGAGATATCAGCGTCTGCTTTCAACTGGAGAACGGATCATGCGCTTGCCGATCGAAGTTCGGGACGATGAGCAGCGACGTGCGCGCGGGCAAGAGTCAGCAAGCAAGCGGGCCTCATGGCATGGAACATATAAATCTCTCCATCGATCACGTAAGCCGGGGTCCACCGGACCCACGCCACCCTCATTCACACAAGTAATTAACTGGCCTATTGCACATGCGCTCAATTTATTTCTAACGTCGTAGTTGAGCCTAAGGTCATTATATCATCACCACGCAATACGCGTAGCTGTGGATGAAAGTATGAGTAGATGCCAAGCTTGGCCCGGAGGACTGTCGGAAGAATCGATCTAATCTGGAATGGAGTAATTCTGATAAGTGTTGACTATACGTAAACTGGGGGAGTAATTCCTGATTTGGACTTATCGACGCCAAATCTAGTGTGGTACTCTCTACACTGCTCGTCGACGCCGACAACCCGCAAGACTCAAAACTGTGCGTATCCTGATGCTATAATGGTCTTTGAGTGTATGCTGGGACGCTGTGAATGGGATGGAGGCTGGATCGGATTGCTCATTGCGATGGATCGCCGCTGTTAGAGTCGGATGAGCTTCATGTACTGACATCCGATACCACAGCTATTCCCGGCATCACGATGGCTGACTCTGGACGCGGACGCGGAGGATTCGGACGTGGACGTGGTGGTGATCGCGGCCGGGGGCGCCGTGGACCTCGCCGTGGCGGTCGCAAAGACGAGGAGAAGGAGTGGTGCGTACAACAGGCGCCGTACGGAGTTAACATCAAATAATATTCTGTGACGAACACAGGGTTCCCGTCACCAAGCTGGGTCGTCTCGTGAAGGACGGGAAAATCAAGTCGATGGAGGAGATTTACCTCTTCTCGCTTCCCGTCAAGGAATACCAAATTGTCGATTTCTTCCTCCCCAAGCTCAAGGATGAGGTAATGAAGATCATGCCCGTGCAAAAGCAGACTCGTGCCGGCCAGCGCACGCGTTTCAAGGCGTTCGTCGCCATCGGTGACTTTGACGGTCACGTTGGTCTTGGTGTCAAGTGCGCGAAGGAAGTTGCAACAGCGATCCGCGGCGCCATCATCCTCGCGAAGCTTTCCGTCATCCCCGTCAGGAGAGGTTACTGGGGTGCCAAGCTCGGTGACCCCCACACTGTCCCCTCAAAAGTCAGCGGCAAGGTCGGCTCCGTCATGTGCCGCCTTATCCCTGCTCCTCGTGGTACCGGTATCGTCGCCGCCCCGGCGTCGAAGCGTATGCTTCAGCTTGCCGGCGTTCAGGACGTGTACACTCAGTCGAAGGGTTCGACTGCGACTATGGGCAACTTCTTGAAGGCGACCTTCGTTGCCGTACGTACTCGTTCCATTCGAATGAGGCCCCCGTTTCACGTTCTTTGCAGATCACGAAGACCTACGCCTTCCTCACTCCTGATCTCTGGCGTGAGATCCCGGTGTCGAAGCTGCCCTACGACGAGCACAGTGCGCACCTTCAGCTCACCGCGGGCAAGAAGGCCTATTAGGTCGTCGATTCCGCTTTGGTTCCATCATGTATTCTCTGTTGCCGAATTTTCACTCACGTCCCCTGCGGTGGGATGTCAACCCATTATTCGTGTGGTGGATGCAGAGTTATCGTCAACTACACCCACCACCACAGATCGATAGTTCCTGACAACCGAGCCACCCCATACCCATCGATAGATCCCATGTCTCGCTTGAAGACATTCAGTAAGACGATCATGCGCGCTCGCTGTGTGGAACCTTGGTTAGAGCAATATGCGAAATCCGATGACCGGTTGCGCGCATCCTGCGCGGACGAGTGAGCAGGTGGTCATGCTTGAAAGTCCAATGAACCTCAGCCGCATCTGCATCCCGTACGTTTGCTTCCGCCTTCCCGATATGGCGTGCGGCTTCTCAGAAGCATTCGGAAGTTTCTTTCGAATGCTGTGTCACAAGCTTGATTTACATTTCGAATAGCCGAGAACAGTCTTCTTCTGTTTGCTATGATGTGAAGGTATACGTTACTGACGCCAGTGATTTCGTCAACGTTGTAGAAAGTGGCATCGCTCGAGGTATATAACTGTCCTTGGGGCGAGTTATGGAGACCAACTCAATCGTAACGCATATCTCCACACATTAAGTCCTCTCAACAACGACCTGACCATGTCGCTCTCGACTTTCTGGTACGAACCCGTCATCAGCGTATCCGACTTCGACCGTCTCTTCGAAGAGGCGTTCAATGCACGCACGGCCGGCAACGGCGGCGAAGTCCAGCACTCGTCAGGCGGAGCATCTAGTCAAGTTCGTCCAAGGTATGCGATCATCCGCTTGTACATAGTTTAAGAGTGAGCAGCTAACCGAAGCGTTCCAGAATGGACTTGCACGATAACAAGGAAACCAATACTGTCACTGCGACATTCGAGCTTCCTGGCTTGAAGAAAGAAGACGTCAGTATCGAAGTGCTCAACAATCGGCTCACCGTCTCCGGCGAGAGCAAAACCTCGAGCGAGCACGACGAAAACGGCTACACTGTGCGCGAGCGGCGGTTCGGCAAGTTCTTGAGGACGCTCCCATTGCCACAAGGAATCAAGGACGGCGACGTCAAGGCGTCGATGGAGAACGGTGTGTTGACGGTGACGTTCCCGAGAACAACACCAGAAACCGCCCCCAAGAAGATCAACGTCGCCTGAGTTAATAAACACATGTACGGGCATTCGTTGATCAACGTTGCTGGCAGTCCAATGTATTCTGAATCAATAAGTCTGCGATCGAACAGCGTTATGCGTATGAAATATTCCCCGAACCCCTTACAAGACATGGGGTGATCTGCATTGTCAGCCAGTATTCTTCTGGGCCAGGCTTCGAGATAGGGTATCACTCGCCAACAGCGAGGTTGATGCACGTTGATGTCCCAAGCAGTTAGAAACAAAGATGTGCATGACTTGACATGGAATGAAAGCGGTAAGTGTTCACGTGGTCATTGGATCGGAGTGACCTTTGTCTGTCACGGTCGTCGTCGACGTCCGACGCTTGGTGATGTTGCACATCCCTCGGCGATGTCAACAAAGTATTCTGTTTCAGACATACGGATGCGCAAGAAGATATGGTTCAAACGCGCCGAATCCCTACCCATGGCCAGCTCACAGACATCCAACGCCTCACCAAATCTTCCATCTTCCCCCTGCTGCGTCCGAGAGCGACATCAAACAACGATGTACGCCATGCAACCCTCAGGAGGAGTCTGACTGAAGCCTAGCTTGTCTCCCGTAGACTATGACCTGGTACGAATCTATCACCCTGATTCACCAGCTTCCCGATCTGTTCCGCCAGAGACTGCGCAAGAGCGTTTCCATCTCATCAGCGCCGCGTACGATGCCCTCCGGGGAAAGCCTGCAGAAGCATTCCTGGCGCAAGAGAACGCGTCTGCAAGGCGAAACTATAACAAGCGAGCTGAAATATGGAGATCCCGCCCGGAACTGAATCCCCAGCTAGACGATAGGTGGAAGGATAGGACAATCATCGCTCTCATTGTCATAGTAAGCAAAATAATTCCCTCTTTATACGGTGTCTATACGCTTTCTACTCGCCAGGGTGTTGTCGCATTCGTCGGGCAGGCGGCTTATGCTCGAAGTAAAGCGGTCTCCAATGCCATGAAGAATAAAGCGTCCGAGGGATCCAAAACTTCAAGGCTTGCAGACTCAGCTTTGGAAGCTTCCTCAACATCGACGCAGGCGCGCGGGTAGCAACCAAGTACTATGCGCCACGGAAATGCTTTCGGTCGAACTACGCTTTGCTACGGGCTCGCCGGGACCATCATAACGACGCCGAACCGCTCTGCGGCCGATACGACGGGCGCCTATCTCCCTGTCCCGGTTCCGGAACGGCAGCAGTATAATAGACCTATGATCGGTGAGCAATGATCCGAGTCATTGTCGCATTCGATCTCGGCCACAACCAAGAGCCCAGCGAAAATGAAGCGGCGAGCGCGTTACGAATGGTATACTATGGACCCACCTGATATATGTACCATTTTGGCGCCTCAAGCATCCCACAGCACCTCTGATAATTTAATACTTGGTACATATCAGAGTAGGGGTATCATCTCAACATATCCGAGATATTTAATTATCTGAGTGAGAGGAGCAGTCTACGCAAATCGCGCAGGCCGATACACAATGCTTATTAATAGATTTCTGACCGGCATCCCTCTGGCAGAATAAGTTCTGCACCGTGCTCTTAATGGCTTCAGACTATGACTGAACATGTACATGGCTAATGGCTATCTATGTGTGAATCCAATAAAGGTTTGAGCAAGAATTGAAGGAGAGCGGACAGAAGTGAAACGGATGTTTCACATCAGGTGGATCCATACTGTATGTCATATCTCATGCGATTACATGGAATTTGATTTCACCGCCTCTCCCCTGCTTTCCACGTATGCCCTTGGTCTGTGTTGATCCATCACCCCGTACGCTCACACGCGGCGGCCTTTCACCTGCTTCGTCAAAGATGGATTCCTACGCAGCCCTGCAGAGCTCAAGTCGGTGTTACTTACAACCCGCCTTTCGAACGCACAGTCGAGGCCAAGTTCGAGCCATGGCTTTGGCTGTGGCCGATAGCTGGTGCCTCTCTTCATCGCCGCTCTCTTCGCCGAGCGGCTTCGTTTCGGACGGCGGGGCGCGCGTAATCTTGATGGTTCCTAGACCTTCCCGTTCCAAGCGACGGTTGCGCCGCGAGCCTCGGACGGCCTGAGAACCTGCTGAGCTCTGCGATAATCGGCACCGGCCCAGGGCGCTCATATAATGCGCCTACCACGGCAAACGATGAGGAAAGCTCTTAGGCGGCCTTTTCGCGCTAAACCCTCCTTTATTCATCATCCCGAGCGTACGCTAATATGCCGCAGCTCTCGCATACGCCGACGTCGCCCAACTTCAAGCGGGGTGTCACATTCTGGGGCACCGTCGGCGCGGTGATGACTGCGCTGCACATCAAGGACAAGTTTGACGAATGTGAGTGCACCGCAGCTAGTCACAACAGACGCAGAAAGTTGACCTTGGGTTTCTCAGACCGACAAGTCTCCTCGGAAGAAGACGATGAACTTGGGCGGGTAGCATTGTCGACGCCGACTGGAGCGCCTCCGCGCTACAGAGATGGCGACGAGGAGGCCCAGGAGGCTCTCCTTAATACGGATATTCCTTCTGCGCGCCAGAAGAGGAAACGTCAGCCGGGATGGTGCGTCTGCTGTGGTCTGAAGTAGGTGTTCGATGAATTATCAGGACATGGCTCATGCTGACACTTGACCACGTCAGCTGCGGCCTTTTCTGCAAAGCCCTCGGCATCACTGTACTCCTCTTTCTGATATTCGGGGCCGTCAAACTCATCATCTGGGCTGTAAGCGTGAGTATCTTTTGTCTCAGTCTCAGTTCCTTCAACTCAGGTTTCTCCAGCCTCAAGAGACTGGTCTGGATGGCATGCCCGTCTTCGGAACATCTCTCGGATGCTCGGGCAAGCAAGCGCCCTACATCTACAACTACGACACTCAGCGCTACCATATCCCCATCGGCACTGAGAAAGCTGACCACATGCTCGACCTCCGCGGCGACGCCGTCGGCACACTCACCATCGCTCAAGGCGCGGAGGATGCCACCCACGTCGTCTTCGAGATGACCCTCCGTTCGAACAATGCCGACATTCTGAAGGACGTCAACGTGCACATACCCACAGCCGATGGCCCCGAAGGGACCACTTCCGATAGCCGCGCCGTCCTCTCTACCCCGGCCTTCTCGCACAGCATCACGGACGCATGCATGCGATACGACGCGACGATCTACGTCCCGCCGAACCTCCAGCGCCTCCACGTGAAGACGCACACACTCTCGCACGTCCAGTTCGCACCGGACGCCACCGGCCTCGAACTCGACACGCTCTTCGTCACGATGTACAAGATGAGCAGGGACAACATCCTCGCGCCGCACGAGAGCGTGAAGGCCAAGCGGCTGGGTCTCGAGGTGTACCGCGGCTGGATCGTCGGCGAAGTGTCCATCCTTGACAAAACGACGGTCACGACGCAGCGCGGCGACGGCATCGTCAACGTGCACGCCGTACCCGTCCATGGATCTCACGCCGAGCACGACGGACCCGCGTCGTTCAGCACGGTCACGGGCTTCGGCAGGACGGATGTCCGCTACCTCTCGAGCAGCCCTCACCGTGCGGTCAACAGCGAGCACCTCGTCCAGGGCCGTGGCGACACCTACCTCCACTACGAGGGTGCGTCCTTCAACGGCCACTTGGACGTGCGGGCGAAGTCGTACACCGCCAAGGGCGTACAGGGCCTGATGAATAACGATGCCTATGTCGGCAACAAGGACGGCCAGGACAAGCTGTCTGTGTCATCCCCCAGCGGATGGGTTGGCCTCTACTTCCAGTGATTTATTGGGCGATTCTATTTATTGGAACAAACACTCTTTGTGAATTGTATAGTATATTCTGGGTATTGGTGGGTGAGACCGGTGTCGATCCCTCGTCCATATGCTTCGTACAATACAAGATGGCTGCTCTTACTACTGTCGAAATAGTCATGAAATGCATCAATAGTGGCAGCGTATACTGTGGCGTGCGCACGGGGGAATTGTTACATATCTCACGCTAGTTTCGTATCCGGTTGATGCATAGTAGACGGTTTGGCAACAATCGACGAAACGTGCACAGATACTCTGCATTTTGGCTCCGATCAGAGGGCGAGCGCAGCAATCGCTACCAGTGCGGCGACGATCGTTACGGTTTTCCTTTGCGAGCTTGTTGTCGTGAGCGCCTCGCTCGTACTCGTAGAATTCGATCCGCTCCCTCCCTTCTTCTTCGCGCCAACGCCGTTGCCGTCCGTCCCATTGAGCAATATGGTGGTCACTTGCACCGCGGCGCCGCCGTCGGGGAGGAATCCCTCGTATATCCCCAAGGTGTTCGTTGCATTAGTTGAATTCAGGCCGCACGCGGTAGAGAAGTCGCCGTACAGCGATTCACGCGCGGCGATGAAGGACTGGAAGTCCGCTAGCGGGCAGGAACCGTCTGGCCCGCTTGCACAGTCTAAACCGCGATGGGTAAGCCGCGTCCTCGACCTCCGCATTGCTCGTGGCACGTACCAGGAAGCGGGATAGTGGCCGAGTTTACCAACGTCCTAATGTAAGTTCCGCTCGTGTTGTGCCCGACGGCAGTCGCGTCGCACTCCATGCGCTCCAATGCTACATTCGCCAGGAACGGCAATATCTCTGACGTCTTCCATGCGCGCTCGTAGTTGATGCGGTTGGTCGGCATCGACGCGTTTGAGGTATTGAAGAGGCCAAGGGCGGTTACGATGAACGGAGGCTCTATAGAATTCGCCATGTATAAGTGAATGTACCTTGCAGGTCGAGCTGGGATGACATACCTTCGCGATGTGTGAAGCTGATCCAAAGGTTCTGTGTATCAGCACTCGAGTTCGCGTTCGTTTGGGTCGTGTTAGCCGTTCCAGAGAGCAGACGGGCCGAAGCCGAAATCCAGGGCATGCCCAGCACCGGGGCGAATTCGTTTCCGTAACCGAGCGAGCGGTGATACATCAGGTCGTTCGCTGTAGGCACAGCGTCAGCTTCGTGCATTCGCATGTGCGTCAGAATGCCGCACTAACCGTACTCAAACGCCAACCACTCGTCCTCGCCAAATATTTTACAGAATCCACTGGTCTGGTTTCTGATGACGGTGTCGTACCCGCACAGACTCTGAGCTGCGTATACGTCATCGTTTGTCCAGTTAAACGAAGGCGTGAGCTGGTTCAGGCGAGAGGCGATGGGAGGTGTATAGATCGCGATGAACCTGTCCTGCTCAGTAGAGCCGGCGTCCGAGTCATAATCTTCACAGGACTCCTATAAAACGCCAATTTAGCTTGAGAAATAGAGACGATGATTTTCGATTGCTCACATGTGGAGTGAGGGTATTCGCGGCTTGTTCTTCTCCTTCTTCGACAACGATCAGGGAGACATCAGAGAACGTCGTATTGAAACCTTCTACGAAAGCACGAGCAGTATCCTATATGCAAACAAATCTCATAAGCACCGGCATATCCTGTGTCATGTCCAAAAACTCGCTTGATCTCTGGAAGCGTCCGCTGTCCACACTTTGAACTGGCCGCTCCCATTCACACTGAGGATGCTTTCGTGTCTTTGGGCGATCAGTGCTCCCAACGCTGCGGCATCTGCCTTTCCGAGGTCTGTCACCTTCTCAATCTGCTCATCAGGATCCGTATACGGGCTCGTCCAGTTCGCAAGGAAGGCGAGTGCCGAATCTCTTGTGAAGACATCCCGGTCTGTGAAGTTGCCAAGCTTCTCGATGAACGGCGACAGCGTGTTCTCGTATTCCCAATCGTTGGCGTAGATGTCCGAGTGCCGGATGAGGTAGGTCGCTCGGGTGACGTTGCAACCGGTGGGCACGGCGGCGGTAAGGCCAACTCCGGGAGAGCTGAAGTACGGCGAGTCGCCAGACAAGTCTAGACAAACCTGAGATGAAGGAAAACAATGACGAATGGGGCTCACGGTGCAGAACGCTGAAGTCGTCTGAACTTTCGTCGTCGGGTACTACTTGTCTGACGCGGTGTGGGACGGTCACGCGGTCCACTCGTCGAACATTTTCCACTGGGATGGTGCCGGAACGCTGCAGGTAAGCTGATGGGTAGCACGAAACGTGGGCCGTAAGTAGGACAACTGCGAGCAGAGATGCCAGCCTGCACATCGCGATAACAACACGACGGTTTCGCGAGGACCACGGTGGTTGTGGTCGTCAAACTAGCTCGTACGTTGCACGTCGGGTGGTTTATGTACGTGCTGCGAGCCTGGTGATTGCATCATAGGCTCGCGTTGACCTCCAGGTTGCGACGAAGCGCGTGAAGAGGGGATAGCTCCGTTGACGGATCAAAATGACGTCTTTCCGGACGACCTCGACATCGCAGGCTGTTAGCAATGGCCGGCTCATGATCACACAGAGTAATTGTAGACGCCGAAAAGATCCCGGTCAATGGCTTGACGAATGAATTAAATCCTGTAGAGTGAAGACGATAGTCGGTCGTCAAGCCTGCCGGAGGCGATGTGATCACTTGTGACAGTCACGCGGCGTCATCCACCTCATTCGCGGAGTCGGACTCGGAAACCTCCCCGCCGAAATTTCGTCAGCCACCTCCGAGTCCTTCGTCGGGGCAGCCTGACCTCGCTGACACATACCTCTGTTCCTGCTTACTACCACAAAATAATGCTGCGCTCACTGTCCCGACTGCCTCTCCGGCGATGCATGCAGACAACTGCGCGTCAGGCGCAACAAATACCGCGCGGGAACCAAGGCGCGTTGGTGCTTGTCGGTACCGCTGCAGCCGGCGCGTACCTTGCATGGAGGACAACGTCGGGAGCAAACAATGTTGCGCTTGATGCGGAGGAGACCACTGGTAGGTTGTATACCCTTGTCTTGTCGTAGGCATACCATGAGCGACCGCCCGCAGCCCGTCGGCCGCTCTCCACGAAGGCAGTCAGCTCTGGACCCACCATCACCCCTGCGTCATCTCAAAAGCCAAGATCGAAGGCTCCAGCCCAACCAACGGCGTCTGAACCAGCCGTGATCACGGAAGAGTTCGTCGCGGAGGAAACCATGACCCCGTCCGACTCTTCCTCTGCCTCCACTGCACCGGATACTACCGCCGAGGAGGCGCAAGGCGAGAGTCCCTCCTCCGGCGGCGCCTACAACCCAGAGACCGGCGAGATCAACTGGGATTGCCCCTGCCTTGGCGGCATGGCCCATGGACCGTGTGGCCAGCAGTTCCGCGACGCATTCTCCTGCTTCGTCTTCTCAGAGGAGGAGCCCAAGGGTATCAACTGCGTCGAGAAGTTCAAGGCGATGCAAGACTGTTTTAGGGAGCATCCGGATGTATATGGTGAAGGTGCGTGCTTGCTTAATATGTTCATGACGTGGTCGGTCTTAAGTGACCGCGAACAGAAATCATGAACGACGACGACGACGAACTTGACGCACCTGCGCCTGCTGGGGGACAGGATCAGCAACCTGAAGCCACTGTTGGTTCTGTATCATTATCACCGGACGCAGCAATACTTTCGTCGTCCACATCCACCGGCACAGGTTCACCATGATGCAGCATTAGACAGCATGTACCGTATCTTATCTCCTGTTATAATGCTCAGCTCTACCTCTACTCGCACTCCAGGTTCCATTTGCCCAGGGTTTGTCGGCCTTGCCAGCTACTCCACAACCTATAAACACTAGGATGTGTTCATTACACGAGGTGATTACAATATCACGAACAAGTCGCATAACACAACGATACAGTTGGCTTGGCCTTTCACGCCGCAGTACGAACCCATCCTTGAACAAGTCCTGAAAGGTCCTCGCTTCTGTACTCGTGAGTGCCAATCGCCCACCGGGGTCCGTCTAAGACTTGCAGGGTCTTGTCAAGATGTTGCCTATCCAGTGCTTTAGGTCAATACCCCTTACAAGCATTGTGGGGGTTGACATACCCTTCCTCGGCAAGCATTCGAGCCAGTCGTTTTGTCACGACCCGCAGGCCCTCCTGAACGGTCTCGCTCTCGGTCCTCTGCCCGGATGCTAAAGCATTGCATTTCCTCGACCATGCCCACGCAAAGACGGCGAGGAACTCCCCGTGGCGCATGAGCAGCCGGTCCGCAGTCCAGTGGACGAACTGTTCGACGTGATCCAACCTTATGTCGCCTGGCTCCCGCACCACTTCAGGATTTGGCACCGGCCATGGTATCTCGGCAAAGGAGATGTCACGATCTACGGGGCCAACGCGCTGCAGCCCTCCACCTCCGAGTGAATGTGTCCCATGCTTCGTCAACGACTTCCTTTCGTGCGGTTACGGGAAGATATTGGGGTCCTTTGGTGGTTGTTCCGTTCATACTTGGTGGTCCAGTTGGCGGATTTACTTGGAAGGGCGACGTGTGATACCGACCGGAGCACTTGAGCGGTTCGCTTTATAGGGGGGTCGCCGCCTGGTGCGGACCTATTTATCCGTTCACGCAGGAGGTCTGCGCACAAGGCGATGCTACGACGCCTATTCATCCGAGTCAAGCTGCCTTTGATACGCGTAAGTGCCGTTTTGTTCTGTCTCGTTACGCGCGCATGCCAAGGTATAGTTTCGACAGTGGGTGTCGCGCTGCGGGTTGCGCTTTGGACAGCATCCATTTGTTTGTCCGAATCTTCCGTGAATGGCCTTTCTGCCGATGACACGTGATAAACCTTTTCCAGGTCCTGATTCTGAACAATACCGCAGTAACGACGGTAAAATAAAACATACGAACTGTCTGCAGGATCCCGCGACGGTGTAACGACCCTGCAGCGTAAACAACTTCGGATACGCTTGTTTGGTTTCGTCCCAATTTGGTACTCAACGCCGCGCTATGATAGACAGCGTGGGAACCGAAGCCACTCGAAATTTCGACCGCCTTCCAGCCTCCCGTCCAGACCACTTTCAGTCTCCAGAAACGGCACTTTGCACGCATCCTTGCGTCAGCGTAGGGTCCCATGACCTCTCATTACTATCTCGAAACTTCACGGAACGTACAGTGTCAACTGTATATAAAGGCCCTGCCCACGACGACTCAGCTCAAGAACAAAACACAACAAACAAACAAGCACCTCGCCGCATCCGAATCGACTCCTCATCATCATGTCGCTCTCCCGCTTCTGGTACGAGCCCGTCTTCACCCCCTCTGACTTCGACCGTCTCTTCGATGAGGCTTTCAACGCGCGAACGGGCAACGGCAACACCGGTGGCGATCTCCAGCGCTCGCGCGGCACATCTGGTCCCCTTCGCCCAAGGTATGCAACCGTCGCCTCCGCTGATCTCTCGATAACGGTGCTGACCGCCGCTTCATAGGATGGACCTGCACGAAAACAAAGACTCCAACACCATCACCGCAACGTTCGAGCTTCCGGGCCTTAAGAAGGAGGACGTGAGCATCGACGTGCACAACAACCGGCTGACCGTCTCGGGCGAGAGCAAGATCTCGAGCGAACACGACGAGAACGGGTACGCGGTGCGCGAGCGGCGGTTCGGCAAGTTCTCGCGCTCGCTACAGCTCCCGCAAGGTATCAAGGACGGCGACATCAAAGCGTCGATGGAGAACGGTGTCCTGACGGTCACGTTCCCCAAGTCCTCGCCTGAAGCCGCGCCGAAGAAGATCAGCATTGCATAATTCCCTCGCCATCATGGAACGCACCTGTACCCAACAACGGAAGTGTATCGATAGTCATGTAACATATAATCAAACAATTATACAAACAGCCAATTGATCACACAAACAGTCAATTGATCCCTGTACATGATGCCTGTGGGTTTGAATGACTACTAGTTCTGTCAAACACCCCTGCTCATAGAAGTCTCAATCCATTGTAGTAAACAAGAATTCACAACGGGTGGTCGTGTTACTGACATCCTCACTCACCCTGATCTGGTACGCGGGATTTGGTGTACATTGATTGAAACATAGGCAAACTATTGATGACAGCAGCGAACATGTACATGCATGATAATATAGGGACGACATAACGTAGATGATTAAGTTAGATGACATTGTATATGATAGAGCAAGATCGGTATAATGCGTGTGTCGAGAGCAACGAAAGGTGTATACTCGGGGGCGTCCAAAGCAAACGGTGCCAGGGTTAATCTAGAATGCCAGAGAACCGTTAGTTTAAAGGAATGTGCACAGACATAAATTCGCCACTTACGACGGACAGAGGCTAAGATTCAGCACCTGATATAGACCACTGGAAGCTGTTGTGGTCGGGAGAACCGACTTGAAGGAAGGACAGAACGAGTGGGATAGAACTATTTTGCTGACAGAGCAGCTGCAAATCCTGGCCCGTCCATATCGGCCCCTCCGCTTGCCGTGATAGCGGATCATCGTCGAAGTCTACCGAAGCATCCGGTCTATGACCCTTCATCGCGTTGGACTCCATCTCCATTTTGCCCGCCCCGTGCCGATGGTAGATCTTACTCCGCGACTTCGATCGAACATGGGACGCCCTTCGGTCCGGAGAGAGCACCCCTAGCCCAACGTTCGCCCGAGCGAACCGACTGTCCGGAGCGAAGCGCCGAGAGGCTGCCTCTCTGCTGAGCGCCTTGTCAATGGCCAATGCGGCCACCGACAAGTCAGAAGGCCCGATCAGCGTGTCCTGGAGTACTTTGAACGCTACAGCATCTGCCGCTCGGTGGAATCTGCTAGGCGCAGGTGCCGGATTGTCACCTAACGGAGCATCGGCCACAGCCTCGATCTGTCGCTTCAGCGATACCGTCCATTGGTGGCGTTTTAATGGGTCGTCGAGGCTGAACATGTACTTCCGCTTCAGGCCTTGATGATTGAGAAACGCGAGCTGGAAGGTGTGTCGCATGAACGCGCGCTCGACAGTGACAGTGCTGCTGAGAGGTAGGCCGGTATACAGTGGAGCATGGAGGCCAGAGCGAACCATGTACATGACGCGTGATCCGAACGCTTTGCCCTTCACTCGGAATGACCCCTCAGCTGACCTCGCGAAAGTGAGGACCGCGGGTTCGAAGACAAGATCCTCCCCAAACAGTTCGATGTAAAAGTTTGGATCTGGTTGCGGCAGTCGTATAACCACGGGGTCCGACCATGAATTGTAGGTCAGATGTGTTGGGACGGCTCGTTTGACGTTAACGAGGATGCTAGGCTTCCCATCTAAAGGATCGTGCACTTGCGACAAGCGCTCAAGATGGATGGAGCGGTAGATATCGCCCAAAGTGTCCTCTGGTACCAACCCGCTGCGGTCATGCTGCTTGAAAGCGGAGATGAAGGCGGACCCGGAAACCTCTCGACGTCCATGCTCGGAGAACGGGCGATGTCCGGCAACACCGCCGTAGAGAACCTGATTGAGCTGGATGATGGCGCGGCACAGGCGAATAGCCATGTCCTTGTCGAAGGCAACGCGCGATGCGTTCGCCTCGTACCATCGACCCGCGAAAGCATCGCTAAGATACTCTAATGGACTGCAGTTCGGGAACTTGGCCGGGACGACAATTGACTGGAGGAAGCAACGGAGTGCCTTGTCGATGCGGAGACCAGACAGGCCGAAGGCATCCGCGTATGCTTTGAGGACAGGTCGCGACGAACGGCGGCAGAAGTATTCTCCCAGACGGGCACGATCGATGGCTGGGGCACGGGACAAGATCTGCGCAATGTCGTACGGATCCGGACGGGTGCCTAACCTAGCGGAGAGACCCGAGATAGCGCGATCAGGATCCTCCGCAAACTGTTGTATAAACGTTGACATAGCAGGGTGTCGAGCATGGTTTACGCTCCCGGCGACGTCACGATCCGCAGTGAAGCGCAAATCTCGAAGTTGTACAACATTCTTCACCGTGAACTTTCGGTCGAGTGGAGTGGGGTCGAGCAGGGAATCGTGATCATGCATGATAGGTTTCGCAATGACGATAATATCAGTGAAGAGGAACAAGAAGCGGTCTTTGACGGTGTTTGAGTTGACGACTTGAAGCACGGGGGAGGATAGAATGAGTTTGCGCGGAGGCCCGTCGACAGCAGAAGCCCACATCGGACTGCGTGACCCGCGCCCAAGCATCTCGTCCAATCGCTCGAGGATGAGCCGCCCTTGTGAAGATGAATACTCGTGAGCCGGCGTTGTGGAGTACTGGGAGGAAACAGTCGAGCCGGATTCCGACGTGCTGCGGTTGTAGTCGTCCAGGGAGGATAATGGGTCAGGAGTCGTCGATGATGGATGTTCAGGCGGGGACGGCCAGGGGGCGAGGTCCGAGCTTTCCATCGATTCCTGAGGCCTGACTCCCAATCTGGGTGCCGTGTAAGCGGACTCGTCGGAGTATACGACATGCCGCTGAATGCCGTTTGCATGGGGATAAGGATCCCTTGAGATGGCAATAGAGACATCTTGCTGCACGGCAATGGCCTTCTTTAACGTACTGCCCGATCCGCTGGTAGGCGTATTGTCCCCCGAAACCTCTTCCCAGTCCGCATTGAGTTCGCCCTCCTTGCGACGAGTCAGAAGATCAGAGAGTGATGGCTTCTTCTTGGGCTTGGCTACATCCGTTCCAGACCCCGCGGACATCGACTGCTGCATCTGCAGTGTGGCGGCGCCTGAACCGGGCGAGAACACCTTTAGCCACTCCTTCACTCCCTTCCGGTCTTTCGGAAGTTTGGACGACGACGAGATCTGCTGGCTCGGGCTCTTACCGTGCGAAATAGACAGGTCGAAATACTCCCGCTGAGAGCTTGAGGACGGCGTGGCGGCCATAGGCGGTGGACTGTTGAGATTGGCGTACTTCGCCAACAATCGACTGTCGGAAGCTTGGTGGGACAGCTTTCGATCCCGGGGCCCATCCAAGGGGGTGCTCGCAAGCGTCGACCCCGACCCAGTGCCGGAGGGAGCAGGTGACATCGTTCCCGGAGATGCCACGTCGGGAGATGACGACGACGTTAGGCCCTTTGCACGATTGCGCTCTTCCTCCAGCTGTTTGATTCCAGGGAACGGGAATAGCTTTTCATTGTCGTACTTCATGAGATCGGCGGAGGACGCGGGTGGTATCGGCGACACGCCTCCACGCGGCACGTTGTTGTGGGCGAGATTCAGATACGAGGCGGATGCAGAGGGCGAGAGCATAGGCGGCGTCAACGGCGTGTGCATTGGCATCGCCGTGTTCCACACCTCCGTCTTGTCGCCCTGGCTCGCGCCGCTCTCCCGGCTAACACTAGAGCTCGTCCGCCGCTCACGTGTGACGCTATTCGCGCGAGACCGAAGGCCGCCGTTTGATGCCGTTCGCATGATAGCGCTACGGACCTTGTCCCAGGTGCTGTGGCTTTTGCCGGAACTATCGAACACGACAGGTCTCGTCTCTTCCCCTCCCGTGTATCCGCTTCCAGACCTGGACATGGGTACGGCCTTGACCGCTGGGCTCGGGCTCTGAGGGGGTACGACTGCCGCGGGTTGCATGGGTAACGAGAAGGAATCTTCACTCGATGCGGGAGACATAGGATCTGCAGAAGGCGAGGAAGGCTCGTATGAATCCGTGATCTCAAGGAAGGTTTGAGCTTCCCCTGGATGCGCTTTGGAGATGGCGATGTGCTGCGCGGAGGAACTCTCCTCCGGATAGGTCTGCACTTCATCATCGGCGAAAGGATCATCACGGTCCTCGTGGTCTTCCTCCTGAGGTTCCTCGGTCTTAACGTCGTCGAGTGGGGAGTCACGACCGTCCTCCTCTTCGTCCTCATCGTGTATGGGCATACGCGACCTCAGCACTGCATAGATCCATTAGTTTGACAATCAAGGTTATCTTGTTCTTCCAAACGCACTCGGTTCCTCCACCCAGCTGGGGCTGCGATCAACCGCCTCACGATGTGTGACTAGCCTGTTGATTTCGTTCTGGTAGAGTACCTCCTCTTCCTCGTCGTCCTTGGCTGGCCGCTCCTTCAAAGGGGTGTTGAACGGGCTTGTCGGAAATGCATCTACTCTGTACACCGTGTTTTCCGCCAGGAAGACGGGCAAAGCGACAGCCCCTGCCGAGTCCGTGGAAATGCTGGATGGTGCATCGGAACTATGAATAGCCCGAGGACCTGCAACATGGGTAGGTATGGGAGGAGGCGGAGGGAGACCACGGAAGGCAGGTTCCACAATGGAAGGAGCCTCCGCATCCGGCCCATCATCTTCTTCCACCACAACACTCCGTCGGTTGCGCGGGCGGGGTACGTACTCGTTTACGTTGTTCGTGGCCGCGACCGGTGTGTCCTGCCTGTCGGGCTCGATGCTAACCTGTCGCGTATTCATCGTAGCGTAGGGCGAAGGAGGTGGAAGAGGATCCACCCTCTCATCTGCGGAAGCTAACATCGGAGACGGAGGGGCGACTGGCGTGTTCGGCGCAGTAGATGAGAGCTCGCGATCATCTACGACGGTGGAAGTACTGATGGAGGGCTTTCGTGGCCGTCGCCGTTTGGGAGTAGGGGACCGCGTGGGGGGTATCAAGGCGGCGGCCGAGACGTCTTCCCCTCCACTCGTGTCCGCGTTCAAACGTTTTCCCAGCCGGCCCATCATCAGGTTCCTGGCTGCATGACGCTCACCGAATGTGACAGTGTTGTTCCGCGTTAGAGAGCGTAGAGGGTCGGGAGTAGGAGATGGCGAGTATGCTTCACCGCCCTGATTTGCGGTGAGCTTATTCATGGCCATCAGACGCGCGGCGGCACTGTTGGAACGGAAGAGCCCATTCAGCTGATCCAGAGAGGGCAGGGGAGTCGGGGGCGAGGTACCGGGATACAACATGGGGGACGTTGGGGACGCGGCGCGGCGCTGGAACTGAGCAAAGTGAGAGGGTATAGGACTGATGAGCGCGGGTATCTGGAGGTTCAATTGAGGAAGTTGTGAGGGGAGTTGTTCGGGGGAGGAATCGTTGCCTCCGCCGTTGATGGCCGGGCTTGGTACGGGAGAGATGCCTGAAGGCGCCGCCTTTTTCCAGTCCTTAGATCCTCGAGAGCGGGAGCGGGAGCGTCGCCGCCGCTTCTTGGCTTTCGCCGGCTCGTCCGCGTCTGGTTCGGGATCAGCTTCCAAGTCGGCAGGAGGTTCTGCTGTCGCTTGTGGGAGCAGTTCGTGATCTTTTGGCGCTTCGGCGGTCGTTGGACGCTCTGGTTCGGCGAGCGGAACTATTGGCGTCTGCTCATGTTGCGTGGCAGCGGCGGTCGGGGTGACCATCGCAGACGCTTCATCACCCTGTAGCTCCGGCGAGTCTCTCTCCCTCTCCTGGTCATCCGCTGACGGCGGCGTCTCCACGTCATTGTGTTCGCCCTGCTTCCCGTTCTCTCCCTCGCTAACGCCGTCGACGTGCATGGGCGGGCGCCTGCCGTCCTTCATCCGCGGTAGCGATGCGGCTCGCTTGAGTTTTGCAACGAGCACAGCGCGCTGTTCACGCTGCTCGGCAGCGGAGGACTGCTCCATGGTTTAGAGCGATAGGGCAAAGCAATACGGCCACGTTTCCTGCTCGCTGCGTCAGGAGAAGGTCGTATTGATACGAGGGGACAAGACTGACCTCCGTGGAAGTGATATCGAACATAAAACGGGAGGGGGGCAAGAAGGAGGCAGTTCAATGCGCTGTCGCAGCCGTCCAGAGCGGTCGAGGGCGAGTAAGAAAGATGAGAGCAGACTGATCGAAAAGGCGTAGGTCAGGAATGGAACTGACCGTTGTGAGCAGAGCGGTCTTCGCACCACGTGACCCATCAGCTCTTTTTCACGTACTGGCAGTCTGAGTTACCTGGCTTCGTTGTCGAATCCCTTGCTGTAGCCTGTCCCCTGTTGAAGTTGCTGTTTTCCGCTCCTCGTGGCCTTTCTTTGCAAGTCCTGTCTCAGGTCCCTTTTGGAAACTACTGCGGAGGTTCCCTACGTATGCCGATCTCAGATTGCCTTGCTTGTGCTGCGTGTACCCTCGGTCGCAATTGCCAGAAGCCTGCTATATGTACATACGATATATACTCTATCTGCTTTATCTGAACAAATGATCTGTTGCGGGGCGTGCGTCTGTGCGATATACCATCGCTCGAAACCGGCCCGGCCCGGCCAAACCTCAGTCTCACAAAACACCCACTAGAGAAGCAACTCTGAATCCTGATCCTGGACGCTAGCCATTGTGTGAACGATAAACACTCATGCATAGTGTCAGAGGACAGTTGGAGTATGCACGAGCCAAGATACATCAACGCGTGTCCGCATGCCTCTGTATACACAATCCATGTATGCATATGAACGCGTCTTTCATCTCTAAATCCCAACCAGGATCTTTCCGTTGTTCATCCCCGCGCCGCCATCTCAGAACTCAATTGCAATAGAACCGGAGTCAGGACCCGGACGGCTGCAAGCAGCTGTAAGCGCAACACGCCTGTCTTCTTTCTCTGCTGTGCTTCGTTTTGCACCGCGCAGATGATAAGAGATCTGGGCAACGTGTTTGCCGACCGACGTTTACCATGCTGCTGATCCATATAAGGTGCAAGGAGCCCAAGACTCCATATCAACAAACCAACGAGATGTAGCTATTCGTAGGCGTGAAATAGAATGAAGGTTCTGTGCCCAAGTAGGCACTCAGTACTCTGCCGCTCCCTAGCTTCGCAAGAGGGCATTGTCACTTCAAGGATTCATCCGATGTTTTCTCAACACCGAAACCTTGTAATCCGAGGGGTAACCGATGAGCTAGCTCGTGGAAGGTTCTAAAACATCGGAGTATTGGAGGGATATCAAACTATTTCAAAGCATCAATCGATCCAGGGTTGTTCATAACACATGTCATTGCAATGCTATCGATACAAACGAGCGTGCTTGGTGAAAATGTTTCCAAAGATAAAAAAGGGGTGGAACCCCGTGCAATCCAATCCTGCTAGAGACTCGTAACAAATCATGCAATCGCGATCTTCTTCGGCGCAGCCTCGGGAGCGGCCTTGGGGAATGTCACCGTAAGGATACCGTTCTCCAGCGACGCCTTGATGTCGCTCTCCTGTAATCACAGTAGTCAGCATCATCGAACAAGTCGCGAAGCAGTGCACCAATATACCAACCTTGACTCCTTGAGGCAGCTGAAGTGTCCTTGCGAAGCGACCATAGCGGCGTTCACGGACGGCGTATCCGTTCTCGTCCCGGTCGCTCGCAATTTTGCTCTCGCCCGTGACACTGAGGCGGGCGTTGTGGACATCGATACTGACATCCTCCTTCTTCAATCCTGGGAGCTCGAAGGTGGCCGTCACCGTGTTGGTCTCAGAGTTCTCATGGAGATCCATCCTGTGCCAACGTCTCAGTACCAATTCAGGGTCTGATAGGCAGTCATACCACAACTCACCTTGGGCGGAGCGGACCAGCTTGGCCGTTGGGGCCCTGACGCTGTAGTTGGTTGTTAGGGCCGGATGCGTTGCCCGACGTCCTTGCGCGGAATGCCTCATCGAAGAGGCGGTCGAAGTCCGCGAACGGGTCGTAGAAGACGTTCGAGAGAGACATGGTGTTGAGTGGTCGAGAGGTGGGTGCAAGCGAATGCGGTAATGAAATAGTTGTTCTGAATTCTGATGGAGAGGGAGGCGCGTACCGCCGCCATATATACTCGAACTTGGGTAGCATCTAAGAAATACTCTGGAGAAGGTTCTGGATGTCGCTCGCAGTGTTTTGCTTCCGCTTTGCGTCATATCACCATGGCACGCACATCGAAAACTTGAAGAACGTTCTGGAGTTACCCACGACTACCATTTCGGGACAAACGCAAACAAATGCAAACAACGGTACAACCGGTGCGTCCTGCGTTGAAGAGGTAGATTGGAACACTGTGTATAATTTCGAATGCACCTATTATCGGAGTTCGACCCAATGCACAAACGACAGAAACACGTAGCAACAATTCCGGCCCCTACTTCGATCCCTTCTTGACAAGGGTTGCATATGTGTCGAGATTCTTCTTCCACGACGGTCTTGGCAGGTCGAATCCTTCGCCAATACGTGCATAAGTCGTGCCTCCCAGGCGTGAAACGGCGCGGAACTTGACGGGATCAATTGTCCCGTCGTCGTTCAGTACGGCATTTCGAGCGTGGACCGTCTTGATGTGCCCCAGTACCAGCGAGTGGGTGACGGTTGAAGAGTTCGGAGGCCTTATATCATGCCAATGATATAGCTGTGAGAAGTCGACATCAGCAACGTCTAGCAGATATACGACTATAAGTATGCCATGCCTCGCACTCCAAGCTGACCGCGCTTTCTTTGACTCTTGGCGTCTTCACGTGTATCTGTCGAATGCGTTATTGAGTCCCTATATAACATGAGTCACGTATTGCGACTCACACTTGGTTCAGGTGTAAGACCGCTGAGAACCCACTCATCGACGTCTTCTGGGGCATCGATAGAGGTGAAGTTCGCTGCCTCCACAAATGGCTCGCTAATGATGTTCACCGTGAACTCTCTGGTTTCCCTAATGTTTTCGCGAGTGTCTTTGTGACCGGCGGTGAAGGAAATGCTGCACAGTGGTGGGTTGTGCGCTACCTGCACTCGCCTTCAGTATGGTAAGCCCTGGTACGACGCATGGGACCGACCATAGAGAAGTAACTGTAGGCAGAGGACTGGCACGTAAGGGTCTTTCAGTAACGGACTGAAGGTATGCGCTCCGTACCTGAACGGGGCCAGATTTGGTACGCCATTACTAGATATGGTGGACACGAATGCAATGGGTCTAGGAACGACCGCGCTGGTCAAAAGGCGATATATGTCCCTGTATGCAATCGCGCACGACGACAGTCAAAGAACAGGACGGAGTGGTCTTGCGACTCGCGTACCGTGGAGATGTACTGTCCAGTTGCCATGTCTTCCAGCCTGCCGCTTCATCTGCCTTCCACTCGCTGGCCAGTTTGCTCGTGCCTGGGAGGCCATCGCCCGGTTTCCAGTCCGGATGAGGTGGGCGTGTGAACCGAAAGGCAGGGCCCTCGTTGAACTTGGGTCTATCGGATATGTAACGGCGGCTGAGGAAGAAGGGAAGCGTGGTCAGAAACGGCGTTTCAGACGCGGACTACGCTTACCATCCGCCACGACCGACAGCGGCACGTTCGTAGATACGTGCCTTTTGCTGCAAACATCCTAGTAGTGGCTTCTGAGCTCTGAGGATGGACGTCATCGAGGAGGTACCGGTAACCCAGTGAGAACGCGCTTGTGACCACCGACCGAAAGGAGATCGAACACCGTGCGCTCTCTATGAGTAATATGCATGGGATGACGAAGACGTATAACCTGGACACGCCATCGCTATCCCGATATACAGTGCTCAACGGAAACGTCTTCTGTCTGGAAACATGTCTGCATCGGACTCAACGAAACACGCGATTAGCAACCTACAAGGTTTCTATGGGTGGACCGACTCGTTGAACGGCATATACTACGGTTCGGGCTCTGTCGCCACCACTCTCCCCAAGTTGCTGGATACCCTAGCAGGGAAAAAAGCACTGATTGTAACTGGCAAGACCTTCAGAGAGAAGGTATGACCCATAATTTTGCCCTAGAGGGTTCTCTTAATGTTTGCCTTCAGATCGACATCATCTCGAAGATTGAGATTCTTCTGCAGGGACGGAACACCTGCGGTGCGACCTTTTCGGAGATCGGGCGAGCATGCGCCTATCGCAAATATTCGCGAGGGTATCAGGGCTTTCAAGGAAGCCGGTGCAGACATCATTGTCTCTATCGGAGGTGGATCACCGGTTGCCGCCGCTAAGGCCATCATCTACCTGCTGCAGCAAGAACGCGGTGGGCATTACGCGCGTCAGATTGCTATCTAAGCGCTGCAGAGTATACTGTTAATGCTGGCTTCCCAAACGAGGACGGTTTCAAGACGCGTGTGAGCGCGCCGGAACTCGTACCGGCGGGCATCATCCTAGACGCTGAGCTCACCTTGCCCACCCCAGAGCGTTTATGGTGAATTCGTAACTCTACCCCATCGCGATTATTCTGAGTCTGACTTACTCGCAGGCTATCTTCGGGACTTCGTGCTCTTAATCACGTTATCGGTGAGTATCCTTTTCTTCTCGACAGTACATTTGCTCACGAAACACCAGAGAATCTTTACCGCCCCTCCGTCCCTCACCCGATCAAATATCTTTGCTACGCTGCCCTGGCGGATTAAGTATTTACCGGAGTCGAAGGCCAACCCCAGCTCCTTGGAAGCTCGTCAGAAGCTCCAGATAGCTTCGTGGATGAGCCTTTGGCCCATCAAGTTCGAGCAGCCAAGGCATGCTCATATATCTCGGCTGCACGTACGATCGCTAAAATCCGGACAGTGCCGTCGGCCTGTCCCATTCTCTTGGGCACAAGTTGGGTGCGACGTACGGTATTCCTTACGGCATCACCTCTGTGCGTATCCGTACGGTCGATTTCAGAGATTTTCCGGTTGTCGATCACTGACGACCACACTTTCAGTGCCTCACCCTTGCGCCAGTGGTTTAAGGCGGAGACTGCGTCGCAGGAAGATAAGGAATGGCTAACGAACGTTCTTTTTTATCTGCGAGAACCTACTACCGGCTCTGTTGAGGACGACATTCGCAAGCTCTCGGCTTTGATCAACAAGTGAGTACATTTTACTCCCATAATGTGATATCTCGCTCACCACCATCCTCCATAATCTACCTCAGGCTGGTAAACGATTTGGGCTTGAAGTCGGATCTTGCTTACTACAATGTACCGACATCTGATCTTCCCGGTATTGCGGAGAAGACGCTGGGAGGTCAAGATGACCCTGTGTATCCCAAGGTTATCGAAGTTCTGCAGTCACTGTATCCCTGAAGGCTATAATTAAGTTCTTGAGCAGCTTCCAAACCAGCTTGTACGTGTATTCAGAACCAGAACACAATCTGTTCATCGCGCACATTGCTCTGGCGCTATCTTCAGGCTAGATTCTGTGCAAATGTATATATTACTACAATATTGCTACATGCGTTCCATGATTGATGAGCGGGTATGCAATGAATGGGTGGGGTGAATGCGGCCAGGACAAGGAGCTGAAACCAGAGCCAGCGTTGGCAGCTCAGGCAATCGTAATCTTCTTCGGCGCGGCCTCAGGTGCCGACTTGGGGAATGTCACCGTCAACACCCCATTCTCCATCGACGCCTTGATCTCCTCGTCCTTGATGCCCTGCGGCAGCTGCAACGAACGCGAGAACTTTCCGAACCGCCGCTCCCGTACAGCGTACCCGTTCTCGTCGTGCTCGCTTGAGACCTTGCTTTCGCCCGAGATCGTCAGCCGATTGTTGTGCACGTCGATGCTGACATCTTCCTTCTTCAGGCCGGGCAGCTCGAACGTCGCGGTGACGGTGTTGGAGTCTTTGTTTTCGTGCAAGTCCATCCTGAGAAGCCACTGTCAGCATCGTTGTCTAGAAACTTGCCGAAGCGAGCATTACATACCTTGGCCGGAGTGGACCTGATGCGGCGCCTGGCGAACGCTGGACTTGGCCACCGTTGTTACTCGTCCGCGCGTTGAACGCCTCCTCGAAGAGACGATCAAAGTCGGAGGGAGTGAAGACGGGCTCGTACCAGAAAGTGGAAAGCGACATGGTGATGAGGATAAGTGGTTAGTGAGGTAGAATCGAGTGCGCTGAGTAGATGATTGTTTGTTGTTTGTGTTTTCTGCTGAGCGGGATAGGGTACCACTGGCCCCTTATATGCGTCCAGAGCATCACTTCCACGACGTTGAGCGAAATTTCTCGAGCCACACGGAAGTATCTTGGTGACGTCGGAAGAGGAGCAAAGCAATGTCTCGAACGGGATCGAAATCTCGAGACGCTTCTTTTCCCACGTGCGGTGTCGAGTGCCAAAACGGGGATTTTGCAAATAGCCGTAAATACGGCTTTGCAATGAAAGCAATCCCTCGAGGGTATAGCGATGATGTACACGAGCAACATTACAGCGATCCATAGCCTAAACCTACACGAGAATGATAATCCTACTGGAGCACAAACCGTCATACTGCGCGGAATCGGACCCGCACCTCCGCGATCTCTCGCCTCGCTTCTTTCATCGTCCTCTCAATTTTCTCCTCCATACTCGCCGCTTCGCTCACGCTGAGATCGCGCGGCACGTCCGCGGTGAGGTCAACAAAGGTCATCGACCCTGCACGGCGCGCACGAAGATCATGGATGGCAAGCAACGACGGGACATCGCTTGTGGTGGTGCCATTCCCGTTCTGTGCTGTTGGGGGCGCTATGAGTGGTTGGACGCTTCGAACGAGTGAAGCATGCGTCTTGGCGGAGACGCCGGAGTCCATCAGCTCTTTGAACGCGCCGACGAGTATACCGAGGCCCTGGCGAAGAATGACGATGGAAATGAGGAAGCCTGCGTAAGATTGACGTGAGCATAACGTACGCGCTGGCCCGCCGTGTACACGAACCTCCGACGGGATCCAGCGGTAACGCCGGGAACCACGAGCTTCCGAGGATGGCGACGAGCGCGACTACGCTTGAGTATGCGTCGCTCCTGTGATGCAAGGCATTCGCATGCAACACCGGACTCTTCTCCTCCCGTGCAACCTTCTCTGTCACTCGGTATAGCCATTCCTTCGCTATCACCCCCAGCGCCGCGAACCAGGCCGCGTTAGGATCGAGCGCGTGTCCATGCCCATGCCCAGGCTCTATAGCCGGTATGGGCACACTTTGTGCCACTTCCGTTACGTTCTGTATAGCTGATTGCAGAACGCCAGGAGGAAGAGATGATGCAGTGTGCGTCAAGGCATCGACGAGGAGGTAGTAGGAGTGGAAGCCTATCCCGAGAGCACCGCCCACGAGCAAGAGGGAGACGGTCGTAGTTCCGAGTGTCTCGAACTTGGCAAAGCCATATGGATACCGCGCGGATGGAGGTTTCCGAGAGAGCTTCCAGCAGAAGAGGGTGACAAAGTCGCCAAGCAAATCTGACGGACGTGGATTAGTCCTCGCTCCAAGATCAATGGTGGAAGACGATAGGAAAGTTAACGAACCACTTAACGAATGGGCAGACTCGGCCAACAACGCTGCCGAGTTCATGTACCAGCCCGCGGCACCTTTGGAGGCGGTGAGGCCGATATTGGCAAACAAGCCTACGAGCGTGATTCTGCTTCCGCGGTCACCTGAACGATTGTTGCAGCTTCTATCCCGGCAGCTAGTAGGATTAGAGCACACGCACCTGACCCTTGCAAAGCCTTGATCACCTCCTCCGCTGTAGCATCGTGTCCTTCCTCGCCATGTGAATGTACATGTTTGCTGAATATTGAGTGCGAATGTGAATGGTCACCGTGTTCGTGGTCGTGTTCGTGGTCGTGGTGATGAGCTACGACATTGGTCTCTTCGGGCCCCTTGCCCCCGCCCTGCGTTGAGTACGGCTTGCGCGCTGTGAGGCCATTGGGTGCAGTCGTCATCGGTGCTGGAGCAAGTCGGAGGTGTCCGCCCGCTTGCGCCTTATGAATCAGAGACCTTGTATGAGACCCTCGTTTGGGAAGCCGGTGCGTTGCACGACTAGTACTGCGGGACGCGGGGGCCGCGCCAAGGCTGGAGTAGGGGTTACAGCAGACGGAACGCTGCGGTTCGCGACTGCAGGTGGCGCGAAGGAGGACTCGGCGGGGGAGGGCGACGGGTGTACTGCTGGTACTTCCCGCGAAGCAGCGAGTGAACATATACAAAGCGAGCGCCGACGTGTCCCTTTGCGAATTTGTACTAGCCGAGGCACATTCGGTATTTGACCGAGGAGACGGAACAGATGCGGTCACTTGTCAGCTTCGGCCCCGCCTTTCCCGGCCACCGTGGACGCCGTTACACGTATCCACTCACGGTCCCCCATTACTCGGCCGGCGTTGCTTGGCCTCCTTCAAGGTATTGCTGCACTCAGGCGTTACAAGGTCATAGTCCCCCTATATCTTGAATATGTCATGTTCATCACAGTCCTCCCGCAGCCTGTAGTGATCTGCGCTTACCGCTTCTAGCCTACATCTCCCGCCCTCAGGCTTCATACGCGTCGAGGAGGATTAGAATGTCGAAATGCATCAGGGCTTGACGCTGATTGCCCCGCGGCTCCCCACAGAAATGTTGGACGAAATCTGCCAGTGGATCGCCCCCGATCTGCGTACTCTGGCATCCCTCACCCAAACTCATTCATCACTCCGGATCGTCGCCACGCAGGCGCTTTACCGCAATATACCTCGCATGCACCCCGTCAAACTGATGCAGTGCCTCGACTCGTTGTCGAAGAACGAGGCCCTCCCATCCTGCGTCCGCTCCCTCGTGATATGCGTGACCGCCAAAACCCTGAAGGACGGAGAAAAGCTCACAGCTTTGATCCATTCGGTGCTCATGCGTCTCCATCGTCTCCAGGAACTCGCGATGTACTGCTGGCATTACTTCTCTCTAGATGAATGGTATCCTTTCTCCCTGAGGAAGCTCAAAGCAACCCTACACTGCGACGAAGGTTTCTCCCGCTTCTTGAATGGTCAGAAACTGCTCGAGAAGCTGTATATCGTCAGGGTCTTGCCGCAGCTTTCCATCGAAGAACCGCCCTTTCACCTGTCTCACGACGCTGCGCCACGGCTACGGCTCCTGAGCTATACCGAAATCGGATACTGCGAGGGCGAGGCGGGCCCTCTTCGGCAGCTGCTTGACAAACGACCCGTACAAGAGCTGCGTCTCGATATCCATCCACTGCCTTGGGAGGTTTATCAAGGCTACTTCAAACGCTCCGCTGCTCACATCAACATCCTCCGACTGAAATCGGGCCGCATTTTCTCCCTGCTTCAGTTACTGACGATCCTTGAGTCGGTCGCATGCCGCCTACCACAACTGCGCGAGCTTGACATCAACAATATCCCGCCTTTGTTGAACATCTCCCCTGATGTGGAAGGAGGGGTCGAGCGACTGGCTCAATCTCTCTGCCCACTCAAATACCTCTCCACAGTGAACTTGCCACCAATCGGTGTTGAGCGTGCAAGCGTCGATGCCGTAGTAGCTGCCTGGCGCACGGCCTGCCCGTCTTTGGCGGATGTTACCGTCGGGCAATATCGCTATCCAGCAGCCGCCGGCCGCCCAATATCTCAAGCATGGTGTGGTGGGGACGTTGCATCTCTTATATATGGTGCAAGAACGGAGAATGAATGAACTATTAGGGTTTGTCACAGGGGGACGGTAGTATGCAGATATGTTACAGTATGGTCAACGTTGTTATGCGTTCATCCATCCTTCCACTCTCCAAACTCTTCCGCGTCGCCTCCACCTTGAGGCGTGAACACAGCAATGGTGGCTTCTGACGATGCTGACCGCCGATGTCTATGACGGCCAGTTCGCTGCACATCATGCTCGGCCTCCTCGTCTCCTGCGCCTTCCTGACCGTGGTCTACGTCCTTCATCAACCCCACACCCTCCCGCCTCTCTGGGTACGCCGAACCGACGCCGCGCGAGGCCGTTGGCTCACGGACATTGGAACCCGACCCGCCCGCGTTTTGCTCGTCTTCGTCGTCGCTCGCGTCTCCAATCTGCCACATGACGTGGTTATCCTCGCCTTCGCCTTCCTCGGTTGTCCTGAGCGCCTCTTCCTCTTCAGAGTCGCCATCGCCGGCCTTAGCCTTGTTCGCCCGCTTGCGCGAGGGAACGGATCCAACCTGCGCCCGGTGAGTAGCACCGGCTTCGGGCTTCTTGTGCGTAAGAAGGACGACGCCAGAAATGAGGACGACTATGGACGCGAAGATAAAGAACAGAGCCCAGTTCTGGTACGCGTCCACTGAATCGTTAAATATCAAGGAATCCAGGAAGCTACAATCAACTGGCCGTCAGTCTCGACGACGAGTTGAACGGGATGGATAACTCACCCAAGCGCAGTGTATACTCCGTAGAATACCGGGACGACAAGGGTAGAATCATACACCTTGAGCCCCCGGTTCAGGCAGATGATCTGAGACACCGCAGTGACGGCCAGTATGATCATCGTGAAGATAGCGGCAGGATGGCCAAACTGATTGCCAGTGTTTTCGTGCGAAAGGCTTCCCGAGGCGAGCTTCACACTGTCGTAGGAGTCAGTATGGAGGTCCAAGATGTTCAATGGAATACAGGAAACAAGACATAGATCAGAGAACCGAGACTCGACAGTGGCGCCGAAGCGCTTCAGACGGCACTTCCTAATTACTCGGATAGGATCATCACGAAGGGTGCAGAAGCGAGAAAGGGTGCAGCATGCTCGAAGACGATCACTCACGTTGCTTTAGCGAACACAAGGCATCCACCTGCGAGGCCTCCTCCGCAACACGCCCAGCCGATGCCAAGGGTCCAGGCGATGAGCTTGTCGTCCTTCGGAGCTGTCCAGACTTCCAGACGCTCTTTCACCCAGAGCATTGCGCGATTGCGGTACGCCATGGTCTTGCCAAAGAAGCCTGTGGCCGACGAAATCTCCACCGGCCGCCTGGTGCTCATCCCGGCGAAGGGTTCTGCGCTCAGGTCAGAACGGGCAGCAAGAACAGCGTCAAGCGAGGAGGTGAAGATCACCAGTGCGATGAGGGCGAATGACATGAAAAAGAAGTAGGCAAGCCAGTTGCCGCGCGACCAGAGGTAGGCAAGGCGATGTATGTCGGTTTCTTGGGCGAGGCCGCTGTTGATGGAACCAAACGCGACGATGCCGATGACGCCGAGGATGACGATGATCGTCCCGTAGATGTCGTTGTTCGTGACGGGGGTGCCAACGAGAAAACGGGCGAAGAGGAAGTTGAATATTAACGAGGTAGCGCCTAGCGGTGCGACGTATTCGGCTCGCATATATTCGAGGGCCAGAGTACTGCCAATTAGCTGTGAAAGTCTGGCGGCGGGGGAGATGAGATTAACATGACGTCCGTGAAATGGAAACAAGACGACATACATGTATAATATCATTCCTAATAACCATAGTGGCCGTAACCAGTCCCTTCGTCTAGATGCTTTGGGTATCGCGCTGGTTCTAACCTAAGAAATACGGTAAGAATAGGGGCCGGAAAGACGGTGAATAGAGCGCATACATGATCAACTTTCGTGATATTGAGTCCTGCTGCGTTTAATATAGAAGCGAGCAATACGATGGAGAGGCCGATGATGAATGCAACAACAGGGTTTGCGTGATGTGCTGGAACAGGGTCATCAACCAAGGTAGTAGGGGACGGCAATGCCGTAGACGCGGTCAGCGAGACATTCGCGGACATGACACGGCCTACAAGACGTGACGAGCGTGGCGGAGGCTGAGGAGGAAAGAAAGCCGGTGGTGGTGCATAAGAAGGTGATGATGAGCTCGGTCGTCAGCGTGATGACTGCGCAGGGAAGTCGCGGCACAAACTGGAACGTCGAGGGCAGTGCCAGCTCAGGGAACAGGCAAGGCGCAAGGCACGTCGACCATATCCTCGTCCACCTACTGTCCGACTGGTCGCCCTGGTCGTAAACGAGGAAATTTTAGGGAACGACCGGGTCGCGTTTTTGAAGGTCGAGCGGAGCTTGAAGCTGAGAGAGAAGCACGCTGCACGCTTCACCCGATCCGACGTAGAACGCGTCGACTTGGACAGTCGATGCTCACAGCACAAAGACAAAGCTACGCAATCATACGGACTGACCAGCCTCGGATCCCGCTCCGCGTTGCTTCAATATGACTCTGGACGCAGATCTGATGGAAGTGGACGAGCTAAACGATGATGATTCGGTAGAGAACGCCATTGAAGATGAGAATGGATTTAGTATTAGGTCACCTCTCGTCCCTCCGAAGGTAATCACGCGAACCACCCAAGAACTTCATGGTACGCGAAAGCCAGAATATCTGACGCAACCAAGCTAACGGCCCTCCGTATTTCCAGCCTTTATCCATGAAGGGATGATCGACCTAAACCCTCCTTATCAAAGAGGTGTGCATCTCAGCTTGACCCTCGCGGATATCGATACACCAGCGATCGGCGACCCTCAGATATTGTGTGGCCAGAATACAAGCAAATTAACCTCATAACGTCTATATTCGAGAACTACTATATTCCGCCGATCGTGTTCTCGGTCACGAAGGACGAAGATGGAGAACCGATCCGGATATGTGTCGGTGGGTCTGCATGCATGATAACCTCGTCTCCTCACACAATAATGCATAGATGGCAAGCAAAGACTGACTTCGATCCGCAAGTTTATGGATGGAGCGGTACGTGAAAAGAGCTTCATCAACCCCTAAGGTATGACTCACGTATAGCATAGATTCCTTGTGCGTTATGGTTCGTAAAACGTGAATGTCCAATGGCAATGAACCTATCACAGATCGGTACAACAAAAAGTCTTTCTGGTTTAGCGTGCCCCGGTCGCAGAAAGACAATATGCTGGCGGTTCCCCAATGGGCCAAAGATCAGTTTCTAAAAAAGACCATCCAATGCGGTACGCAACCTCACAATATCCATAGCATGACCCAATGACGTCGAATGGGTAGCTGAATATCATGATGTTGCACCTACTACGGAGCGCGAGATTTTCCAGCGTGTGCAGATGGGCACGCCGTTATCCGCCGCCGGTACGTATTCAGTTACACAGCTATGAGAATATCCTCTTGACCGAACAGCAGAGAAACTGCAGGCCATCTCGTCCCCTTGCGCTGTCTGGATTGGCGACCTCCAAGAGGAATTCGTGAACGCAGAGGACGGCCTGACCACTGTCTTGAACTGGAACACGAAGCGCGCGGCCGACTACCAATGTCTTGTACAGCTGGTATATTCTTGTGAACACACGTGGAACCGGCCTACTCCGACGGGAAAGAAGTTGACTACTTGGCTATCGCGAGACAACGAACCAGACAATTCGTTCAAAGCGGCTATCCACCAATCTCTCCGGGAATTGTGGGCTATCGCTGCCGATCCCATCTTGAACGACGCGTTCAGCAAAGTGAAGCGGATAGTCGCCCCAATAGAGTTCGTCTTCATGGGTAAGTAGGGCATTATTGCGATCTCAGCGTCTGACCTCACTCATTCTCTTCTCAGGTGTCTTGCTCTTTGTCATGCGTCACAAATCGCGCGTGGATCGCGCTGAGGCCATCCACGATATGCGTATCAGGGTGAAAGAAGCGCACAAGGACGTAAGGATGAACGACGATGTCGCAAGGACGCTGTGGGATATCATTGAGGAGTACTTGGACATTGATGATGACGAACGACCAGTGCGGCGAACACGGCGGAAAAAGAGCAGCCGGGCAGAGAAGGATGACGATTACGCGCCCTCTGGAAGGCGTCATTGAGTACGTACGGTTGAGCGCCGGCGTTTCATATGTGCATGCAAGAGCTATCACGATACTGACATGATTACGCAGTGTACTGAGACCGGGCACTGTACCATATTCCGTCTCCATCTTGATTGGCACGGGCATACTTGAGGAGTAATTTGTCGCGCTCCTTAGGATCTATCGCGATGTCGGACAGAAATGGGGCGATTTCGCCCGCCTTCCACCGTGATCGCGCGAGGAACAAGCTCCCGAATCTTGCAGCATGATCCATGGGCAGTTCTGCACTCGGGAAGTACGAGATCGACGTTCCATCGACGTTCGCCGACGCCAGATAATCCCCCTGTAACCGTCGTTTGGTCCGATCAATATAGATTGGAGACAACACGGAATATCACAGACTCACGGCCAGATGTGTGATCGTCACGGAGGCTTCGAATGTATCACCAACAGCCTTTCGCCATTTCTCGAGGAATTGCGCCTCGGGGATCGGCTCCTTCTATGAGCTCCATTCGCTCAGCGAATCTGCAATCATGCGCAGGAACGTACCCTATGAGACCGAAGCAACGCGATACCGATTTGTCGAACGACAGCATCCACGTCCATATTCCATTTCCCTGCGTTGGAGTCAAGAGTGCCGAACCAGCCCATGACCTGTTCGGAGACATGTCTCGGTATATCATGCTCATCTTGGAGCGCAGCAGAGAGATCTTCAACTGGCGCGGAGTCGTGTGGTACTGAGAGCACCACCAGGGTATTCAACAAAAGCTCCAAGATGGTCAGGAGATGGGCGTCGGTTATCGGACGGAGTTGTCCTGGCCATATATTCGGTTATTCATCGTGTTCCAGTTAAGTCATCGAGCACGAACCCTTCAAAGTCAATATATGGGCCTTGCGAAGGCCTATATCCAGCTCTTCGTCGCTCGCCTGGATGTCGTGCTTGGCATCCAGGTACGTATATGGATTCTGCGAGGTTGAACAATCAATCGTAGAATGGCTAAGCATATGGATCACAACCTTTGCAGACGTATCATTTTCATCCTCGAACTCTCCGTCATAATCTCGACCTCGTAGAAGGGAACGAAGCACGTGTACTTTGGGCACAGTTGGTTGGAGCTCCAAGACCTCATTGACGGTGTCTTGGATGACTACGTCGCCGTCCTCATGCTCAACTCGGGGTGTAACCACGAGGACGGAGTTCGATAGCACAACGGACCGCAATGCATAGGTTCTGTTAGCCGTGCATAGCACCGCATCCTCGGTCGGATGCCCCTTGATCTCCAGTCTGGTCGGACAACGGGAGCTGTCGTTAGATTTGTTCGGATGTGTAGCTCATCATGTTCTAACTTGATTTGCTGACCAGAGGCGGATTCGAGTAGATTACTCAGGTCCGATGGCAGTTCCAGAAGGCGATACCGACCCCCGCTCGTGCTGCCGCTTGGATAACGAACCTCGAACTGGTCCATACTTAGTGTAGGCAGCACTCGAGACTTGAGCGCGTGAAGCAGGTTGAGAACGCGTCGCGTCGCGTCCCTTATTGCACGACCGCTGCTCACGTGAATCAAGTCACAAAGGAGAGCATCATTTGGGACGAAGATGGAATTTATGTAGATGGAAAATGTACTGCTCATGACACGTGAATTTCGTATTCTCTGAGGCAATACGGCCAGATATGGTGGTTTACAAAGGATCAATGCCCAAGGCGTACCGCAGCCGCTCAAAAACAATGAAGGTGAGGATGGTATGCGTTCCGAGCTGTCGATTTCAAGGGGAGGTAAATCGCTGAAATTGTATAATGGCGAAGTCAACACGTACCCGCGCCCAGCACATACCGAACCCCTGGCTTCAGTCAATGGCAGCGCGAATGGCGACAGTCTATTTGCCTACCTTATACAATGCCAGAGGACCCTCTTTTGTGACGATGGACCGGACGCAGTCCATCGTACCTCTGTATTTGTGATCTTTATCGTTCATAAGGCGTACTTTGATAACGTCTGTAGTGCGGTCACTAAACTACCTGATATGCATGTGGCTGAACAAGAACCTACCGATTGGGTTGGAGGTTATCGAGCAAAAGAGTCTGACATGCCAAATCAGTCAGCCGGATGGATGACCGTAAAGGACGAACTGCGAATCTTACCCAGCGACCATGCTCGACACGGAGTGCAAGGCTATGCCTTCTCGCATCACACCTTCGCGCTTCAGCCTCTGCTTCACCTCGTCATATGCACATATCTGCGAGACCGAGAGAACAACACCGCGGACAGTCGTAGCAGTAACGCCTCGGTACAGGGCCTGGAGGCCAGAGCGATACGGGCCCTGTTGTCCTTCTCTCCAGATTGATGTAGTCGCGTGCAAGGTTGTCCTGTATGGCCGTCCTTCCGGGTAATAAGCTTGCATCCGGACTGATCAAAGCTGAGATGCGATAGCTGTAGTTATGCTATGGCGTGTTCCGCACCTTTCACAAGATCGGCCGGGTTAGCGATATACCTTGTGCGTAGCCGTAAGTAATATCGTCGAGCGTAATGATGACTGAATGCACTCACGAACCCAATCCAGAGGCAATCGTGGCAGCGCAGACCTTGAGGACCAGACCATCCCGGGTTAAAGCGCCGTTTGAGGCGCCGTATATCCTATTGACGGAATGTCGTCATGTTGAATATTCTCCAAAAGCGGACTTCAACAACACACTTGTCTTTGAAGAACTCGTACGCGCCTAGCCTGAGGCCTGAGTATGCGACTTCTCGAAGCATGCTGGCAGTAAACCCGCTCATCAGGCTGCGAAAGCCCTCTCGACGGGCTATCTCCGCTCCGACATGCCAGAAGGCATTTACCCTCGATCCAGCCACTGGTTCAAACGTCTTCAAGATGTCAGTGGAGGGAAAACGTTCGATACGTACCCTGAGTGCGAAGCTGTTGTCGGACCTGGAGAATGATCGGTTGCTCTGTCAATTAAAGACCGAGCCTACGACAGGCAGAGTCGGCCGCACCTTGACGCTTGCATGAGGTTAGTAACGATTGAGGTCCATGCAGTCATTGATTGACTTAGGACGTACACATCGACTGGATTGGTTACGGCCGACGCAACCATGTCTACCAGGAGATCTCGAGATCGATATCATTTTGCCGGACCGTTCAGCGGATGCTCACTGGCAAACGCCGCCCCACAGAACTTAAGCCCATATTGTGACGTCTTGCTAGGTTGAGAACTAATTTGGCGCTGCATATTGTGTCCGCTATTGGTGTCGCTGTGAGGAAAGCCGGTCCGTACTCTCATGCGGAGGTATGACAGCTAAATTCAATACGATAGACCAGCTTTGCTCACGGTTGCAACGTCTTCCGCTTCAGGGGAAGAGCCTTTTCGGGCAGGAGGCTCTGCTCGGCTGGCCGGCATTTGGGGCATTCGTGGGTACGATACACCGCATTCACCCAAATCCAGCATGGTCTTATACATATTGGGGAAGCCCCTGGCGGGTAGCAAAGAAAACCCGAAAGTAGAGCTGGCGCAAAACGGTCTATCGTAATGAATTTAGCTGGAATGAAACCGCAGCTGCAACGACCGGTCCTGCCTGACCCCGAGCTACGTAGCACGTCGTGAGACGGTTCAGATTCGTGTCGTGTAGCATAGCGAGCCAACACACATCATATATGCAATATCCCGGTGGCAAGTATATGGTATGTACATGCCCAGTTGTTGCCGGGTACCAAAAGATCGGTCGTGAACCTCCGAAGTAGCCGATACGGAGTACAATATCTACACTCCAATCGTTGCTCTTTACGCTCCATCCTCCTTTTATTCGCGAGTAATGTACAGCTCCACACACAGCGGAGTCGCGTAGAGTATCGAAAGCGTCGAAGGTGCCAGCTACGTAACCGAGACAGAAGGCAAAGTCCAATAAGATAAATGTAAGAAACATACGCAAAGCAAAATGCGCTAAGCACGTTGCCTATTGAAACGTTCATTCCAGATTAGTAAGAACAGGGAAAATAAAAGTGCACTTACGCCATGCCACCGTATCCCATAGATGCACCGGACTCTGCAAGTTTGCGCTGCCTGAAAGCCTATGAGGAAGTTCAGCGACCAAGTATATACCCGTCATAACGACGCTTGAGACTTACCCTCCGGTACTTGGTCCGCTCGTAGGTGACCAATCCGACAACAATGAGGGCAATGACGGAAATTCCAGCGAATACGCCGAGACCGATCGGAAGAACGGACAACTTCTTTCCCGGAAGAGTGAATGCAGCTTGGGTGGCGGTTGGTGACGCGGTCGAATCTGCTGCGCTCGACGCACCCGCAGAAGAAGTCGCAGCGTTAGCAGCTGCAGCTGTGGCAGATGTGCCCGTGGAACTCGCAGAGTCGGCGGCAGATGACGCGGCAGAACCCTAAAGATGTCAGAGAGGTTGACGGTAGGGGGCACGCTGTAGCTCACCGTGGAACTAGAACCTGAACCGCTGATAGGCGCGGAACTGGCAACCGCGGTGACAGATGCCGCAGCCGTTGCCGTTGCATCCACGGTAGTGAGTCCCTTGTACGATTTTGAGCATACACAGCATGGTGCCATGAGGATGAGCTTACAATGACGGACACTGCAGCACCGCCGGAGGCAGCGGAGCTCGTTGCAGCAGCACTGGATCCTGAAGCTGACGAGGTCGAGGTCGAAGAGTCCGTAGAGCTCCCTGGAGCAGCCGTAGAAGCGGAGGAGTCCGTGGAAGACGATACAGACGAAGACGAAGCGTCCGCAGAGGATGGTGACGAGGAAGCTCCGGAAGAGTTGCTAGAACCACTCGTGGTCGACGAGCCCGAAGAGCCACTGGCCGCCGAGATCACGCAGCTCTTGACTTCCTGGAACTGGCCATTGCCAATGTCTGTCAGAGTTATCGAGCAGTTCTCCGTCGTCCCGTCCGCCCTATTATCACGATAGATATCCGTGAGTGACTTGTCCGATACGACAAGTAGCTGTAGAAACGCACAGGGTATCCGTTGTCTGCACAGTCACAGGTGAACCGTTCTGACGAATGAAAATTCTCCTTTCAATCCTTGTTCGAGGCGAGGGTAGGGCGTCGGCTTGAGAGAGCCAGAGGAGGCAGAACGAGAGCAGGATGAGGTGTACAGGTCGCAGCATTATTGTTTGTTGCTATGAGGCGAGTGTTGGGCTGGGGAACGTGGATTGAAGAGAGAGGCCGGCTCGGGCTCGACGTGCTAGCCGTCGACGAAAGATAACAAAGGAATGAAATGGCCCACAGGGCTCGTCAGACCAAGGGGGGGAGCAGGTGGTGGGCGGGGAAAGAGACCAGTGAGGCACTGTCGATATACTGAAGGCCGTTGCAGCCACATCAGTCGCATCACGACCAGAGAGTGTTCGAATTCAGACTCCGCTTCTAATCCCATTAGATGTTTACACCGACTTCGTGATGGTCGGGCAACCCACGTCGGCCGCCTACTACCATCACGACACCGCTTCCGGGTTTCAAGGCAACAGAGTCTGGTACCCATCTAGGCCTATATACATGGCCGGGGCGATAATATCCTCCACGACTATCGCATCCCCCCCTCGACGGCTTTGTACACTTTACCATCCCGGTGCCGCTTTGTCTGCCGCAACGAAGACAGTGCGCTGATAGCCCGAGTAACAAGGACGGTACCCCACCGCTCGGATGCCACCGAAAGGGCAACGTTGAGGATGACGAGGCCGAGTAATGTCGTTCTGGCGGAGGAAGGGATGGGCATGAGTTCTAGGATAACAACCAATGCTTGCGGAGGTCGCAGCAAGACCAAGAGGTTGAAGAGTGCAAGACCGACGAGGGAGAGCATAAGGAGAGCTAGAGTCAAGATCAGTATGGTGTTGAAACGCGCGAATGACAGAACCGCGTACGGTTCGTCCACATTGGCTTGCGGTAAGGCGGGCCGATGCTAAACACGCCGGCAACCAGTATGTACTGGAAGCACGATACCAGGAATAGTACCGTATTCTCGTAATTGGTCGCCTTCAGGTGATTGTCATCGGAGTTGGGGTCTGGTTTTGCTGGTGGGATATACCTGGGACATGGTCAATGGGGCACGGTCAGTGTCACAACTTAGTGGCACCACCGAAAGCTCACCAGTCCTGGTCTTTGACCCAGAAGAAGGTCCAAAACTGGATGGCGCTGGTTATGATGATTTGACCAACGATACTCGCCAGGACTTTCTTTGACACGAGGCTTGCTGTGGGCCGTTTTGTGTGTATGCGATCGTACGGAAGTGTGCGGCCCACTGTGATAAAGGGTTAATACAGCATACGAAGCCACGCACGGCGCGAACATACTAGTCACCGCGACCGGTATGATGATAAACAGGTCGATGTACAGAAACTACGATCAACTCAGCAAGAAGCTAATAGGTAATGGACCAGGCTCACCTCAAAGTCGCCCAATGAGGAGGCGAACGAATATAGAAGCGTGATCGTGGTGAACTGTATGAGAGAGTAGAGCGCCCTGGACGAAAACCAGTCAGGACATCGAGATCCTACGACTCGCAAAAAATCACTTACATGTACTTGAAGCAGCTGAAGCTTGTGACGAGGGCCGCCCTTCCTTCCTTGATGACTTCAAGCACGCAGGTTATGTCAGGCGTCCGGCTCGTGAAGGGGGCAGCCACCGATGCCTCCGCCTCCGACAGGGACACCCCGACATCCGCAGCCTTCAGTGCCGCGCAGTCGTTTGCACCATCACCGCACATCAATACGGTATAGCCGAGGCCTTGCAGACGCTCGACAACTTCGTTCTTCTCATCGGGGGACATGCGTGCGAATATTTGCGTCTTAACGAACATCTAGAATCCACGTCAAGGTCCGGTCTCACAACAGACAACTACATGAGCGCGATACTCACGCGCTGCAATGTCTCCAACGGAGCGTTGTTGATCAACCACCGGAATACGTCGCCAGTGACAACCAGCGAATAGTCGTGGTAGTCAATCTCGTCAGCTTCCACCGTGTGGTGCGGCGGAGGTGTGAGCGGCTTGAGATCATAATCATCCAGTTTCCAAGCTATCTCTTCCATGCACGCCCACTCTAGCTGTGCCGAAGGTGATGACGCATTCCCTGTGGCCTGGCGTGAGTTTTAAGTTTTAACATTGGAACCAAGATACCCATACCATAGACGAAGCGCGGAGCGAAAACATATGCTGCGGGTTTGATGAGTCCACACTCGCGAGCGACGCTTACAGCCGTTAGCGGATTGTCACCCGTGATCATTCGACAAGCGAGATGAGCCTCCCTGAGAGCTTGGATAGCGGGACCTGTTCCGGGCTTCAGTTTGTTTTCGAATATGACTAAACCTAGGAAATTCAATCCAGACTCCGCCTGCTCCCTGAATAACGTAGAGCGTCATAAGTTATGGCTCCCTGAGCGGAGGCATGCAGTCCTGTAAACGTACCGTTTCAATTTTTGAGCTTTTAACCATGATAAGCCCTCAACGCTCTTGCCGGCCATGGCGATGACGCGGTAGCCGCGTGTCGTGTAATAATGCAGCAGATCATCATAATCCTGGGGAACTGCCCTTGCTGTTAGCGTAATCAAAGGCGAGAAGCAGATACAGACGTACAGGAGTCCTTGTTACAGATTTCCGCCATAACCTCGGGAGCTCCCTTAACGTAAACTTCCATACTGTTGCTTTTCAGTCTCTTAACTATGACGCTCATGCGACGCAAGCTGGAGACGAAATCGAATGTCCTGATCACACCGAGTTCCAAAAAGTGGGTGCGCTATCGCGCCTCTTAGATCAGACATATGCGGCACATGAATTGAAGAGTACTCACCCTTGTGTTACCCTTTAGCGCATCCTCGACTCTGAACGCTCCCCCACCTGGAGGACGGACCACAGTTTGTACCAGTGCAGCGGGTCGAGATTCACCGGTCTTCCCGCCCTTGATTACCCCTGTTCCAGCACTAGTGACGCTTCCCTCCTCGATCTCCCAATTGGTGAATTCCCACATTCTGACGTCCAGTGGATCTCCCACCACTTCTCCATCCACGACTTTCAGGGAGTGGCAAGTCGCGAGTGCGTATAAGAACCTCGCCTTTTCCTTGTCATCGCGAGCCGGAAGGTCACGTATATCCTCGATGAGTTCTCCGAAGCGTTCCATAGCGCGGTCCACGGGTCGTACGCCAAGAATGTCGAGACCATCTTCGGTGAGGGTGCCGGTCTTGTCGAAGCAGCAGACGTTGACCTTGCCAGCGACATTGACCCTGTTAGGGGAGATACAGAACACGCCATGTTTGCGCAGACGCCCTATCGCGAAACTGGTGCCAATGCTGAGCGTTGCAGGAAGGGCTGGTGGGACGACAACTGTAACGAGATCTAGCGCACGAACGACGATCGTATGCCATGGGACCTGTAGGAGGGGTTTCAGTAGTTGTCCTCCTTTCCATAACGGCACAACAATCTTACACCCAGGCGGACGAACTGCACTGCGCTGGCCAAGAACCCAAGGCCCGCGATTCCAGTAAGGACTAGAATGAACCGGATGGAATCCCGATAGAAGCTGAAGCCCATCGGTTTGGGAAACAACATGGACCGTACCAGAGCGCCCTTAGTTGTTGCGAAGCCTAAAATGCGAAAACAGGTTAGCCAGTCCTGACGAAACAACCACCTCTAGTACCAACCAGTCCTCGCAACAACAGCCAACGCTGCGCCTTGACTTCCATCTGCTGCCATATCCCCCCTGACTCGCACTACTCTCGTTCCTCCGTAAAGGAAGCTGCCACTACTCTCTTTGGCCAGATCTGTGCTCGATTTCCAAATGCTCAAGTCTGAATCTTTGGCGGGAACCTTCGACACCGGGACCGATTCACCAGTTAGCATCGACTCGTTCACGATGGCATCTCCCGAGAGCAGGAACATGTCAGCAGGGAGGGAGGTAAGGTGCGAAGCCGTGATGTTGATAATATCTCCAGGGACGAGCGCTGTTGAGTCCAATTCTACATCTATGTAGGCCAGCTCAGCGATCACGGATCATAGCAACAACAGCTGGTCCGTACATGAACCATTCACAAGGACATGCACCGGACAGGAAAAACGTGACATCTCCCTCATCCTAGCAATTGTCTGTGGAAAATGTCAGAAACTAGCGTCGCCAAATTATCCGGCGAATGTGCTCGACCTTCTTTGTCTCGAAGAGTGTATTAGATATACTGAGCGCGGAAATCAGTGCTATGCAGAATGCATAGTAGTAGTAGTCATCAATGGACCATAGGCCGATGCTGACAATTTGAAAGACGTAGAATGGGTGGATAATCTGGCAGGTAAATGATTAGTGAACCAGTAGAAGCCGGTTTATGTATATTCACCTCCTCGACGAGTAGCTGCCCCACAGATTTGGATTCAACATCAATTTCATTTTCTCCGAATAATAACCTTCGTTGTTCGCGAGTTTTGCTGTCTAAGCCAGGCAAGATCGCGCTGTGCCCGTTCCACCGAGGGTCACGCCAATCCCTGCAGCAACACCAGAGTAAGAAACATAGCGCGGGCGAAAGAGGCCACATACTTTACCGCGACCCATAGCCCGGTACGAGGGTTGAGTGCATACCTAGCATACCGGTAGTCAAATACCGTCAGTTCGCCAAGAATCCCGCTGGAACCGCTGGAGGAGCCTGATGTCGTCGATGTGCGTGTCACGGATGGTCTTGCCGGAGCTTTCCCGTTTCCGTTCGTCGATCGAGCTCCAGCATCCGGACCCGGAGATGTGAACGCGGATAATATGTCGTATGGATAGTCGATATGCCGGATCGGAAAGATAGCAACATCCCTGTAAGCCGTCTCCGCGCCATTCTCATTTAACTCGCAAATCAAGCAGCCTTGACCGCATGCTCACCTCGGCAACTATGAGCTCCGCACCGGTGAAGGCCTTCTCTCGAGTGACGAAGCGGAGCCACATCTGAGGAAACCAACGGCCAAGCAACGCGACTATGCCAAGGCTGAGCACGCAGCAAAGCCTCCATGCCCATCGCCGGGTAGGAGAGGTCTCGAAACCAACAAATCGAATATGGGCATCTTCGTCGGCAACGTAGAGTGTCTGTCTACTGGGCGGACCAGCCGGTGGTGGGGAGTCCAAGTCCTCGAGGGTATCGCCTATGTCAATGCGTGACTCGCCGCCAAAGATCGGATCGGCGGACAGAAGCGGTAGAGATGCGCTGGGAGAAGGCGGATACGACCCATAATCGAGATCACCAGCATCTTCGCGCATATCTTCCGCTTCCGAGTCCTCTTCGCCTGAAGAGTAGCCCCATCGTTCATCTTCGTCTTCGACCTCCTCTGCCCGAGAGCGCCGTGAGGTGCGGCTTGAGAGAGATGACCGTCGGGATAGTGAAGGGGGGCGTTCTTGCTCTGATGAGGCACGGAACATATGCGACAGGTTCCCTAGTAGACCTCTTGCAGGTTCTTGGGGACGCGTCTTCGTCCTCACGCGCACGTCCTCGTCCTCGTCCTCGTCCGATTCATCATCCACGAACACTGCATCCGGGTCCGATCCAAGTTGGTCATCCCGACTCGAGCGCCTACTCAATGATCTCCTGCCCAAACTTCGGTTCGTGCTTTCGCCACTCCTCCTCCGGTCCATGCTCCTTCTCCGCCCCCAGCCTTGCAAACTTCCACTTCTCATGCGCGTTACGCTGCTCGGGACGGCAGCGTGTCCAGGTCCGTCGAACACGCTTCCCGAAATGCCGGCATCCGTATCGTCGTAGAAAGTACTATGCGCGGAGTCGCGTCTCGAGCGCCGTTGGGATGCGAGCACATCGTCGATATCGCCGGCGGATGCACCTTCTGTATAATCGTGCGACCGGCGCCTTGACGGCGATATTGGGCGGCCCTCAGGCATGCTCGACCTCGACCCAATGGTACTGAGCGGTATAGACTCCGATGCCGTCCTGACAGATATTGCACCCTGTGCTGGTATCGTCAACACCGGTCGCTGGAATGATGGATTTGGATATGTACCTTATGTAAAGACTATGAGTTGACCGAAATGTCAAGGCAGCCCACCGAACTAGGTTTAACGCCGTTATGCAATTCGTGGTTGTAAGGAATTGCTTAGGCGGGATGCCGGATGAAGTGGACTGACGTCAACAAACCTTTCCATATTGGTCCAGATATCAGTGACAGCATCATAAACTTGGTTGATGCCGCCGTGACGGGGCATGAATGCAAGCAAATTCCGCAGTGCTTGATCGTCAGTTCAGGAGTAACTGTGTTACTAAATAAGTCACATTCTGTCACCCTTGCTTACCGCCACTATCGTCACATTGTCACTTCCCGTCCACACACAGCAGGCCTTCTTGATACCTACATTGGCGGCTCACTCGGACTACAGTTCACTATGAACTCGCTATATACCCTTGGGGTCCGACAGACCAACTCGATACAAGCCGACCTTGAAAGGCTGAAGAGCGGAGATGCGTCCGCTTCGCTCCTCGGTACGTGTGTCATATGGAAAACGCGTAGTATACGTACGTGTCAAATCTGAAGGACATGCATGCCAGGGCAGATATCCGCTTCGCTTGCTGCAATGCAGCGGACAATTGACGATTATGATTCTATGGCGAAACGGGAGCTGATCAAAGTGAAGCAGGAAAAGGCACAAATGTGCGAGTTCCGTACTACCCCTGGTGAATATCAAGGGCTCACCACGGTTCACAACGCATTATAGGCGCGTAACAAAGTTCCGCTCAGACTACAACGAACTCAGGATTGAATTCGAGCGATGGAAGGCGCAAGTAGGTCTTCCTTAGCGCGCACCTCCACTTTATGCTCATTTTCCTTATAGAAAGAAGCTGCCGACCGAGCAGAGCTCCTTTCAGGAGCTTCTACATCCACAGCTGCAGGACCCTCCTCGTCAGCAACATATCGCCGCCCTCCTGGAGTGTCGTCATCCCTCACGGCCTCTGACGTCTCAGAGTCCCCCTTCCGTACGCCAACCCCCAATTATCCCAATAGCTACGACGGTATCAGCTCTCTTCGTGAAAGCCATGCTCTGCGGGAACATTCCTTTGTGCAACAAACACATAGCCAACTCGATGACTTTATCGCCCAGGGGAGGGAAGTGCTGGACAACTTGGTAGACCAGCGGAATATGCTGAAAGGGACGCAACGCCGGCTTTTGGACGCTGCGAACACGCTCGGTCTGAGCAGAGATGTCATTGGATGGATTGAGAGGAGAAGGTGAGTTCCCAAACCCAACTGTCCTTCGTTGAGTGTCACTTATTACTCCCGCGCAGTACCCAGGACATGTATATCTTCTTCGCTGGAGCTATATTCACTTTCTTTTGCTTCTGGCTTATTTTGCATTACCTTGGTTAATGGATGCGTACTTATGCTTCGATGTCGCTGAGTTCGAGATGGGTTTTCAGACTACCGGCTGGATGTATAGTACAGCTTCACCTTATTCATGGACCTTCTCGGACACGTTGCGTGCGCGACCATACTTAGCATTGCTAAGTAGCAGTAGCGGCTCTGTTGACCAGTGTTTGGTTTCGCGCTCAACGCCGCGCCAAGTTGACGTACGTCACACGTGGTACAGTGATCCACCGTTCCCTTGGACAGGAAAAATTGTACTGCGCGTTGCTCCTCCCATGAGCTCTCGTTCTTCTTTAAATTAGCATTATTAGTTAGCTGTACATCCTGCCCATCTACCCAAATATTTTTGGAGTAGTAGGTATCCTAAAAAAAATCTGAGAGCCATAATACGGGTGACCCCCTCACAGCCACTTTACCGTTCCTCTGGACAGCGGTTTTCCCACGCCGTTTGTGACTTTGCCGTATTGCCGGTGTGAGCGCGGGAAACCTTTTCGGAGGTTAATCGACAGTCACATGGCTGCCTTAGCTGCTGCTCCGCCGAAGCATGCAGAAACCTGGAGCGATATTGGGCCCATTAATACATGTACCCTCATGAGCTCAGTTGCAGATAGTGCTTTCAGCACTGTAGAGTCTGAATATGTACACTGATTTGTGGTACAGTAGCTCACAAACACCTCAAAGCCCACATAAAGATTGAATAGCACAGCCACCATGGTGTTTCCGATTTTTCATTCGAGTAAAACACTACATATTGTCCATCGGGCTACAAGAGATGGTGAGGATCCATTGGATGTATATATATATAAATAATCAAGAGGAAAGAGTCAGGCGATGTGGAGAAATTAGCCCGTGTCCAAGGGAGTGGTGCTGTCCAGAGG